GAGACCACGGACTTCGACATATAGCGGCGGAAATGTGAAATTCTCGTGAATAAACTCCGTTAAATACGCTATGAGGTGATTAACAATTAATCAAAATATTTAACGTAGCTAAACCGGGGCTTAAAGGGAACAATACCCAAGGCCAAAGAGCGGAATAACAATAATTTATAGTTCCCAGACCGACGGCCTCGCCACGAGTGTCGCCAATTTATCTCTCATTTTATATCTTCGATTCCCTTCCCCGGACATATTTCATCACGACACCCTGAGTAAATTCCTTTCCCTTCTAGGATGCTCCAAGACGAAAGATGCTGCGTGGGCGGTGAGCATCTTTCTTCTCAGAATCCCTGTTTAAACGGCGCGGATGTCTGCAGGAAATGCGTTCAAAGACACACCTAGTATCGCTTGATCGCTAGTTTGCTCATCTATGATGTCGCCTCCCACCTCCCAAATCGCAATTAATCAGGATTAGAGAAGTGACTTTGTCGAAAACTAGGAAAGAGCAACCTTAAAGATAGAAGGTCGAGCTCAGACTGGGTGAGTAAGGGATCCCATGCAGGGGGATTTCTTGTTGACGATTCTCTGTCGGGAATTCTTTGTTCAAGATTCCCTTGCAGAGGAATTCCCTATTAAGGATTCTCTGACGAGGATTCCTTGTTGAGGTTTCTCTGTCGGGAATTCCCTGATAAAGATTCCCTTGCAGGGGGATTGCCTTGTTGAGGATTCCTTCGCAGGAGAATTCTCTGTCGAGAATTTCCATACAGAAAAAAACCTTGTCGGGAATTCCCTCGAAGAAAAAAAAAACTTTGTCGAGGATTCCTTTGCAGGAAAATTCTCTGCCGGGAACTCCCTTACAGAAAAATTCCATATCAGAAATTCCCTTGCAGAAAAAAACCTTGTCGACGATTCCTTCGCAGGAGAATTTTCTGTCGGGGATTCCCATAGAAAAAAAGTTCCTTGTCGGGAATTCCATCGCAGGAGAATTTTCTTGCAAAAGAACTCCTCGTTGTGGATTCCCTTTTGGGGATTCCTTGCAAGAGAATCGTCTGTCGGGGGTTCTCTTGCAGTTAAAAATTCCGTTGGGGATTCACCTGCAGGAGGATCCCCTGTTAGATATTCCCTAGCTGGGGGATTCCCTGTTAGAGATTCCCTTGCAGGGGATTCCCAAATAGACCGACCAGGATTTGAGGACTCACCGTCTCCGGGATCCGTCGACGTCCTCGCGCGTGGGAAACTCCAGGGAGCCCAAAGCGCGGTGGGCAGCGCCGGGACGCCTCGCGTCCGCGCCGATTTCTGAGCGGCGAGTGCTCGTGTCGGCTCGCCGCGGTCTCGGCGACTGGCTCGCGCGGAATTCCCGCGCGATGCCCACGAGGGAAGCCGCGCTCCGCTCGCGGAGTCTTCGCTCGCTGCCGACGCCACTTCGCTCCGAGAGGGAGACACTCGCCACGCTCCTCTTCGGAGTGGCGGCGGACTTTCGAAGCGCGTGGACGCGACCGACAGCATAATTATTTAATTTTGGTTTTGTTCGATCTAAGAAATCGAAATTTCATAGTAAATCACGCTCCTCCTCGGAGTGGCGGCGGACTTTCGAAGCGCGTGGACGCGACCGACAGCATAATTATTTAACTTTTATTTTGTTCGATCTAAAAAATCGAAATTTCATAGTAAACCACGCTTCTCCTCGGAGTGGCGGCGGACTTTCGAAGCGCGTGGACGTGACCGACAACATAAGTATTTAACTTTGGTTTTGTTCGATCTAAGAAATCGAAATTTCATAGGAAGATTCGAAGGGAATATTCACACTGGGTCAAAGGCAAAATGGATCCATGGATCCAGGGATCACGGGCGAGAAGATGTCATTGTTGCCTAAACAACCGATAAGGCTGAATTAAGGCTGTCCTTATGAGGAAGGGACAGAAAGGGCACTTACAAGGAAGGATTGTAGACTAAAAACTAAGCGACACGTACTTTTTTTATGTGCCATTAAACACTTTAAGGAGGTGAAACCATTATCCAAAGTAAGGCATGTCAAAGGGTGATTTGGCAGTTTCACCCACAAGAACATAATATTTTTTAACCAATCCACCGGGAAAAGCTTTCTCATAACGAGAAATGAAAAATATAAATTTCTCAATTAAAAAAAAATATTAAGGGGTAAGCCACCCCTCACAGGCCTTACTTTGGATGGTGGTTTCACCCCTTTAAAGTGTTTAATGGCAGATAAAAAAAATACCTGTCGCTTAGTTTTTAGTCTACTGTAACATATTATAAAAGAAATCAAATCGGAGAGATCGACCTGGGATACCTTCCTTGTTAGTCTTGGACCACAGAATCGAGCAATTGGCTCTTATTCGTATACTCCAGCTTCGAGGCATACACACATATTTGACTTACGATAAGCAATCACACCAGGCTGCGAGATCGACGAAATATAGGAAAGTGTCAATAGTAGATACATATATTTAAATTCCTCCTAGAAATGTCCTTTTCAATTTTCTTTTTTTTTTATTTCAGGGCGTATTAATTAGCGGGCCCCCGGCAGATATTGCGATTGCCTCGGAATCGAAAACGATTGAGGATAAAATTGTAAATTTCGTTTAAAAGTGTTCTCTTCGATTTCATTTTTCATTTTACGCAGCAGTCGCATTTTTTAATTCGACTTTATGGACTGTTATCGGTCGAATCCGAAGGGCAGTAGACTTCCTAGAAAATGACGAAAGGAGAACGACGATTGGCGAACAAAAAGAAATGAGAGGAATGTCACTCTTTGTGATAGCGATAGGAGTTAATTAGGCATCATTGATGATCCCCTGAATCGTCATTCTTCTATAACTTTTTGGGTCACCTTGGAGACATTGCGACATTGTGTTGGAACTGAAAACGGTGATGGATGATAAAGGTGTAAATCATCTCCCAGGGTGTTCTTTCCAATTTAGCTTTTCATTTCAAATCATAATCGTAGACTTGAATTTGGATTTTAGTTCCCTGGAATACAAGGCGACCACCCTGGAAAAAAAAGGGGTGGGGGAGAATGAAATTTCGAATCTTGTATTACAGTGATTTTTCAATTTTAATCTTCGATTTTAGGTCGTAATTATTGTTTTAAATGTTGACTTTTGTTCCCTGGGATACAAGGCGGCCGCCTCGGAAGAAAGGGCGGTGGGACGTAGGACGTAGGATACTCTTCTTCCCGACTTCGATTATCAGGTCGAAGTCTCATTTCCATGACTATGGGTCCGCAGCAGTGGGCACGGGTCACTTCCCTCTAAAAAGAGCGACGACCGTCCATTGTACGGTTCTTTAGGCGGAGGAAAAAGAATCGATGCCAGTCAGTCGATGAGTCAGCCGCAGCGTTGCGCCAAAACGTCTCGTTGTTGGTCACGGCGGAACGGGAGTTTTCATTGACCCGGAACTATTAGGTTGTCGAGCAAGTTATTGTGGCTTTTGATGTCCAAGATTTGACGCCCCGACTTCAAATAACGTTGTTTTTCCTTCATATCGCGTCACGTACCACATTACAGCGTGGACTTGTTCTAAATTTTAATAACAGTAATTGCGTCTTACGCATCAATTTCTATTTTATTATGGAGATGTGAAAGTGACATCTGAAAAGTCAGTTCATGAAACTTTTCTCTGACGGTGCTGAATCGTTTCAAACTTTGCAACATGAACGTGAAGGCAATAAGGAAGGAGCTGATCCTCGTGGAATTTCATTTTTTATAACAAATTTTTAAATATCTATATACAAATTGAAAAAGAATTGAAACTTCTTGAGTATCAGGACCTTCCTTATACTCTTCATATTCATATCGTAAAGTTTAAATCGATTCGGTACATCCAGTTTGGAGAAAAGTTTCATGAACGAGAACTGTTTGAGGCCACTTTCACATCACCTTAATTACAGATAGAAGAGCTGCTAATTTGAGCGATTTTCTGGTACGAGTTCAAAACGGGCCGTAAAGCGATTATAGTTACACGCAATATCGATAATGCATTTGGCCTAGAATTCGCTAATGAATGCATAATAGTGGTTTCAAAAGTTGCACGACGGAGACGAGAACCTTGAAGATGGAAAACATTCCGGACGGCCTGTGGCCATTGACAATGGCTACTTGAAGGTGTTATTAAAACGTTTAAAATGCAAATATTGTTATCAAAATGTAGAATAAATTCTCTAAAATGATTTATTTGAAATCAAAGCGTTAAGTCTTAAACACCAAGAACCGTAATAACTTTCTGGGCCGAATATTTATTTTTTCTGGCGACGCGGAGTGGCGGATCTTCAAAATGGCGTCGTGGGAATTTCTACTTTCGGCCCGTTTCTGATTATTTTCGCAGCCTAATGGAATCGCGAGCTCGAGACGCATCGTAGCCCTGGAACCGGGGAAATGGATGGGCCGCCTCGAATTTATGCGCTTTGTGTGCCGGACTACCAATTAAAGTCTCGCTGATTGAATTTCAGTCACGACTAACCCGTTTAAGCCGCGAGCCCATCGCGCGTCGGACTCGGGCCACGGGCGGAAAATATTTTTTTCCGTTCGCGTCCTGCATAACAATCGACCGTATAATTTTGCATCTGCCGATGTCGATTTAGCAGCAGTTTTGCTGTAATTAAATAACGCCCCGGAGTAAATGTCATTGCGGCAATTAACTCGATCCAATGTACGCGTTTTTTCAACGCCATTGACTCTGCCTCGTAAAAAGTCATACTTTAAAAATGCATATATCGGTTGAAATAATTTTTGTAAATAACACTGATGTGCCGTTGCACATGTAATTACATGAAAGTAGTCACTTCCGGATTGGATTATACGATAGAAGAACGTTTTAGCCTCGAGTCAAACAGAAATACGTGTTTTAACTTTAAAATGTTTGTTCTATTTTTAAGAATCCGTGCTAGTCGGTTCCTTCCTATATTTGAATTTAGCGCGCCGCGCTGATGCGAGCTGGCAACACTGTCCGAGTTAACCGCTCTCGCGTCCCACCGTTGCCTCGACCATTTTCTTCCGGGACGTCGCAGTGGGAGGTTGTACTGCTCCGTAAATGGTTAATTCGACCATGAGATGACTGTAAGTACAATTTATTTACAAAAGTTAACGCAAATTAGACGTCAGACGATAGAGTATGTTTTATTTCAAATTTAATTAGGAGAATATAGTAGAATCGGAGTCGGGAAGTGATTGCTACGCGGGCCACGTGGCGAAGCAGCTCACGCCGGAGGAAACCGCTAAAATGTTGGCCCAAAATTCGCGCCTTGTTTCGGAATTTCGGGCGAAACAACTCGAGAAGGACGCGAAGAAGCACTGGGATCTTTTCTACAAAAGAAACGACACGAGATTCTTTAAGGACAGGCATTGGACCACGAGGGAGTTCGAGGAGCTTTTGAGGTTAGGTCGCGGCGAGGAGGGCGTGCTACTCGAAGTTGGTTGCGGCGTTGGAAATTTGATTTATCCTCTGCTCGAGGACGGCTCGAGTTTCGAGAGGATCTTCGCTTGCGATTTATCGACCAAGGCTGTCGAATTGGTTAAAGTAAGTGAGGTTAGGAATCTACTTCGACAATGGGGTTGCCATGCTTCCTAGACTGTGAAATCAAACGTCTTGCAGAGTCATAAGTTGTTTGATCCGAGGAAGATTGTGGCATTCCAGGCGGATGTGACGGAGGAAAATTGTTTCTTGGAAATCGATAGCAGAGTGGACGTTGCGACTCTGGTTTTTGTCATGTCGGCAGTACATCCTGATAAATTTAAGAAGTAAGGATTTATTCTGTACGTGCTAATTTTTCTGAATGTTTAAACTGAACTCTAATCCTAGTTTTCTTCGCAGAGTTATAGCAAATTTAAAGCGTGTTATGCACAGCGATGGAATCGTTCTTTTTCGGGATTATGGGATTTACGATATGGCACAGTTAAGATTTAAACCAGGCCATAAGATTGCTGAAAATTTATATGTTCGTCAAGATGGAACCAGGTAATGTAGGTTTGGAAATCTTAAAACTCTATATCGAGATATTATTACAATGGCACAATGGTAGACGATTACTACTCGCATGATGATTCCATAGTTCAACTGAAATAATATTGATGAGCAATATCTTTCGCTCCTATCTGATATTCTTATAATATATTTGGATTTTTTCCGTGTTGAAGCTTTTCTATATTTTCTGGTTCTTTACGTTTTAGGAGTTACTACTTTACTATAGAAGAGGTCCAAGACATGTTCACCTCTATGGGATTTGAAACTTTATCTTGTTCATATATACATAGACGGACAATTAATGTAAAGGAAAAAATCGATGTCCCCAGAATTTTTGTTCAAGCAAAATTCAAGAAACCATGATACATTCCATGTGTGGTAAGACTTAATTAAATACATAGTTCCATTATTCTGCAGTTATACATTTTTGTGATGATACCATAGTTCAACTGAAATTTTTTGTGACGGCTATTGGGATTCTTTCGCCCCTATCTGACATTATTATTACGTAAAATGAATGAACATATTGGAAAAGAGCCTCGTGCAGTAATTGTGTATTGATTTTTCAGGTGACCTGAGAACATTCCTTGATTGGACTTTTAGAACGAATATTCATGCATGGAAGCATGAAAACATGACGTTTCTAGTTACTGGTAATTTAATTTATAAAGCAGTCGCTGTACTCAGGATTCATAGTTCAGGTTTTATATGTGGCTCAATTTCAGTTCGATCGAGCAGCAGCCGCAGCAGTTGGAAAGTAGCTGAATCTGTTAAAAGATACAGCATGGCAGGGAACTGGAGCAGCACGTGTATTGTGGTGTGTTATTTTTTATAAATTACATATATATTGCATTAATAAACGTGATGCATAATGTTTCTTATTTGCATAGAACGCAATGCTGACTATTCGTCACTACCACTGATTTACATTAAATTTATTTTACAGTATCGAAACTTGTACTGACCTACATTCCTAATTATAGGTTTATTTATTACAGATCAATCGCACTGGTGGGTTCTGAAGTGGTATGTTATATTGTTTTCGACTTTCTTTTTTCAATTTTTAGTAACAAATTTAGTGCTTAGTAAAAGAAATCTGATGAAATAAAATATTTATCATGATCTATCGTGATTGATCTATAGTATTAGCTCTAACTGAAATTATCTAACATAAGCATAATTAAGTAGCTGTAAAAGGTACACGCTGTAAAAAACGTTATATATTTTCAGATAATTATAGTCCGGAAGAAGACTTCTTGGAAGTTTTTTTAAACTTTTCGACAAAAATAAAATGACTATATCTATACCTTATTTTCCGCCAACACCTTTTGCCCTCGTCCATCCATTAAACCACTTATTTACAAGTAAATTCATGCACTCTGAACATGACTCGGAATCTCTTCAACTGGCTCTTCGGTCGATGCTGCAATTAGGTCCAAGAATTACAAAGTAAATCACTATTGATGCAATTCCATTAAATGTGAAAGAAATTACTTTGTTCCCGACGCTTACGTCTTTTCATGTACGATCTTCTAGCCGGACACCGTGGACAGTAAATGCACATCCAGATTATCAAAATTACTATTAAAGCGACTGCTACGCCTGTACCGATCATTCTGTACTTGGACGACCTAAGAAACCATTCGGAGATCATGAAGTAGATTCTTGGGAATTATCGATGAGTGTTTTATCAAGTATAATAAAAAAAATTCTGACTCGCTCTTATGTTCGCTGAGTAGACAGCAATAGTAATAATCCATCTCTAAATTGTAGCAGCACGTTTTCTCCTGCAGCTTGCAGACGTACATCGTCTTGTTTCCTGGTGTAAGAAGTTCCAAGCACTTGATTTCATTGGAATCTATGCAAGCTAAATCGAGATTCAATGGTGTAACTACAGCCGATCGTTTTTGCCCAAACGTTGCATTAGAATTATTATTAAATGTCGAGGACGGTAATGCAAGCGACGCTGGAAAGTGCATCGTCAAGGCTGACACTTACGCAAGAGCAGGAGCAAAATGGAAACGAAAATTTCCGCATGGCGTCCGATTTGATTGATACACCTGTTGGTAGGATTAGCCATTTCTATGGGGAATTGCTTGTCGGTAGTTTTTAAACGTCATTTGCACCGCTGTTTTAGGTTTGATGGCGAACTGGGCGAAACAAAAGTCCGGACGCACGGGTACGCATGCGCGACCGGAAAGGATTTGGAAAGCGCCGAAACAATTGTCCGAGCGAAATTGCACGGCGATTATTAATTACCCTCCTGGACGTCCACCAATCTCCCTCGGCGTTGATGAAACTCACCGGGCCGAAGTTTTACCCTCGAAATTCCTGACCCTCTCAACTTTGCAATTAAGTTGCAAATTTTACCGCTCCCGCATCGCGGCGGATTAAATTCAAATTCTCTCTTTTTTTTCATTCTCTCTCGCAATTTATTTTCGAACGATTGCGCAATGACAATTATTTTTGTAACAGGCCGTGGGTATTATTTTATGCGTTGTGTGTCAATTATTTTTTGCGTTCCAGGAATCGAGCCGCGCTCTGGCCGTCCTCAATTTGGATTTTATCATGCCAATCATGGATCCTTGATAAGTTCCCTGAATTGAGAAATACGTATTTATCAAATTGAAGTACCGAACGTTAAGATGATATGAAAGGATGATACATTCTGTATATATATAAAACGTTAAAATATTAATAAAACTGGTCTCCAAATTGGATGCACCGAATTGGTAGAAACTTCGGCATGTGATTACGGAGATCTGAGGAAGAATGTGGTGTTCATGAAACTTCAGTTTTGATAAAAATTAATTTTATTTAGCCCAGAAAAAAGGATACATGAATATTTCTTTTTAATGAAATGTCATGGGCACCACGTTCTTCCTTAGGACCTCCTTAATCACGTGTTGAAGTTTCAAATGATTCCTTGCACCCAGTTTGGAGAAAAGTTACATAAATATTTTCACGTTTTATGTCTATTAAACGACCCTTTCATATCACCTTAAGGGAATGTGAAAGTGGCATGCTCAATCGTTTATGAAACTTTTCTCCGAACTGGGTGTGCTGAACCACAAACTTTACAACGTGAATGTGGAGGCTATAAGGAAGGTCCCGAAACTTATGATGTTTCATTTTTTTATTACAAGTATTAAAAATACCTAAAGGCAAATTAAATAAAAAAAAACTGAAATTTTGTGAGTTTAGAACTTTCCTTACTGCCTCCATACATATATGGTAAAGTTTGAGTCGATTCAGTACACCCAATTTGAGGATAAGTTTCATGAGCGAGAACTCTTCGACGCCACTTTGACGTCACCGTAAGTATTCGGTGCCATTTTTAATGTATTTAAATGTATTTCCCCTAATTTGTATAATGCGCAGCGGGAGGGATTTTTTAAACGTCCACCCCCTGGAGATGCATCTTAATATTCGAGGTCTCTCCTCGAAATCTTACGAGACGCGGAAGGTATTATGGGTTTCCGAGTTTCCCCGGAATTTCATCCGTGGAATTCAACGCCCCGCCGTTTACGCAATGCCCTCGGGACGACGCGCGCTCGGAATCCTAATGCAAACCGGGGAAATTCAAGTGGGTCATTGCTGAATTATACATTTTCAGCTTTTCGGGGCGTCGATCGGAGGGACGGAAGTTCAGGAAAGCGTCGCCGCGGCTTGCGAAAGGTCGTGCGGATATTTTCGGGAAATTTTCCTCGGCTACGCCAACGAGGGGTCTGCAATTTCCCGCCACTCCGGCTGATCAAGTTAGTTCAGTGATTTATATGAGATATAATTTCCTTTGGGAAGGGGGCGATTGGGAATTTCGAGTTGGGCTCGGGTCGTCGAATAAAATGGCGCCGTAAATGAATTGCGCGTCACTTTACAGGTTTCGAGAGCAATTAGCATTCTGGACGAGCTCTTCTGCTCGCGTGTCGTCGTTCTAGCCGGTGGACAACATTTAAGAGGTCACTGCAAGGCTCGTGCAATTCATGGTTACCCAATGAATTACGGATGATCGTCCCCGGCTTTGATGGCCGATTAATTGAATTGGCCTCAACTGATTTCTTCACCTGGGTCGCGACTGCCATTTACCTAAAGAGGTTTTTCACGAAGGTGACAGTTGGTGTTAGAAACCATTGATAATCCTTTATTAACCCCTTGCCATACTTTGACGAGTCTGACTCGTGATGAACATTTTGGGTCGATCGTGAACGTCGCGAGTCAGACTTGTGATAAACATTTTCAGTCGAACATGAACATCGCGAGTCAGACTGGTGATAAACATTTTGGACCGAACATGAACATCACGAGTCAGACTCGATATAAACATTTTGGGCTGAATATGAACATCACGAGTCAGACTCGATATAAATATTTTGGGCTGAATATGAACATCACGAGTCAGACTCGATATAAACATTTTGGGCTGAATATGAACATCACGAATCAGACTCGATATAAACATTTTGGGCCGAACATGAACATCATGAGTTAGACTCGTGATCTCAATTTCGAATAAAAAATGTTCCTGTTCTGCGAGCACCTTTCCTCACCATTTCAGCCAATTTTTAATATTTTCGCGGATTACTATGGCCCAGATTTGACCGAGTTAATTTATACAAGAGATTAAAAAGGACGTGCATTAACGTTCATAATGCATTATGCTGTTACAGGACGAAAGTTCCAATTTCCTACGTAACATCTATTTTCTACTGGCTCTTAAATCGTTCTCTTTTCTATTGTATTTCTATTCTTGAAAGAAGAATAACGCTTGCAATTCCAAGTTTTTTCGCTTAGTTTCACATTTAGTTTGATGTTTCTTAATTTAATAGCGAGCGAAGTTCAATTTTATGTAGGAAATGCATATAAGGATGCAATTAGTGTTGCATAATGTTTAAATAACTTGTTGTAATGAAGCTTGTAAAAGCATGCGATTGACGTAGAGGAGACAGAGTTGTCGACTATCATTGATCTCTCGTGACATGTCTATCAAATACGGCCAAAGAAATCTGAAAAAGAATAAATTAAATTGGATAAATATCATTCTTAGTAATAAAACGCGCGCGATTAGTCGGTATAAAAATGTCGTTTATGTAATAGAAGCGTTTTTAATGGGCACATCTCACAGGACATGCGAGCGAAAATTAATACAAGTATTAAGAAACATTTCGATAGGTTTTCAAATTATTTCGGCAATGATCAGTCACTCGGGTTTGAGACTTAATATAAATTCCTTGAATGCCTTCTTCCCTCTAATGTCCTCTTCGCTTTGGAACTTCTGACGAAGTCCAAACATATCGCCGAGAAGATAATGCCTAGAATAGAACGTCACGTAAAATAATTAACATGGTTCTATCATTTGCGTCGGATTTAGTCTCGAATTTACATGGACCCTATTTTGCAATTTGGGATGTACCTCCGGCGATTTCAGAAAGTGTTAATAATATAAAGGTGGATTGAATGATCAACTGATTTCTCCACCCGAGACCCGACACTTATTCCCAGCCTTTGACATTTTTTGGCGAAGGTGATAATTGGTATTAGAAACCATAAATAATAATATTAACCGTATGTAGAAGAGTTTTTATTAGGCACATTTCCTTGACAACGTCTGCGATGAAACAATAAAATGATTGACATGGTTTTGTCATTTGCACCGAATTTGACGCCGAAATAAAATGGCCCCGAATTGCAATTTGGTCGATGTATCTCATTTAAGAAATTGTTAATAATACATTAGCTATTTTTGCGGTTCACACCTGAAGGAAAACATGACGTATCCCACAAGTAGACTCGCCGCGAAGAGCATGGGCAGAGTGGAGCCCTTTTTCGTGGATTTTGGCTTTGGAATCACTGGAACAGGGTTATCCATGGTGATAAGACAATTCAGAGGACTTTGAACTTTTTCACAATTTGTCAAATTATACAAACTATACGGAAACACCAGAGCATTGAGATGAAACAACGGAGGAATCACATTCCAAGGCGCGCTAGAAACGGAACGATTTTACGGTTGTCCAAAAACAAAATGGAGAACGCTCGCCGGTGATAATAAACATGCGCGGCGTGTCACATGATATTCGAAAAAGCCACGGCAAAAGAAAGACGCACTCAGAAGTCAGAATGCGCTCGAGGTTTACAACGAGGAGATTTGTTTTTCGTATATCATATGGCAGTTTCGTGTCCTCTTTCTGGCCGAGATGGCTTGCCTAGCAAAAAGAGGGAAAAATGGACACTCGAGAATACGACTGAAAGCCGTTCCTTAACCTTGGGGTGGATCGTTATCGTTTCAAATCCTTGCCTTTTTTTATCCAAAAGAAACTCGAAAGATAGCAAAGGACTTTAATAGCAGCCTCCTGCCCGGCATTCTTAACGAGTCCCTACGAAAAGTCACGTCTAAATTTTTTGGAAATATCGTTCTACCGATTTCAGGGATCCCGAAGGACGTCCTAAGGACGGCTCGAGATTTACGAGTGGCGTCTCTATTTGTAGAAAAATCGGCGAAGAATCGCTACGTCTTCGGAGGTCCTCGAAGGTCCTTGGATGGCAGAGATTCACCCCTTAATCGGGCGGGATTCCTCGGCATGGAGCATTCGTTCTCGGCGACGCCTCTTCATTGGCCATGCAAAATGAAGAGCGAAAAAGGAAACTCTGAGAAGCGGATTCGATCATTAACATCGTCTGGAGATTTTCAAAATGAAGGCCTAGGTCGGTCGAGACGAGTTCGCTATCCTGCGATGGCCTTCGTCGGCGTCTCTGAGAGGATCCTTGATCCTTTGGGCATGGCGAACATAGGCCGACTTAGATATTTCTAGCTCTCGGAATGCATCGATGGTTTTGGAAACAAAAATCGAAACCCTAGACCCCGAGACCTAGGGGGAGGACCAGGATCGTCCTTTTTCCTTGATTTTTCAGGGTCCCCGAGCGAATCTATCCTTGATCCTTCGGACAGGGCGAACATAGGCCGTCTTAGATATTTCTAGCTCCCGGAGTGCAGCGATGGCTGTAGAAACAAAAATCGAAGACTTGGAGGAAGGTTTAGGATGGTCCTTTTTCCCTGGTCCTTTTCTAGTCTCCTTGAGCGGCTTTATATCCTGCCCTTCAAACATGGTGGATGTCCGCCGATGTAGATATTTTTGGCTCTCAGGATGCTGCGATCTCTTTTTAAACAAAAATCGGAATACTCAATCCCAGATCTGGAAGGACGTCCGGGATCGTCCTTTTTCCTGAGTTCATCTTCAGCGCCTCCGAGCATCTTTTTCCTTGATCCTTCAAATATGGCCAACAAAGCGACTTAGATACTTGTAGCTCCGGGGATACAACGATCTTATAAACAATACTGGGAATGTTCATTCCCGAGATCGGGAAGGACGTTCAGGATCATCCTTTTTCCTTGATCCTTCTTCAACGCCCCTGGGCTTTCACTCGTGGTCTTTCAAACATTGCGAATATGAACCGATTTACATTATTCCTATCAACGCAACGTTCGTTTCGGGAACAAAAATCGACATCTTAAACTTCGAGATCTGGAAAGAGGTCCAGAATCGTCCTTTTTCCTCGTTCCGGTTGAAAAAGAATGATAGAGTCTGACTTGGAACCGGCTGCGATCCTGCGAAGGCGGAGGACCTAGGTCCGGGTGTCGTCTTCAGGTTCCATTTTTTCTTCTTCAAGGATGACGTCGCCTTGATTAACGAACCGAATTTTGCGCTTCTTCATCGGCCGTCCTGTATTATTTGCGCAATTATTTCCTGCTCGAGCTTCCTCGTGGAAGGACATGTTTTTATACCCAAGTGTGAATAATAAATTCCTCGCGGATCCAAAGTGTGCGCTTCGTCCTTTCCTCCCGAGGATGTAGGTTAAACGTTTATATTTGGAGGTTTAAATTTAGGAAGTTCCGCGGATTTCGACTGACCCCGCGACGTTTTTATCGAAACGACATGCATGTACTTATATGCGATTTTATGAATGAATAACAAAATGTCACGGACTTTGATCTGGATACTCCCTGTGGTATTTCGACGCTCCTCTCATTTACAATTACAAATCGAGCGGCGGGACTTGAAGAAATGTCATTCATTTAGATCGTATCGATTCACTTAAATAGCCTCATTTCGTAGCTGATTCACATCTGATCTTAGGCCTAGGTCCGGGTTTTTTTCGATAGGATCCTTTTTCAGTGATGATGCAAACCTAGTGCAAGTGCTGAGACCGCATGTCCTTGCAAATAAGAAAATTATTCCACTGTTGATGGTCCAACCTGCAATTGATGATACATTAAATACCCACCTTAACTTCATCCTCGTCTTAAGATGTTATCGTCCATGTGAAGAATTTTCACTAAATAATTTAATTATTAGTATCTTTCAACGATACGATTCCATTCCACCTTCGACTATACAATCCTAATGATTCCGTTCCTAGCTCGAAGGGCTTCATGTAGCCCAGTTATCCAGCAATTAAATCCAGCGCACTCGAATTAGACAACGATGAGAGCGGTTTAATTATTCCACGGCAACTTTATCTTCATCTTAAGATGCCATAGTAATAAATTTCCCTAAACAATTTAATTATTAGTTTCTTTCAATAATACGACTCCATTTCAACTTTCGTTTACAAAACCTCAGTAATTCCTTGTCTAGCTCGAAGGACTTCGCGTACCCTAGTTATCCAGCAATTAAATCTAGCGCACCTGAATTAGATAACAATGAGAGCCCTCTTAATTATTCCACAACTGCATCTTCGTTTTAAAAAGTTACCATCTTTCAATAATACGATTACATTGCACTTTTCGTCTATAAATCCTCAATGATTCCGTTTCTAGCTTAAAGGGCCCCATGTACCCCGATTATCCAGCAATTAAATCTAGCGTACTCGAATTAGACAACGATGAGAGTTGTTTAATTATTCCACGGCAACTTCAACTTCATATTAAGATACCATGGTAATAAATTTCCCTAAACAATTTAATTATTACTATCTTTCAATGATACGACTGCATTCCATCTTTCGTCTACAAAACCTCAATGATTCCGTCTCTAGCTCGAAGAACTTCATATACCCCAGTTATCCAGCAATTAAATCTAGCGTACTCGAATTAGTCAACGATGAGAGTTGTTTAATTATTCCACGGCAACTTCAACTTCATATTAAGATACCATGGTAATAAATTTCCCTAAACAATTTAATTATTAGTATCTTTCAATAATACGATTACTTTGCACCTTTCGTCTACAAAACCTCAGTGATTCCGTGTCTAGCTCGAAGGACTTCATATACCCCAGTTATCAAGCAATTAAATCCAGCGCACTCGAATTAGGTAACATTCAGAGCCGCTCAATTATTCCACGGCGCATTGACTGTCAGTCTGCGAATTGACACTCCAAGAGTTCAGGGAACCCCGTCCATCAGAAGCGGTCGTTATGTCGCCATTGTTGTAAGACACTTTCCTCCACGTTTGGCGGATCGCCAAGGTCTCCGCTGGCTCTTGAGGTGGTGTCTTCGCGTTGCCACCTGCCATCTTGTCGGCACGTTCCAGGGTTACGCGAATAAGTTAGAGTGCAGAAGACGACGTAAACAATGGCGGGGGGGCGTGCTCGGCCGAGGACGATCGGCCGTCTCGTGTGTTGATCAATCGGTGCCCATATGACGCGTCGGGGATCATCCCGTCGAGGGGGTATATAAAGCCCACCGTGAAAAACTAGAAGCATCATTCGGTTCTCGAGCACTCCTGGAGATCAGCGGAAGACATCCCCGACTCTACTCAGCCATGAAGTACTTCGTTGTGAGTATCCTTCCGTTGTTGCGTTCTCCAAACTTGGAGAACGCCTACAAGAGGTCCTCTTCTCATATCTTGATCATTAATTGCGCCTGTAATTACGAAATGGTCCAAGTCATTTTTTGTCGAGACCCTAACTTCGCATTATCGCAAACTGCGCGGAATAAAATTTGGAATAAATTTAGCTTTTTCGGGAGATTTTTTTATTTCTTTATTCCCGCATTTTTGGACGGAGGTAGGGGAGATCGGGTTGCTCGTAACGAGGTGCAATTGTAACTTTGGCTTTATGTAAGGCAGCTATGAAGTACTTCGTCGTGAATATCCTTCCGTTGTTGCGTTCTCCAAACTTGGAGAACGCCTACAAGAGGTCCTCTTCTCATACCTGCATTGTAATTGCGCCTGTAATTACGAAAATATTCCAAGTCATTTCTTGTCGAGACCCTAACTTCGCATTATCGTAATTTGTGTGGAACAAAGTCTGGGATAAATTTACTTTCTTTTTTGTAAGACATTTTATTTAGCTCATTTCTGCATTTCGTCCGTAATTAAGGGAGATTGGGTATGATCGTAACCCGATGCAATTGTAACATTGGCTTTATGTAAGTCTAGTTTTTTGGGAGATATTTTACTTAGGTGATTCTTATATTCTCGGACATAAATAGGGTCGATTCGGCAAGATCGTAACGCGGTGCAATTGTACCGTCGGCTTGAAGTAAGCGAAATATTTATGTAAAATGCCAACATTGTTCATATGTGGATGAAGTTGTCATAGATCTCCCAAACGGTGACCACTTCATTTGCGGCGGTTGAATGAATTAGCTCTTTTATTTCTCAGGCGTGTAATTGACATCCTCAGAGATCACCTCAATTGGTTCACTATAAAGTGCAAATAATAATTAATAATTTGTGGGGAAGATTAAGCATTGCAATATGCTGTACTAAAAAGGGAGGAATCAGGATGATCCGTATAGTCGGATCCAACCGGGTCTCTGATTGTGAGCTTTTTAATCCGTAGTTAAATGTTAATCGTTGTACAGGATTTTTAGTAAGAACATTTGCTATGTTTGACAAAGAGCAGGAACTAGGATCGATGACTAAATGTCGAATTTCTTCCCAGGTTGCCCTCGTAGTGGCCTTTGCCGCGGCTTCCTCCGCAGCGGCCGTTCCCGAAGGGGTCCAGCCGCAGAAGTTGATGCCGGTGGAGCCTGCGGTAGCCCCGCAAGCGGAAGCGGAAAACGTCGCCAGGGACAAGAGAGGATTCCTCCTGAGCACTTACACCGCACCCGTGGCTTACAGCTCGTACGCGGCTCCGTACTCGTACTCTTTGGGCTACAACCTTCCATACGCCTACTCGTACCGCTCCTACCCCTACGCATACAGCAGCCCCTACATCTACGGCTAGACCCTGAAGAAGGATGGACCCCCTGCGAAGACAACCCAGCCCCCCACTACCCGAGGAAAAATAAGGAATCCGCCCAGACCGTCATCGACAACGTGGTACCACGGCAGGGCATCCCGCCATCTCGAAGAGGATGATCATCCCCGAAGAACCTCTTGACGTCGACACCCATGTCCAACTCTGACCTACAATTTTCGTAAACGATCGCGTTCCTGTTCTCGACGTTAAGACGGAATAAAGCTTATCCTTACTTGTAGTGACGCCGGAAGTTGCCTTTGTTACGATCCACTTGCTCGGAGGAAATGGTACCGCGAGTTCCCGGCAATCGGGCGCGTTAAGGCTAGACTTACGAGCCTGTAGATGGCCCAGCAGGTACTTGGCGCTTCAAGGAATAATTATTCCATTGCGGGACCATCATCCATCACCGTAATCGGTACCGCTTACTCATCGCGTGGTTAGTCCTCGGTAACGCATGCAGACGACGAATCCGTAGTCGTCGCGGGATATGAATTCTCTTCACGATCTAATGCCGGAAGGAGGGTCGCGTCATCTACTCCGAGATCTAATTGCAGAGACCACCTCAACATTTCATTGCGGTGTTCACCTCATTCTTTATTAATTAACATCGGGTAGATCGAGAATCTAATTAATCACTTGAAGTTACCCTTGCTGTTGCTTCTTTACGATTGCTTCGGGAACGCGGTACCATTTTTTGGAAAGTTGGTTAGTACTCTGAAAATCGCTCTGCCTCTTCAAGGTGTTTGAGAGTCGACACGAGACTTGGGCAGGACTAGCTCGATCCGCGCTATTTTGTAGATCTTTACGTGTTTCTTTACTTGATTCGTGTTAAAATTGTTGGGAAAGCGTTTAGTATTGTCATATTGGCTAGACATTTTCTCCCTTTTTTACTCGCTTCGCAGCCATGTAAAAATTGTTGGGAAACTGTTTAGTACCCTGAAGAAGGCGCCGTCTAGAGGATTTACTCGCTTCGAAGCTATGTTTAAATTGTTGGGAAACCGTTTAGTACCCCGAAGAAGGCTCCGTCTCAAGGACTCTTCAGGATATTCAAAAGTCAATGAAGCGAGCTTATACAGGACTCGTTCGATTCTCGCTATTGTTCGGACATTTTCTTCCTTTTTTCCTCGCATCGCAGCCATGTAAAATTGTCGGGAAACTGTTTAGTACCCTGAAGAAGGTTCCATCTCAAGGACTCTTCAGGGTATTCAAAAGTCAATGACGCGAGCTTATACAGGACTCGCTCAGTTTGCCTATTCTCTGGACATTTTCTCCCCTTTTTCCTCGCATCGCAGCCGTGTAAAAATTGTTGGGAGACTATTTAGTACCCTGGAAAAGGCCTGAAGGACTCCTCAGAATATTTAAATCTCAACGACGCGAGCTTATGCAGGACTCGCTCGGTTTGCGCTATTCTCTAGACATTCTCTCCCTTTTTTCCTCGCATCGCAGCCATGTAAAAATTGTTGGGAAACTGTTTAGTACCCCGAAGAAGGTTCCATCTCAAGGACTCTTCAGGATATTCGAATGTCAATAACGCGATTTTATACAGGATTCGCTCGATTCTCGCTAGTGCCTAGCCACTCTTCCCCTTTTTACTCACATCGTAGACATGTTGAAATTGTTTGGAAACCGTTTAGTACCCTGAAGAAGGCGCCGGCTGAAGGATTCTTCAAGATGTTCGGGATCCTATGACACGAGTCTTATGCAGCACTCGGCCGGTCCGCTCGATTTGCGCGTAATCGTACACGTCCGAGGTCTTACACAATGGGAATATTTCCCTCGTAAATGAGCTCTCATTCCGTATTCCCGAAGACCCGACTGTTTAAGGACTTTCACTGCGATCCGCGCAAGACACGCGTGACGAGAATCCCTCCGCGAGCATTCGCGTGTCGCAGATGATCCAATGTCGTTGACAAATCCGCCCATTATGTCCGTCTGGTGCACATTAATTTCCTGCTCCGTATCTCCTCCGCGTTTGCATATTAGAAATTCCATTAGAGCCGGGGAGAGAAATTCTGCAGGAAGCGGAGCCACTATCCTACTCCACGAGAAATGGTAGCGGCGCGGTAATGGAATTTTCATCTCCCTTCTTAGTTTCTGATCTTCCAATCAGCCACCTCGCAAGTACTTTGACTTTGAACCTTCCCCCGAGATGGACGCGACTGTATACGTAGCGTCCTTATTTTTACAAATTTTTTGAATCGTTAATACTAACCAGAGCGGACTCCGCAAGGACGACTTTGCCTTACAAATGGATTAGCCATGAATATTCAAACGCAGAAGGTACTTTCAGCTTTCATCGTGCGAATTATTTTTTCTAGGCCGGCGACGACCTCGCGTGCACCTGACGAAAATCGGTGCACCTTCCTACCCGCCTCGATATCGGTATCGATATGTGTATCGATACGTACGCCGATCCGTAACAGTATTGCTCAAGCTCGATCGAAGAAAGCCGGCAAGAAAGTCTATTGGAATTCGTGGATGGTCGCGACCCGACTGTATTTATACATGTGCAAGTATGGCCGTACTCTTAGTCGGCTGTCCATCCTCGAAGAAATTCGTTTTCGGAGCCCTGGACTTGAGGACACGAGGATTAATGTGATATCCAAACTCGGCTGGCAAGTTCCGAGACCTTCAGTGCTGTGCGAAGTGCCAGGACGGTGTTCCTCGTGTCCTGGGAAAAATGAAGCTCTTCTGGGTAAGTCTCCTCCCGCCTTCTAATATAGTATTGAGTAATTAGTTTCCGCTGTTTTAATTACGCTCGTCCGCGTTAAAAACGACGGGAACTTATTCCTCGACCCGATAGATGCCGAAGAGATAGTTAAAGAATGTTTATTTAAGTCAGTCCAAGTCAGTCTAAGTTAGTCTAAGTCAGTCCAAGTCAGTCCAAGTCAGCCTAAGCAGCCAAAGGGTCAGAATTTTCTTACTTCAGAATTTTTTAACGAATTAATTTCTCGAAATTATCCCTAGAGGCACAAAATATTTGTCGTATGTTGTCTATATATTTAACGAATATCGTACATTTTGTAAATATTTAGCAGACATTTTAAATATTTGCAAAACGTTTACTTTAGAATATTATTTGTATAATATTACCTCCACGTGTGTTCATCATATTTTTCTTACAAATATACAACAACATTTTGTTTCATTTTAATAGAAGTATATTTTAAATATTGAAACCAAATGAAGTGTTCGATAATAATCGTAAAGTATGTTTATAAATTATTCAAACTAAATATGTCATTGAGATTTTCAACAAATTTTCAACAACATAAGATTTTAGATATCTTCAAATTAAATCTACAAGATATCTTAAACAATCTGCCGCTTGAAATGTTTAGCAAAGATTTCAACAAAAAATTTTGAAATTATTCCGTGCTAGTAGGGATTGGGGTCTCCCATTGTAAAGTATTCGTTTTATATTTTTGTTTTCGGTTATAACATTTGTATGTTAAGCGAATAATAGCAGTCGGCATGGAGGATGACAACGGATGTACTCTTATCAGTTAGTAACATAAATTAAATACAAGCTTAAAAAAAAACAGATTTTTACTTAACTAATGGTAGTTCTTTTCAATCACTCAAAATATTGAAGATAAATTTATTCATAATGCTGCGATCATTCAATGTCGACTTTCGATTTTTCAAATTTTCGAAACTTTCGAATTTTCAATCTGTCGATCAATCGATAGGGCCTCTATAATTTCGTGATGAAGTTTCAAATGATTCGATACGCCCAATTTGGAGAAAAGTTTTATAAATATTTTGACTTTTTGGTATGTGTATGACACTTTCTTATCATCTTCAGATTTTAAACTCTCGGAAAGTATAATTAAAGAAAAAAGAATGTCTTCATAGATTTAGACTGACTGCTCCCTTAAGTATGCCTCGGTGGAATTAAACGTGGTTTTTCTCCGTTTAAGGTGATCTTTGGGCTGGTGGCGAGCGCCTCCGCCATTATGGCCGATGAGGTGGACCAGAAGAAGCCGGAGATCACGAAGCTCCAAGTCGCAGACCTGAGTGAAATCGCGTCCGAAGTGTCCTCGGAGGGCTCCGAGGTGCAAAGGAAACGTGATTCGGGTTATGCCTACCCGAGGCCGAGCAGATTCGGAGGTGGACGACTCGCCCTTGATCGTTTCAGAGCGGGTCACTCCAGTCACAGAGGAAGACTATCCACGAGACGACCAGGTCAGGTAAACCGGCCCTTCAACACGTACGGGCTGCCGAATCATCAGCAGGGTCAGGGTTCTTCAGGGAAGGTGCAACCAACCGGTTACCATCACTCGTCCCAGCAGTTCCACCAAAGCCAGAGTCAGCAGCGACCAAACGGCGCCTTCTGGAATCAGGACGTGCCCAGTCCAATCAGGAACCTGGACTTCGTGGAGGCCAGTCCAATAGCGAGCCAGAACACCCAGCCATTCGGCATCAATAGCGCCAATTACCTTCCACCGGGGAACCAGAAACCGCCGACATACACACCGACGGGCACTTTCTCGGCGCAGCAGCCCGGATTCCATAATCTCCAAGGTCAGGTCCAAGATGCCAGCTTGGAAAGTCAAGGTCAGGGTCTGAGCGCGGATCAGCAGATATCGGACGCGGCTCTCTTCCTGGCGGAGAACGCACAAGCCATTTCGCAACTGTACGGAGCACCAGCGACCGATGAGAGCTTCGCGCCGAATTACGAGTTCCGGGAGCCGCAGGACCAGTTTCAGGACTTCAAGGCCAGCGACCAGTCTCGGGGGTTTCCAGCTCCCCTGCCCTCCTACGCTTCCGGGACCCTGAGCAATCAGGAGCTTCTGGAGCAGATCAAGTCCATGGAGAAGGATAGGCTGATCTCGCAGCTGCAGCAGGCGCTGGTCACCCAGAACACCCTCGATCAGGGCCTGGCGAGGTACGCGCAGAGCTTCTCCCAGGGTCAGCTTTTGGAGCAGTATCCACCGCTGGATAGGCCTTCCAAGTTGCCCAACCAAGGTAGTCTGGGTCAGTCTCCGGGGGTCGTGAATTCAGGGAACGCGGGATTTGGGCAGGTTCCTTTTTCTCCGGGGACCACGCTGTCTCCAGGATTCACCGTGACCTATGGTCCTGGGACAACGACGCAGCCTCCGATCACAACGACCACGACGACCAGCACGAGTTCGCCCCCTGCGAGTGGGGCCTCCCCTTCGGCTGGCAGTGATGGATCCACCCAGACGGGATCTTCTCTTCCAGCCCCTGGAACCCACTATTTCCCCCAATATGGCGGATTCGTGCCGACCATCCTGACCGGCACCGGTCTGGTGCCCAGCCAGATACCGAATTACGGAATCCTGGGCACGATTCCTGGATCCCCTTCGATTTCCGCAGGATCCTCACCGACGCACTTCAATCTGCCGATTCCCCTTGACCCTGGACACAAAGTGACCACTCCTGCTTCCTTTTCGCCTCCAGTTCAATCTCCCGGTCAGTCCGGAAGTCACCCAGGAAGTGGATCCCCCTCCACGCCAAACCCTCCAGCCTCCATCCCCGTCCAACCTGTGCATCCAATTAGGCCAATCTCCCCTGCGTTACATCCATTGTTCCCAGCTGCTGGTCCCACCATCCCTCAATTCCATCCTCCTCAAACTCCCGTTGCACCTGTCCCGGCTCATCCAACTTATGGGCTCCAACCTGCGGTCTTCAATCCGCTACTCTACAAACCAGTCAAGCCTATTTATCCCGTCTTGTACTATCCAAACGCCTTCCAACTGCAGAAACCTACCTTGCCGGTGCATCCTTGGAGCTACGCTCCGTCTTTCATCCAGGCCAAGCCAGCCCAGATTTGGAAGTGACCTGATCTTCTTCTCTAAACTGCCCCTAATTTTAAGATTCCTCCCTGTCGCACTTCCCTCGCTTATCGGGGGCTTGTAAATACACGTTATTGTATTTATTATATATATTTTTTTTTATACGAAGAAATATATGTATACCGAAATCTCGAGGGATGTGTTCTCTTTTCTAGACCAACTTTGACCAACCGCCAGAGGAGCTGGACCTAACCGAGGCGTCTTAGGCGACCCAGGTCGATAATGCTACGCCGAAAAGAAGCACGACTCTCTCGATCTCATCCTCGGACTTCGGTGGAAAGTTGCACCGCCAAGAAAATCTCCGATGCTTTCTTCAGGGGAGACTCTCTCCGGCTAGTCGGCGCGACTTGCTCCGTTTTCGTCCCCGATCCAGTCTCGAAAGTTCATCGATCATTCCATTTTTATAGGGTCGTTTTTCGCCGACTCCGTCACCTTCGATAGCTGACAATCGATCGGTTTCGCGAGAGATTAATAGCGAGAGATTGCAGAGGATTCGATCCTCTCTGTTTCAATAAATGTCTTTACGGTGGTTACTCTTGACGCGGGTCCACTTCTTCGAGATATTCGGGTCCGCTCGTTTTCGTCTTCCTCGAGGCTTCGGATCTTGGCCATTCACTTTCCGCGATCGACCCATTTAGTTCCTGCTTTTCGTTTTACCAGGCGATGGCACTTTTACCGGTTACTCTCAGCCGGGATTTCTTCCCCAGGCGCCTTTTAGGTTTCGCTCGAGAAATTTCCCCAGGCCGATGGATCTGTACGCGACTTTCTGTGCCCAGGTGTTGACCCTTCACCTGGAAACCCCGTAAAATCCTGGATGAGAGACCAGAGATCCTTCTGGCGTGATCCACGCTCTTATATACTTCTCGCATCGAACGAGGTGCGTGCACTTGGCGCGAAACTCAGTCGGGGATCTGGCTGTTGCAAGAAACGATTCTTGATTGTTGATTTAATTTCTGATATCTTCTTCAAGCGCCATTTAGATTTCGCTTGAAAAATTTCCCCAGACCGATGGATTTGTAAGAGGGTTTCTGTACTCAGGTGTTGATCCTTCACCTGGAAATCCTGTAAAATTCTGGATGAGAGACCAGAGATCCTTCTGACGTGATCCACGCTCCCATATTCTTCTTGCATCGAATGCGGCGCGTGTACTTGGCGCGAAACTCAGTCGGAGGATCTCGCGGTCGCAAGAAACGACTCTTAATTGTCGATTTAATTTCTGCGGTTGCAAAAAGTTAACCGAGAGGAGGCTCGCCATTGTCTGGGCTCGAGAAAAACGGTGCAGTTAATTTTTGAAGGCAAAAAGTCCTGCCGAGATGCGCAGGGAAAAAGCTTTCGTGACCAATTCCAATTCTTCGAGGGCGTCACGAAGGTGCTGGCGAGCACTTTTGTATTACTTCTTAAGGTGATATGAAAGTGTGATATATACGTATCGAAAAGTCCGAATAATTATAAAACTTTTCTCCAAAATGGGTGCACCAAATGATCTGAAACTTTAACACGCGATAATGGGGGCTCAAAGGAACAACGCGCTGTCCGTGAAATTTCATTTTTCGAGAAAAGAAATATCTTTTTTTGGTTCTTGTCCGAGATAAGTAAAACATTTTTTTGCAAAACAGGGAATTTCATGAGCAGCGCGTTATTCCTTAGGGCTTCCATAATCACGTGTTAAAGTTTTTATAATTCGGTGCTCCCAGTTCGGGAAAAAGTTTTATAAATATTTTGACATTTTGTTATGTATATATCACACTTTCTTATCACCTTAACGGCCATTGATCTGTATGCTCGCCGGAGCGTGCCGCTGTTTGTTATTATTACGTTTATTATTTCCCCTGTCTTAGCCGTTCCAGTCTTTTCACTTTTCAAGAGCAGGGTGAAAGGTGCCGCAGGCAGTCATTCACTGCTGGAAACGTTGCATTGACTCGGGCAAGTTCATGGTTGCTGTAATTATGCCGGGGACTCGGGACAAATCCATTTGCGCAAACGGCCTCGCGATCCCGGAGGCCGCCTCTTACCCTGACAATATTCCCAGAGCGGGAAAAGAAAATCTGTGCGTGGCTAACACACGCATTGGGAGTGCAATTTCAATGTTAAGGAGAATTATTATATACAGCATTATTAATTATCCTTAATTATTCCTCCGCGATATGACCTCGCGCGTTTGGTACTGTCTGTTTTGGGCAACATTGCGAGTGAAATTTAAAAGTTGGGGAGAATTATTGTATACAATATTATTAATTATTTTTAATTATTCCTCCACAACATGCCCTCGCGCGTTTGGTACTGTCTATTTCGGACAACATTACGAGTGGATGTTCAAAGGTGGGGAGAATTGTTATATACAATATTATTAATTATCATTAATTATTCCTCCGCGATATGATCTCGCGCGTTTAATACTGTCTATTTTGGACAACATTACGAGTGGAATGTCAAAGGTGGGGAGAATTGTTATATACAATATTATTAATTATCATTAATTATTCCTCCGCGATATGATCTCGCGCGTTTAATACTGTCTATTTTGGACAACATTACGAGTGGAATGTCAAAGGTGGGGAGAATTGTTATATACAATATTATTAATTATCATTAATTATTCCTCCGCGATATGATCTCGCGCGTTTGATACTGTCTATTTTGGGCAACATTGCAAGTGAAATTTTAAAGTTGGGGAGAATTGTTATATGCAATGTTATTAATTATCCTTAATTATTCCTCCGCGATATGATCTCGCGCGTTTGGTACTATCTATTTTGGGCAAAATTTTAATTTCTATTCGTGTTACTTTTTTATTCTATTGAAATGTCAATAATTAACTGAGAATAATGCAACCAAAATTAAATACTAATGCAAGTTGTCTGAATACTAACGACAAAGGTGAATAGCAATGTACTGCAAAATCGCATTTACGCAGATTGTGCCGATAGTAGATCGGAAAGATATATTTAAGAAATGGTAATTAACTAAAAGAAAAACGGGGTTGAGATGAAATGTTAATATTGAACGGCGATTTTAAAGTCAACTTTTCCCATAACTCCAACAAAAATATTTATGCAAACTATGTCGATATTAAAACACAAGGTTGCATCTAAACAGTAATTAATTGTTAGAAAACTGAATTACAAAAAAATGTTCGAATCGGGCTCCTTTCAAGGCGTACTAATTTATAAATATTCTAATGTCATGAGAAGTTTCACTTGAAAAACCACTAATTTAAATGCCAACGCAAATCGCGAGAATCTCACTGGCGAAAATTAATTTTGGCACCCCTTAAAAAATCCTGGCATCGAAAATAAACAATCGCGATATGTTTCTCTCTCTTCGCTGGAGAAAGTGCGTTTCTTGAAGAGTCGCCAGTACACCGGTTGATTATTTCTTTGCCATCTCGTACAGACACTAATGACCGTCGCGGTAGACATTCCTGGTCTTCATATCAGAATCCGCGAAGATAAATGTAAGCAGCATTTTCTGGAGCATTTCGCAGGAGAAAGTGAATTTCGTCGGCGAAGTCGGCAAGGTTTAACGAGCTAGCACCGGATAATGTCGAATTAGTCTCGGGTTCTGTTCGAGAGGCCTAATAACCGACAAAGGCTCGATTAGACAAGAGTGAAATGGAATCCGGAGCTCCGTTTCGCACTCTCGGTTTTCGGAGGTCCTTTCGATTAGTTTCCTGCGAAATAAAACGTTGTCCGGGATTAGCTAAGCAGGATTTACATCGGGTATGCTTTCGTTTACTTTGCGTTCGTCCTGAAAGGAGAAAAAAGGACACGAGAGCGCTGGGCGCTCGGAGTGCAGGATAACGACACTTTCCTTCCATCAATCAGGCATAAAGAACCGGAAACGGCTGTTTGCAGGCGTTGATTGTTTTCTTCGGCAACGCCAGTCTTTCAGGAGCGTATGTTTTCCATTCCAGTTTATGCGAGGTGAGGTGTTCCTCTGTAATTTCAGTTCCATAACCTCTCAAAGGCGAACTGGAGAACGCGCCGTAACGAGTCTTTTTAGATGAACAAAAGACCCGCCATTGTCGGCCCTGTTCGTGAAATTTCGATGAAAAGTAGTCACTCGAGGTGGATTTTCTAAATGTATTTCAGAAGAAAGCAATGCCGAGCCGAGAGATGCCCAAGAGCGTGGCCAGGATCGGCAGGATCCGATTTCTTGTTCCTGTCCAGGACTTTCGGGCCGGAAATCCCACGGTGCCAAAGGCGACTTCCTTTATCCCACGAGTGAAAGTAAAACGAAATCAATTGCCCTCTCAACCGTTCTGGTTGGCACGAAGAACCAACCGGAGATCCTGAAGAAGGCCAATCGATGGTCTTCCGGCGACCGGTCACTTTTTTAACCGGCACATTCTCTCGAGATCCGGCTCTTCGAAATTTATTTTCGTACCGGAAGTTCCGTATGGTACGTTAATTTGCACGTTATAAAAGCCATTCGAAAAGCGAAACGCTTTTTTACAGCTAATTACTCGGCTAATAATTTGCATTCCGAGCTTTAGTATAGAAACAATTTGCGTAAAGGTTGCAATTAAAGGTGGGACGTTACTCTCTAAGTTAATTACAGTAATTTGAAGCGAAATAAAGGTAACGTAGATAAATATGAAAATGATTATGCTCAAAACAGGCAGGAAAGGACTCGTAATATTTCCTGGAGGAATAATTATGATTAATAATGTCTAATAATTCACTTTAACTTGGAATTTCACTTCCAATCCGCGGCGGAGGCACGCACCGATTTTATTAGTAAATTTACATGGCGATATGAAAGTTACTTCCAATATCGATCTTAGAAATTATCCCAGGGAAATTGATTTCCTGGACACGTCTTCGTGGCGTGCATTTTTATGCCCTTGTCGACACGTGTACCTTCGTACCTTCTTCATGTACTCATGGCGACACACATAAAGATAAAGAGAGGCCAATAGAAAATTGTGTCATACGCAAGACAGGATAAATGCCTTTCGTTACTTCGCGACCGATCAGGCTTTCTATGCAAAATCCACTCCAAGCAGGTAATGCACGACCTGTTTCGGAATAGACACGATATAACTGATAACAGCAACGAGGATAAGAATCTCCACGTCTCTCTCCCTCTTGTGACCATTGTTCGAATTTTTTCCACCGTTATTGTCAGAGGAACCGTTTCATCTTGTCAACGCTTTAATTAGTATTTATTATAATTACCTACGGAAGCATTTATGTAACTTGTTGCTCTACAAGGGATCGCAATCTCGGATCACTCCCATTGATAAATAATTAATAATGCATTCTGGTATCACATCTGGTATCAGAGGGAGGTCAATCACATGCACCAATTTCCTTGCCTGAAAAACGTGTTTTCCAGAAACTAGTTCAACTTGTCGGCCACTATACAGGTGATGGTACCGTTTTTAGTGTAGTTAGGGTTATTAATGTTATTAATGAGGGCACAAAGATATAGGTGGTGCATTTAAACATTGTAAGTGCACTTGAAAGGATTAGCCGGGTGATTTGGTACTCTTGATCAATCGTAATAGTCTGATAATTTTGATTAATTGTAGTGGTCTGGTAATTTTTGTTCATTCTTAATGGTTTGGTAATTTTTATTCATTCTTAATGGTTTGGTAATTTTTGTTCATTCTTAATGGTCTGGTAATTTTTGTTTATTCTTAATGGTTCGGTAATTTTTGTTCATTCTTAATGGTCTGGTAATTTTTGTTCATTCTTAATGGTTTGGTAATTTTTTATGGAATATTTCCTGATCGAACACTTTGCATTTTGGGAAGAGAGGATTCTCTTCTGTCGCGAAGAGTCGACTCAGAGCGCCGTGATAAAGGCGACAGTTTTCAACTTTTTTAAGAGCTTTGCGGCACTTGGCAAGTTACGGCGACATTGACGTCTTGGTATTACGCGTTGGCATGGTTTACGAGGTCGTAAAAAGCGCGTAAGAGAAAATCCATTGAGCTGTGATCTGATTAGACAGAGGTCCGTGTCGCCTTTGTCGTCTCGGGTTTCGATCGGAGGGGCGAATAAAAGGAGGCCAATTTTAAAACGCCGGGTGAAATCCGTCGCACCCGAAAAACCATTTCCGGACTGTCGTCGGCTTTTCTTTTACACCAGGAAAATATCTATTTATCTAAACACGTGAAGAAATTCTCGCGAACCGGTCCTAGGAGGTCGACTTTCAGAAACGCGTCTCGGAACGTTCCGTTCCCTTTACATGTTTCATATTACGGTTCCTATTAAAAAAAAAGGATTAAAGGTGTCAGATATTAGATTAACTATTGAATTGAAGTCAGTGTCCAGATTGCAAGGTCCGAATTTAAAGGCACCTGTCGACGTCGATTTTATTTTATTAGGTTCCCAATCAATAATTCACAAGATTTGACATTTTACTTTAAAATATCATTGTTTTTCCTTTATGTTTATGTTATGCACCACTTTAAAGCGCTGAATTCCCTCAACAACGCCATAATAACTGTTTTATAAATATTAGTTCGTTTTATTCTAATTAAAAATGGAAAAGAAACGCATTCAGAAGATTTTCCAGAACGAGTTAAAAATGGATCGCAATGGCATGAAATATTGATAATGCATTTTGAGAATTATGTTTTCAACATTTCCATGGCGTTGACAATGGCTTTAAAGATCAGGAATATTTTGGACGGCATTGACGATTACACGAAAGTATTATTGCAACATTTAAAATACATTTGTTTAAAACATGCACAGCAAAGTCTGCGCTGCAAATGATGCAGAAATGGGAAACATTTTTATTGGAGAACAATGCGTCGGATTCTAACCGGCAAAGTGCGCAATATGTATGTAGACAAAGTAATGGTAGACCTCGGGAGTTCGCAACGAGTTTTCCTGATTTCTACCGGAATTTCGAGCGATCTTTCTTCGAGCGCGGAAACGCGATCCCTCCCCAGGGGATTGCAACCGGAAGTCTGCTCGGCGGCCGCTAAATTGAAGGTTCGAGTGCGGTACCGAGTTTTACTAATTGCTGGGAATAGGCCAAGGAATTGCCCGGCTTTCTGGTTAGCTAGAGCCGCTTCCGCGGTGTAAAGTGTTCTGGATGAAGGCGATTTCTTCGATGATTTAACTGCCTCTTGGGGTTAGAAGCCGTCCGAGGTTACATGATGGACGTGATTAAGGGGTGGAGGTAATGAGTTTCTGGCCGCGAATTACATATGATGATCGGTTACCAGAGACAGCATGGAAGGTGAAGGTGGTTCGCATCTCCTCGTTCCTCCTGCATCCGAGAAATTTGAATTTACGACACGAATGGATTATTAATGAATTACCAAACGGTGCCGTTTTCCGAGGACGTCTCGTGGTATCTCTTGGTATTTTATTCCCCTCCTAGAGAGGATGAAATACGGTAGCTCGGACTTCATAAGGAAGTTAATTAAGCAGCCTGCCTCGGCAGAGAAGCACGAAAATCTAGATTATCGCTGAATATTAAATAGGAATTAATTTCCCTCTTCAGGCCGCGCTTCCGGCTCATCGTTTAATCCCAGAAATATATAAATCCTGAAGCTCGAGAAGTGAGAGTCGAGGCGTTCGACCAACAAAGAGGTCGATACGTCGATGTGCATATGTGCTCGTTTAATTACTCCCCAGAATACGGAAAATCGCGAAACTTCCCAGATGATAATTCGCTTCCGCATCCTGAAGAGCGCTCACGCACCGGCATTTCCTCGTGATGCAGAACCTCTTCGTGATTTAAATGGATCGCTTTATCGCCGCAGGATCTCCCTGCAATTCCAGCCAATTCTCGAGAGTGAGAGTAGAGTGGTCCAGTGCAAGAAACGCTGGGGAAAAAAAATCGAAGAGCTAATAAAGGGAAAAAGAACGTCCAAAGCTCGTGGAAAGAGCGAGCGACTCGCTCGAGGACGTCACGACGCGAGAATTTCTATTTTGCAAGAAAACTGGACGCTTTTTGCGAGCAATATGCTCGCGTGTGCCGTCGATAGAGGCATTCGATATCTTTTATGACGAACAATTGGTGGGCCGTCGACTTGACATTTGTTAAAGGAGAAGCGGCGATTGTCGCGCTCCTGAGAGCCGCGCGAGCAACGCGTGCAGTCTGGGAGCAGTCTTACCTTCACCTAGACCTTTCTTCCAGCGAGAAAGAGGGGATCCAGATATAAAAGGTCTCTTCGTGGTAGCAATGGCATCAGACACCACATTTCACTTACCCACAAGGCCAGTATCCCGGAACCAGGAAAAAAATTTGCCGAAACAACCCCTAACCCAGCCATGCGCTCGCTCGTAAGTTGTAACAAAGATACCTAAAACGATATCAGCACTTCCCCCGGAAGATTTTCAAAATCCAGTAATACTTTTTACACATACATCCAGTAATGCTTTAAATACATGCTTTTTATATCCCGAAAATCCCAACCTCGGCGCGTCAGCTTTTATTCTCCGAAACGTCCACATTGATCCGCTTTCGAAAATTCGATTTAATCCCTTTTGAATATATAAATGTTAAACTTTAAATCCTTTATAGACAGTCGTGGTCATCTGCGGACTCGTCGTCCTGGGCGAGTCGAGCAGGGAGGTCCAGTCTTCGAGGTCGGAGGTGCGACCCAGGTTCCGGGGAACCAAAGACAAGCGAGGGATCGCGGACTACTCTTCAGGGGGTGGCTACTCTTCGGGAGGATCTTCCTACTCGCAGCTCCAGTCAGCTCCAGTGAGTTCCGGCTACACCCTGGGAGGTTCTCATGGAGGGCTGTCCCTGGGGTACTCCGGACTTCAAGGATTTGGAGGGTTTGGCGGAGGTTCCCTCAACCTGGGGCACGCGTCGTATTCCGCCCCGGTGTCCGGGGGTGGGTTCGGGTCTGGCTTAGGTCACGGTTTGAGTTTCGGATCCGGTCTGAGTCAAGGATACTCTCTGGGAGGTCACGGAGGTGCATCCACCTACTCCTTGCCGTCCTTCGCGGCGTACAGTGTGAGTGGAGGTCACGGGGGTGGGTACGGAGGTGGAAATCTCCTGACCCAGGGGACCACCAAAACGGGGCCGGTGACTTTCGGTATCCAGGGTGGAGGTACCAGCGTTGGTCACGGGGTGCAAGGTCTATCAGCCTATGGTGGCGGAGGATCCGGAGGGTATAGCGTCCCGGTGGTATTGGGCTCATCCCATGGGTCTTCCTATGCAGCTCCAGCTGGAGTTTCCGGGTCCCATGGCTCGGCATTGAGCTCCCTGTCCTCTGGCTCCTACAGCATCCCTGTGTCTTCGAGCTCGTCCCATCCCGGGAGTCTGGTGATCTCCGCTCATCAGGGTGGGTCCTCTTCCGGCTACAGCATCCCGGTCTCCAGCGGATCCTCTCATGGGGCGGGAATTTCTTCAGGATCGCACGGCTCCTCCGCCTACTCCATCCCAGCCTCTTCAGGAGTTTCCTACAGCTCTCCGACATCCCACGTGGGTCTGTCCAGCGGGTCCGCGGACAGCAGCAGCTACCATCTCCCTATCTCTTCGGCTTCCTACCCGGCATCCGACTCCAGTTCGTACCCCTCGTACGCGGCTTCTTCGGAGGGCAACTCGTACTCCTCTTCTGGGAGCTCCGGCTACTCAAGCCCCAGCTCCAGCTACTCCAGCCCCTCTGTGACCTACTCGGCTCCCAACTCTGGCTACTCTGGTCATAGTTCTAACTATGCCAGCTCCGGTTCCAGTTATTCCAGTCCCAGCGTCAGCTATTCCAGCCCCACCGCCAGCCATTCTAGCCCTAGTGCCAGCTACTCCAGCCCTAGCTCTTCCAGCTACTCTTCGGCGTACTCCAGCCCCTCCACGTCCTACGGAACCCCTGCGGACTCCCATGGTTCCTATTCCGCTATCAGCCCCAGGTACCTCGGCTACTCTGGGAAGAGTTTTGACTCCAGCGATTCCGATGGATCCAATTACGACACCATCTCCTACTCCAGCCCCAATGGAAAGTATTAACCATCCTAGGCCTTGTTCGTGACACTAGCTCGCCACGTCGGCGTCTTCGGTATGACCCCGTATACACCATGTCCACCCTGAAAACGCTGAGGTGATCTACGGATCATTACAGATGACTCCCTGGATCTCCCAATCCAAATTTCCAGCTTTAGCTGTTACGAAAGGTTTACGGAGTCTCTAGCTCCTAGAAAATCATATTTATGCGCCTAAGATAAGTTGACGCTTATTTATAAGACACGTTAATGTCGACGGATTCGTTACGCGTTGTATAGTGCTGTCGTGTGATTATTGTTACGTAGTTTTTATACCTTTTTATAATAAAGACCAAGTTCGTTTTTCATTGATGACCTTCGCTCAAGCTATCACCCAAAATGTGTGGCTCGAAGATGAAGCCCATCCACCGCGTCGATCCTGCATGTTGGAAATCACCCGGGCGATTAAATTGCCCATAACCCCATTGCCTCGTAAATTGGCGAAGAAAGTTAATTAAATCTCATGCAGATGAGAAGATACAGGGAAAAGGTGATCGGGGTAGTAGTAATCTCGCCGATCAATTGGAATCGACCGATCGATTTTCCTTCTGGCGTTTACGCTCGTAGATCACTTGCTTCATCCGATCAATGGTGGCGTCCAGCTGCACCTGCTTAGCGAAATGATCTCTGGATCGCCATGAAAATCATCTGGATCTAAATTACCTGGAGAGAAAGGTTCATTGCTCCCCGGCCGTGAAAGTTCTCGGTATCTGGACTGGCGAAGCCAAAAATAGAGCTGAAAAGAAGGAGCAAGTGCGTCGCAGAAAAATCGGATCACTTTTACTCCAAGGCCGACGTTCCCGAGATGGGGCGGGCAGACTCCTTTCTAAATCTTCATTTTATTTGGGAAAGTCGCAAGCCGGCCGGTTTGCCTCTGGCCGAGTGAACGGCGACCCCTCGGACCGGTTCTGGACTCGTAAGGAGATTCGCGAGCCGCCATTTTGGTGAACACCCCGGATGAGACACCTCGAGGAGCTTTCCGCTCTTCCGCATTGCCAGCCCGAAATCAGCTGACTGGTTCCCAGGCTTTCTCGGACGTCCGGGAGCTCCGAAGACTTCCACTTTTATATTTGCACTTCTCTTTGAACGATTAATATCCTCGTTTAATCACCTTTCCCATGGACTCTCCACCGCTCGTCGATTTAATCGTATTTTGACATCGATATCCTCGCTAATTAAACTCTTGTCATTTTTCTCCAGTGAGACTTCTAACGACTGTATGTGTAAGTTCGCATGGAAGGAGAGGGACCTATTTCGGAAATTGATACGCTTCTTTTAAGAGTTAATTACTATGTACGTTCAACTTTGCGTTTTAGTATCGACACAATTTGCGTGGGTTTTCATTTTGCGGTGTATTATTATTTATATTCATGTTTGCGCGTTAGGGTAACCGCATTATTATCGATTAATTGCTGACATTTCAAGGGAAATAAAATTGAAATTAAACGAACAAAGGGCCTTTTGTGAGGGAGTAGTGAGGGGCAAATGATTACAACTAACGATACCGTTTAACGTAGAAGTTTCACTTCTAATGCCGATTTTTCTTATCAACCCTGGCAATTATACGATGTATAAGGATTATCAACAGTGGGCGTATTATTTTTCCGATATGAGGCGTAGCCGAAGAGAGAGCGATCCGCTCTTCGGGGAGAGATGGTGCACCGAAGTCGCTGACCATCAGATACGAAAATTTCTCCATGACGAGGCGGACAACCCACGCGTAAACGGGCACGAATTTAGTGCGTGCCCGCAAGTAGAGTCTTCATGTAAGTACATGCGAGCACATGACCCAGTTGCGAGGACTACTCGTGCGTGCACGTAGGCGGGAGTGTCGCCGGGTTATAGTCATGTAGAAGCAATTCGACACGCCACATTGTACCTGGCTTTTCCTGGTTCCAACAAAGACGGCATCAGACCCAGTTTCACCATTTTCCGAGGTCTCCCAATCTCCACCAGGTCAGCCTAGTTCCATTCCTCGGCCTTTCGAAATCCATCCGAATGGTAAAAACCAACATCAGTGAAATCGCGCATTTACATTCCTCCAGCATCGCTTAAAAGCACCCCGGACCCTGAAGAGAAGGGCGTCAATTTCTTCAGCCTAAGAAGTGGGCGACGTTTTCCCCATCGTGGCTGTAAAATCGGTAGGTATGCTGCGCCGACTTTTCTAAGATTTTTTCCAACCCGCGAAATGGACAAAAAGCCAGTAAACGTGAGAAAGACCCTCCTGTGCGATTTAATGACGATAGGAAACTCCAAATCGGTGTTCCGAGTAATTATCATCTCTAGCGATTGCCCGGGCTATGGGGCACTTCACCCTCGGGAGAAATTCCCCTTTCCCTTAATTTCTCCGGATTGGTCGTAGAAATCGAGCGGGTATCGCTGGAGATCGGCACTTTGGGACTGAACCCCGGAAGCGGGGATCGCCACTTCCGATTTCGATCGCGAAGAGGAAAGGTCCGCCCGATGGCCCCAGGTGTGGCCCGTGGATGGCCACTTCGATTCGCCGGAGAAAGTGAAATGATCTATCATCTTGTCGAAGGAGATCGCCCGCTGGACGCTGGAGAACGCCTTTGGAGAACGCTGGAGAACGCTGGAGAACGCATTTGGTGAATGCTGGAGAACGTTGGAGAACGCCGGGGCACCCGGCCGTTCCCTTCTCCTATGCACTTGGGTCTTTCGAGATTTCCGAAGTGATCCGGTCCACGCCTTTCTTCGCAGATTCGAGCACGATGACGATCGGGAAAGTGGCCGTAATCGTCTGCCAGTGGCCAATAGCGGCGACGTCTGGGCGAGTTTTCTCCTGGGTCGAACTCGTTCTACGATGACGTCCATCGCCCTTATTGGCTATTCAGGAGCAACCTCCAGATCCGATGCATTTCCCACCGCGGCTCGACCCATTTATTCCGTTCGAGCCATCGGAACCTCGAGTGCATTTCCACTGTCTCCGCCGCGGGATGACCGGCTCGTAGGCACGTATAAGACCAGAGAAAACCCGAACTAGTTTCCCATTTTTTCCCCAGGGCTCGGGGTATAAAGGAGAAATTCCTGCTCCTGCGATCCATCATTAACCGTCCGACCTGGACGACGGAAGGCTCGCTCCTGGAAAAGTCTCGGTTGATGACTGTGACCCGGGGACCTTAGGCCAAGGAGCACCGGTGACCTCGACATGGAGCTGCTGCTGGTCGGTATCTTCTGATAGATTACTGATTTTCAGGGTTTCTCGATACCTGATAGTAAATTCTTAGATAAGATCATTATGCAAAGGGGATAAGCTGTGATTCCACCTGGGTCCTTTTTTGACTCGTTCCACGCCTTTCAAAACGCCGCCATATTACAATATGTGTATCCGTGTATGTGTATATGGCAGTGGTTTCTTTAGAAGTATCATGACAAATGGATTGTATTTTCGAAACGGAAACGTATATGGATGATCAATAAAATCATGTAGAAACTGGAATGGGAGGACGAAAGACGAGGACATATGATACTTTTTTATTTAATCTCTCTTCAATTTGTTTCGTATTCGACGCAATATTTTGATTGGTTGGTAGTTATAAAATATCGCAACATTTGGAAGTGGACTGTAATTGGTCCGTAGAAAGGGATGCGCGGTATCACTTTCTTGTATTCTTTGTATCATGGATGAGATACCTTCCAGAGAGGTTCTCAACGGGAATTGTAATTTCACTTGCATCGTTTAATTAAGAATAAATTGTTTACCGGTACTATATGAAGTATTTTTATTTCAGGTATTGTGCGTGCTGTCGCCAGCGATAATCGCGCAGCGATACCACAAGACTGGGAATCCGAACGACGAGCCGTTCCTCCCGATTTACCCGGTATTTCCGTACAGTCCAAAGCTGATGAAAAGAGGAACGGACAGGGAGATCATTACCCAATTATCCCCGGAGCTCTACGCGCCGAAACTGGACGCGAGGGATTCCTATACGGCGAGTTACAGCAGCAATTACCCGCGAGACTCTTATTACTCTACGTACAACCCGTACCCGAAGAGTCCCTCGACGAGTACATATTCTCCATATTACGGCCCGGTGCCCTACACCTACACGACCCCCTACACGCCCTACTCAGGCTACTCGAATCCTGGCTACACGCCATCAAGTCCTTTCTCCACGGTGAATCCTTTCTCAACATCAGCTCCTTACACACCCGCGACCTATTCGGGAAGCCCTTATTCATCTCCGCCCTATCCGAGCTACTACTATCAACCGCCATACTATCCCCCCAACTATTATCCCCATCCCTATCCTCCTGGACCACCGGGTGAGTATTCAGGACCAGGACCAAAACCCGAGCCCGACTCTTCGGACGCCTCCAACGAGAAAGACGAGAAGGACGAGAAGGAGGAGAAGGAGAAGACCCAGAGGAGCAAGAGCAAGGACTCGTCCTTGTCCAATGGGAACCAGTTCGTGGATGGAGGGAACTATATATCGTCAAACGGAAAGGACTTGGAGAGCCAGTCCAGCACCTACAAGGCTCAGAGTCCGTACAACCAGCTGGTCCCGGTGCCGGATTTCAGGAACCTGCCCATCCCGGTACCCAGGACTACCTACCGGGTCATCAGCGTTGGAGGGCAGCCTGTAGGACCAGACTATCCCTTGCCGAGTCACTACGCCAAGGTGCAGCAGCTAGAACAGGCCATGAGTCAGGCTCTGGCCAAGCTATTGGCCCAGAGTAGCAACCAAGCGCCCCCTGATGCGTCCTACGCAAACTACGACTCCAACAGAAATACCCTGACCAAGCCTCAGGACGCCCAATCCTACGTGACCGTACCTAACGTCATTGCTAAGACGGGCTTGGTGTACACCGGGCCTCTAAAGGGTGACAACAGCCAGTACTACACCGCCAATCCCCATCTTAGGTCGGCAGAGCAACCCCAGGTCATTCCCGTGACCTCGCTGGCCAAAGCCAGCTCCAAGTACCCCGATAACCAATATATGCAGAAATCGGTAACCAGGATGGCTATGCAAGAACCCCAGGGAGTCTACATTCCCCCGAAAAACAGCAAGAACCAGCCTTCTGATGACTATGGAGTATATGAGAACCAAGCCAGCCAGAACTACGACCTGCCTCAACAGAACTACCCGATCCAGGGTCAGGGGCCCGTCTCGTACCAGCACCAGAATCTCGTGTCGGTCCAGACCCCCCAATCTCACAGTTACCAGTTCAACAGCTACCGCCCATCACAGGCTTCTCAGCAGCAGCAGCAACAGCAGCAATACAAAATGACCAATCTGGAGGACGTCAACTTCGGTGCTAAGACCAGTAAGGGGTAGATCAGGGTCGAGACGCAGGGTCGGACCTCCGGCCCACGTCTCTCAGACCCGACCTAGGTTAAGGGGACCAATCCCAAGTCGATTTTAATTCTGGTGTCAAAATCTGGGACACAGATCGAGATCGAGGAGACGTCGGAGTCACGTGGGTCACGTCTATTTTAGATCCCTCGAGAGCGACGACCAAAGCTCAGGATGATCGTGCCGAATGAAGCCACGGTGCTGATGGAACACCGGGTAAAGGGACTCCTTGCTGGACACCTTGAAGAGGAAGAGGAGGAGCGGGGGAGGATGAATCGGAGTTCTCGGAAGCGGAGATCCAGGTCGTGGTTGGGTCCATGGGTGCAGGAGGATGGAGAAAGGAAGCGCCACGCCTATCCGTGGTCCTGGCTAGGTGGAGGTGCTATCTGGAGCTGGTAGATGGAAGTGATAGCTCGACGTGCCAGGTGGAGGCGCCTGGTGAAGGTTCTACTCGGTTCTCCGGTAGCCGGCAGCTAATCTTATTCCATACATTTCTGCCTTTGCGTTATGTCGACGGAGCAGATTAAATAGTGTAGTCTCCACTTCTGAGAAACGTCGGGGTCGATTTCGATCCTTTCTTGTCCAACCGAAAAATAGGAGGATCGCTCGAGACGTCGAACATAGGATGTAATTAGCGTAAAAATTGCCTGACATTTCGTTGGAAAGTTTCTCGTTAATTTCCCGTTCCTTTCTTCCCCATCATGAACTGGACCAATGTTATTTATACAAAAGAGGCTTGTAGCGACCTGGTAATAAATGATTGTTGATACTGTTACGTTAACTGCAGAGTGCCTCTTCTCGGATTTCTTGGGATGAATAATGTGCTTTTCCAGTCTTCGATGACGAAGGGGTTCATCATGAAAGTTGGTGGGCGAGGTTTTCCTAGGTTCCCTGGAACCGATCCACGGCGGATGTGTCCACTGATCGGGAAGGCATCCGTTGGAGAAACCGGCTAATTACAATTAATTCCCCTTTTCGAGGAGAGTGCCTTAACGAGGCCTAGTTCTTCTTAATAACAGGTTGTTCCATATTTTGCTTCTCGCAGCGCGCCAAGATGGCCCCGGGCCGGCTCTCGTCCAGCCTTTTAATTTTCCCCCCTTGCAGGGGCACTTAGAAAATTACAAAAAAATCTTGAAAGAAGGGCGAAGATGAAGAAAAAGAATTTCACGGGTTTCTCGAAGACTTCGGCTGGTTCTTGCCGGGTTCACAGGGCCCTCTCTCGTCCGTCGTTAATCTTCCGGGTCGACGTGCCGATTGTCAAGAAGCTCTTCGAGGCTCGGGCCCCAAGAGAGAGGGAAATCCGCGAAAAAGGTAAAAGACGAGCGCGGAGAGTCGTCGGTGGCATTTTGCTTTATTTTCGAAATTCCCACCGCGGGAGAGGGGAAAAAAAGAGCGATTCGATGGACCTCTCTCAGCCTCTTACTTTCTCGACTCGGAGCCAACGTCCTGATCCCAATGCTGCAGGATGCCGCCTGACCCGAAAGTTCGCCGCTCGATTTCGACCGTTAAGATCTCCCGATATCTTGCAATTAATGCGATATATGTAAACCGAGTTTACCATCGATGGGAGGAGTCGTAGAAATCGAATTTCAAAAGGTCAAGCCTTGGGTGGCGATTTTCAGTTTTTGGCCACGCCAACTCTGCTTTGCTGTTGGTGGTGAACAGGAAATTGCGGTCTTACAGGGGACAGGGAAAACTCAAAGAAAATCCTGGGATAGAAAGGTGGTCTTATTGTGGCCTTAAAATGAATATCGCTCCTAGAAACTGGGCCACGGACTTCTTTCGCGCGCGTCCGCCTGGAATTACCGGGGCCTTTGGTCGTGATAATTGTCTCACGCCAACAAAGGTAAACGCGTAATGAGAAGTTAGGATTTTAATTACTCCTTCTTAGTGAGGGTTCCTAGTTGTGTACCGGGGTAACAATCGATTTCTCCGCCATGGATGTGATTGACACCTGCAAATGCACCTGTCTAGGGGTGATGTCTGATGACCCGGAACTGCATCGAGATCTCCGTCTCCCGAAGATCTAGCAAATCGATGATTTACGTGATGGCCTCTTGGGCGGCACAGGTGCCACAGCGGAATTTGTGGTCGATCCCGTTTAGAAAGTGGTCTTCTTTCTTCGGGAAATGATTCCATGTAACACGGACCTTTTTCTGCTTTCTACTGGATCACCCTGAAGGCCTTGTAGAAGCGCGTCTAGGCGTGCGGAATTTATTCAAAAATTTATGCAAGAAATTTCGAAAGCCGATCCTTTCTTCCCTGTTCACGTGTCGTCATGGCTGAATCATTTCCGGATATTTTTCGTTTCATTTTTTTGCTCAATTTAAGTGCAACAATGTCCTCTTGTCTGGATCACTTCGGAGGCCTCGCAGAAGCGCGTCTAGGCGCGCGGAATTTATTCCAAAATTTATGCAAAAAATGTCGAAGGCCGATCCTTTCTTACCTGTTCACGTGTCGTCATGGCTGAGTCATTTCCGCGTATTTTTCGTTTCATTTTTTGCTCAATTAAAGTGCAACAAAGTCCTCTTGTCTGGATCATCTCGAAGGCCTTGTAAAGGTGCGTCTAGGCGTGCGGAATTTATTAAAAAATGTATGCAAAAAATTTCGAAAGTCGATCCTTTCTTCCCTGTTCATGTGTCTTCGTGGCTGAGGGACTTCCGTATATTTTTCATTGAATTTTTTTTGCATAGTTCTAGTGCAACAAAGTCCTCTTGTCTGTGGAATTCGACAGTTCGGCCTTCACCTCTTCGCGTCTCACCGCTTCGCGTCCATCGAAGTCTTTTCCTTTTTCTCTCTTTCTTTAATCCTATATGTTTGCCTTTCCTGTCCTACGAGCCTGACCACAGGGTCATAAAGCCATCTATTAAATTACGGCACTCTCGGGGAGGTGATCGCGTCCATTGAAGCTGAAGACCACGCACTTCCAGGACGAGGCATCGATGTGCAATTACCTGCAGTAAAGCTCGCAGAACCATTCTAGAGAAAGGACCAAGGCCTTCATTTTCCGGTCATTTAAAGTCCCTGTGTGATTATTTCTCCCTTGATAAAAATGTCTGACACTAATTGAATCCTCTCGTAACTTCCCTTGAACTCGACACTGACCGAATTAACTCCGAGTTGCGGAATTACGGGCTGGATTTTTCTTGCTCCATGCAAGGCGTGCCGGAACCAGATATTACGCTTCAATTAGTGCAACCCTGAAGCAATCGGTTCGCGAATCAATCGGCAAACGAGTTTAGTCTTCTTCGATCGGATTGCGTAAAATCCGCTGATTAGCAAGGCACCACGAAATGGGTTTTTCGTGAGAGATGTCGCAAAAAATCGAGGATCGTCCATTAATTAGCGACAACGCCTTTCTAGTCGATTACGACACGCGTTAAAAGTGCTAGGAGATTTTTCAAGATGTACGAGATCGCTTCGTGTTCTTCTAGTGGACTTGAGTTGAAAATTTTGGAGTTCATATATAATCTCATGAAATATGGTTTGAAGTGCAATCCGCGAATTTGAAACAGGAAGACGTCAATGAAATCGGTCCTATTACAACTTCAAACACACTTATATCCGTTTCCGCAGGCCTAAATTTCTAATAATAATATCGGTAACATAGTATAATAATTAATTACATATTTAAATTCCGCTTCTTATGAATGCGATAATTCAATAAATTCATAGTAATATATTTTCTAATTAGCTTTACTCTGTCTTCCTTCAATGAAAAGTGATTTTAAGATTTTCCGTTCTAACTTCCCTAGGAGCACAAAATATTTTTCCTACATTTTCTATATGTTTAACGATATGTTGTACATTTTGTAAATATTTAGCAGAGGTTTGAAATATTTGGAAAAAGTTTTCTTTGGAATATTATCTTTATAATATTTGTATAACATTAGCTCCACGTGTTTTTATAATATTTTTCTACCAGATATATAAAACATTTCGTTTCATTTCAATATAAGGAAATTTTAAATATTATCTGCCGAATACATCATAAACGTTTTGAAAATATTTAAAGTCTAAATCACACGTTTTGCTCCCATAATGAAAAAGCAGAACGAAAGTATTAGAATAATTTGTCGTGTTTTTTGATACCAAATGAAGTGTCCGATAATAATCGTGAAGTAAAAAAAATATCTTTATTATATGTTCATAAATTAAAAAGTATAATTTCTATATACGTTTATAAATTATTGAAACTAAATATGTCATTGAGATTTTCAAGCAATATTTCAGAAATCTTCGAATGAAATCTACGAGACGTCTTAAAAAATCTGTCGCCCAAGATATTTAGCAAAGATTACAAATAAACATTTAGAAATTATTCCGTGCTACTAGGGTTGTATAAAATTACCCGATTCAATTGAAGAATTCCGAGGAATTGAAAGGTTCCAGAGATAAAAATGATCTCTGAAGTCTCTTCTTGTATAACATCGAAACTGAAATTTCTGACCACCAACTATATGATAAGAAAAATAGTGGATTCGCCGGTTCCACCAACCTCTGCTAACGAGTTAATCCCCACAGTGAGTTGTGGGTTTATTTCAACATATGATTACACAATCAATGACACAATCGATATCGTTGGAGCTGATCTGAGATTCATCCGAGATCGATAACTCCAGGTATGTTGACCACGTCGAAGGCGTTCCCAGGCTTCTTCATGTTTTCCGTCAGGTCGGAAGTTTCCACCGAAGAGTTCTACGGGATGGCCTGAGTTGACGATATCGTTTAAATTTTATCGTTTCCCACTTTCATCTTTCTCGGACCAGCATATACCGGCCAGTCCTGTTCCTCCCCTGGTACGCTTGGTCCCGGCTCTTCCGGGTGGCCGTCGTTCCCGAAGAAAGTCGCTCCTTCCGAGGACTCGTAAATAAAACAGTGGATCGATGTCAATCCCGGCCGATCGATCTCGAAGTGCCGATGCGATAATCCCGGGCATTCGGGCGCCGAGAAGCGATCGACCGCTCGATATTGCCCCTCGATTTTACGACGGCTCTTACAGGAGCTTTATTGCCTCCTAGACTAGCGGAGCCCATTGCCACTGTTACGGCGGGATGATAATTAAATAATACCGTCGAAAGAAGCCGAGTTATAACCGGCAAGACTGCGGAACGCGAAATCGAGGGACCGGAACCGGCCGGAACCTCTTAAGGGTCTTTCCGTGTCCAGCGTTTGCGCACTCCACCTTCTTCTCCTGGTCTTTTAGGCGGAATGCAAATTTATATCTGGCTTTCCGACTCGATGCATGAATTACTGGCCGACTTGTTCTTGGTGAAGGGAGATGATACCGTTGCTCGGTCGGTAATAGTCGACGAGGTGTGCGGACTCGTCCATGAAGACGGGGCCTCGAAGAGCGCGTAGATCCGTCGGGGTTTGGTCAAAGTAGGGGTAAAGGCTATATAAGTGAAGGAGAACAGCTTTGCTTTTATAGTTGAGCTAGGTGGCTCGTGTCGTGTGCCAATTTTTCAGTTTCGACATGGTAGGTACACCCTCGACTAATATTTTGAGATTTCTTGCGAAAAACTGCGCGTGGGAGGAGACCAATGCGCGACTTACGATACTAGTCTATTATTACAAATACTGGTGGAAAACATACAGCAGAATTTTTTTTTATCATTCTATCATTCATACATAAGACCAGGAAGCTCACATATGTGTAAAATCTGCGAATTCTCACCCCATGATCACAAATTTAAACAATTTTTTCTCAAAATCGAACATATTCTGGGAGGTAATACTTAGATGATGATTATGATATTATGCCGTTATAACGAATGCTGGCGAATGATATAGAATACAATTTTTTTACCATTCCACGTAAGAGCAGGAAGCTCATACATGTGTAAAATCTACGAATTCTCACCCCATGAACGCAAATTTGAGTATTCCCTTCTTAACATCGTCCACATTCTGGGAGGTAATAATTAGATGATGATAACAATGATGTACATATTTTTTATCATTTTATATACGACTCTTCTTATTGTTAGTAACATATGTATAAGGTGTACAAAATCTCGCTTCACGCAGTAGATTCTTTAATTCCTTTTTTCCAATATCGCGTACTTTTGCGGGGAAGGTAACAATAAAATAATAATAACAATACTGTAGTTATTCGAAGTTCGTTGGGGATTATAGATCAGAGTTCCGCGATTAGAACCGTTCGGAGCTGATCGGATCTTCGGCATCTGGATTCCCTGAAGAGTGCCCTGGAAAGTCGGTTTGTGGTTCGCTTTCCGAGAAGGTTCGCACGTAGAAGTCGATACCAGATCTTATTTCGAGAATCGAGTGTCGGAGTACCGAAGTAAAAGTGGGTACGGCATTTTCCCGGTTATAATAAGTAGAAGAAACCCGTAACGACGAACGTGCCGTGGAACGCAGGGCACATATCCTACAAGTGGGGCAGTAGCTCCAGATAGGTGAATAAGACCTTGATCGTAGAACAAGTTCCTCCAGGTGGAGTGTCATATTTTTTTTGAAGCCATTGAGAAAGGTGGTCGAAGAGGGCCCGACCGAAATTCCGACTCGGAGGCGCCTCCGAAAGAGGAGAGTACTTTTACTTCAAGCCGAGACGATGCATTCGCGAATGGGAGGCCTCCTCCCTGGTCCTGGCAGGGTCCAGTCTATATAAGAGTGCTCCATGTCGGTCGTTTGACCCAGAACTTTGCGAGCAGTGAAAGTGCACCTGACACGCGTCCTTTTTGTTGGAGACCCAATGGTGAACACAGATCCCTCTAGGACGTAATCGGGAGACAATGACGGACGACTTTCCATTGCGCCGCACTTTGTCGGTGCAATTTGCTGCTTTCTAGGCGAAAAGAGAAAGACCGAAAAACGCGATTCCCCGTAAACCGCGAGATTTCCTCGATCGAAAGTGGATGAGTAATAATTTTCCACATTTTCCACAGAGGATCCAAGTGGTGCTCCTTTGCTTCGGCGTGGCGCTGGCCGAGAAGAAGATCAACCTGGAGGACATCGAAAGGGACAACTTACGAGCCGAGAGCAAGTCCAAAGTGGAGGATGCACAATCCGAAGAGCGGTACCAGGAGAAACTGGAAGTGGCCCAGCATCGATACCAGCCTCTTCAGGGCCAGCTTCAGCAGAGCGATCAGGCCTCGACCTTTGCAGCTTCGCACCAGCCGCAACCCGTTAAGTACACGGTGGGTACCACTTTTACGAGCGTGTAACAGCCCGACCCCTCGTGATTGCACGTGCAGAGCTGGTCTATGACTTCGGGTTTCCTAATAAAAGAGCTCGCCACTAAAAAAGTGCATCTCTGCCCTCGTCCAGCCGCGATGCAGCCCGCGAAGACGCGCTTCCGGAACGCCCTCGACAGCTTGCAAAGTGCGTTCCCTCCTAGGATGCGTTAATTTATGGTAACCGATTTTTACGAGGCGATCGCACCTAGTAAATGCAACGAGGAACTCGCACTCGTTATTACGGAAGCTGCAACAGATGCACGGGATGACTGTAGGATTTCTAAAGCGAGCCTTTTCCTTCGCGCCTCCAAGTACGGGGTGGAGTACACGTTGCGGGGCACTTATGATTAATGGCTTTCGTTGTAGCTTCGATATCTCTTGATTAATACCGGCCGCGGTATATACGGAGGCAGGGGAAGTAAAATCGAGGTGAATTGCCTGGATTAATTGAGCTTTAAAAAATGGCCGCAAAAACCGCGGCTATTCCGCGGAGGCGCGCGATTCGATCGGGAAGGGTTAATCGATCGTCCATGCAAAAGCGATTCGACTCGCGAGCCACTCGCGGGGCGAATCGCAAAAACGGGATTATCCAGATCGGGAGATCGGCATTATCACGGTGGGTAATTAGCAGGTCCACCCGGAAGAGTACAGCGGGATAAAGTACTCGGCGAACGAGGTGGCGTACCAGCCGCAGAATTCCATCCTGCAGGCCGATCGGCAGAATCTGCAGCCCCTGCAGTATTTCGCCGATTACCAGCAGCAGGCTGAAATTGGGCAAAAAAGCGTCGCCCAGGGCGCTTATGAACCGCAGCAATTGCTCCTTCAACAACCGGAAGTCACGGTCGGCAACCAGATCCAAAGTACTCAGCAGAAAGTCGTAACCGAGAAGTACCTGAAGAGTCCCAACAAAGGTATAACACCTCTTCGGGTCTACCTTAATCCTGCAGAAAAACCGATCGTTGCAGTAAGAGGAAGTGGCTGCTCGGCGGAAAATTCGAAAGCGAGACTTCATCTCGGATGCATATCGATACGCGATTACGGAGATCATGGGGTTCGATAAATGGTATTGTTCCATTGTTCGGGGCTTTGGGATACTCGTGGAAATTCGCTGAACAGATTGATTCCGGAATTCTTTTAAACCCTGAATAGAGATGATGGTCTTGTCAATGCTGACTGGAAATGTTACCTGTTAGACACTTTGAACGTTAACATCCGCATATTAATTTTTTGGGGTCTGATTAGATGCCTGTAACCGAGGAGCTGCGTCAGGGTTTTATAATATTCATGGGATTTTATTGAAAGGTTAGATTTGGGAATTTATTTCGAAAAACTCTTTCAAATAGAGATGCCGTATACCAGCATCTGCTATTGTTGTATATAAGCTGCATTCTTGATCAGGTGCTTACCTCCAAGGAACTTTTAGAAGCATCGAAATATTCCTAGAAATTCACTGGGCCGTTTGGTTTTGGACAAAAAAATTCTTATTCTGTCAATTTTTATTCTAAACTTTGCTTTACGAGACATTTTCTTCGTTCAAATTCTGTTAATTCTTTTACGTCAGCTCCTATCTTGTCACCTGGCTATCGTTTGGGCCTTGATTAAATGTTCCACGTGAGCTTTGAAATATCCGCAAAAATCCATATTTTAGAATTTCTTTTGAAAAAGCATTTCAGGTATAATCTTTCTTTGGCCTGATGGAAAATTTTGATTTGTAGACACTCTGTACGTCAACATCCCGATGCATCAGCTGCTGTCCTATTACCCGGGTTTGAGTTTTGGTCAGGTGCCCTTAACCAAGGGACAGGTGCAACCCCTGTTGCACCGATTGGCAACGGAAGCTGCGCAGAAGATCGCGATCCCAATCTACAATCCAGGATTTAGCAACGCCCAGTTGTTCCCATCTTCCAGGGTGGCCTACCAAGAGGTCCAACAACCTCAGTACGTGACGTACGGGTCCAAGTACAACCAACAATCGCAATTGGCACTCACCTCTAAGGTACGAGTTCCGAAATAAGCGGGTCGGGTGATCGGGGTGCCACCGATTTAGGGGATTCGGCCAAACGTGAAATTCCCTAGATTGGAAACTTTACGATATCCCGAGGTTACGGCGCGATGCACAACTGGGACGCGGGGTCGTTGCTCCGGAGATTAAAATTGCGATCGAGGCAGTGACATAATAATACCGGTAGATATCGTGACGCAAGGACCTCTAGGAGCGATATTTCTCGGATTTGATTCCCAGGATCTGACGGATCCGAGAGAGAAATAGAAATTTTTCAAGGATTTCAGGGAATCCCCGAATGAGGGAATACTCTTGCTCCAGATTCTTAAGGCGATATGGAAGTGTGATATAGACGTACCGAAAAGTCAACATATTTATATAACTTTTCTCCAAACTGGGTGCACCGAATTATCGGAAAATTTAACACGTGATTATGGAGGTTCTAAGGAAGAACGCGCTGCCCGTGAAATTTGATTTTTCAAGAAAAAATATTTTTTTTTAGCTCTTGTCCGAGATAAGTAGAACATTTTTTTTCGATAAAAGAAATTTCATGAGCAGCGCGTTATTCTTTAGGGCCTCCACAATCACGTGTTAAAGTTTCAGATAATTCGGTGCACCCAATTTGGAGAAAAGTTTTATAAATGTTTTGACTTTTTGTTATGTATATATCACGCTTTCATATCACCTTAAGGGCTTCTGATAATGCCGAGACATTTTGTCGCATGGGTCTTGAGGTAAGATATCTCCCGGATTCGGGACAGAGATATGAATATTTCAAGGATTTTTGAGAATCCCTAGATGACCGGACTCCTTGGCTTTAGATCCTTGAGGATATATTGCTGTGATATAGCGACCTCGGAAAATAACGTAACGTAAGAATTTACGATTCCCAGGATCAGCTGCGTCCACAAGAGAGATATTAATTTATGACAAATTTTCGGGAAAATCTAGGTGGCCACATCCTTGGTCCCAGGTTCCTACCAGCTAATCCCGGTATATCGCGGACCAAGGACTCTAAAAAAAGTACCTAAGGTTTCCATTGACCGAGTAATCCACGAATGAGATAGGAATTTCTATCGAATTTCGATAAATCCTGGATGACCGATGCCCGGATTCCAAGTTCCTAGGAGCCTAATTCCTCCATTCCAATCTCCTGTCGCAAGGACTCTGAGAAGCGATATGTTTCTAAGGGTTCATTCCCAGGATCCAAGGATTCCATAAGAGAGATAATAGTTCCGAAGGAACATTTAAAAAAATGTGGCAATCCTTTGGTTCCAGGCTCCTAAAGGTTTGACGTATGCAGCGACCGAAGATGCGAGGTCCTTGGTGACGCCGGGGGCTTCCACGGTCCCCCTGGCACCTGCAGACCCTGCAGCTGCGGTTTACGTCCAGCAGGATCAGGTGTACCCCCAACAGAAGAAGTACTCCCATACCCAGGCCCTTATAGGGCAGTCTCGACCGCGGTACGAGCTGGTTTACAACCATCCGGGATTGCTCTATTTGCAAAGCCCGGCGTTCATCCAGGACAACTCTTTGGCGCACAACGGCCATCAACCGAGCCAATACAGCCAATACACCCAACCGCAACAGTTCTACCTCTCGCCTTCACTTCCCGACCAGGTGGCGAAAACTGCTTTGCCAGCGCCGGTCGTTTCGCAAAATTACGTCAAGGTACCTTGCTAACGGGCTTCGGTGGTGCCGTTTGCGTTACGCAAACCGCGCCGGCTAACCGAGCTTCTGGCTCGGAAAAAGAAACTCGCGGAAGAAAGGAAGGATTCCTTTCTCAGAAACGTCGTCGTTGCAGATCCCGGAAGAGCCGAGAACGAGTTTCTCACCGCCCCAGCTACCGGCCCAAAATTTCGACCCGGAGGACTCCCAACTGCTGACGGTCCCTGATGGGGGTGACCATCGTCAGTTCTCGAATGGTCATCAGCTCGACGGAGAGCCCAAATCGCTGCTGGACACGTACGTCCCGAGCCACGTCATCGCTGCTCAGGACTCCGCCAGGTAGACCTGGGAAGATTTTCCCGATTTTCCTCGGTTTTACCATTTCTTTTTTTTTCTTATTACGTTTCAAATTTAATACGTGTCGCTATCAGCAGAATGTCTGCAATTGTGGCCAAGTTTAAGAAACTTGGGAGAGTTTCCCACCAAATATATTGGGCTGGGGCATGAGTTCGTGGATTTTCTTTTCGGTTTCATTTGTTCGAACTAGTTTTCCTGGTTCGAAAAAACGCACGCACTTATGCACCAACGCTATATATAGGCGTGACACCCTGACCTAGTCATTATCTGTGATGTCTAGCCTGGCGCACTTTTCTGCGTTTTTCTACCTGTGAAATTCTCGTGTTCAAATTGTCGGTAACAATTCTCACGCCTATAATGTGGCTAAAAATCTTCATGTCTGCAATGGCAGATTAAGAAACTCGGTAGAGTTTCGCGCTCATATATATATGTAGGCGCGAAACCCTGACCTAGTCATCTGCGATGTTTAGATTGACGTATTTTTCTGCGTTTTTCTAGCTGGAAAATTCTCATGTTCACAATTTTCAGTGAACGTTCTCGTGTTCAAGTTGTCGGTAACAATTCTCACGCCCACAATGTGGCAAAAAATCCTCGTATCTACATACAATAGCATTGAAGATTAAGAAACTCGTTAGAGTTTCGCGCCAAATATACATGGGCGTGAAACACTGACCTAGTCATTATCTGCAATGTTCAGCCTGGCGCGTCAAATTGGGCAGAAAATGTTTCCTGAACTTCTTCAATGAGTAATGTCAACATTAACCAGGTCATCGAGATTGCATTATTTTTCTGGGTTTTTGAGTTTGAAATTCTTATATTCAAACTTTTCAGTGAACGTTCTCGTGTTCAAATTGTCGGTAACGATTCTTACGACCACAATGTTGCTGAAAATCCTCGTGTCTACAATGGCATTGAAGATTAAGAAACTCGGTAGAGTTTCGCGTCAAATATACATGGACGCGAAACACTGACCTAGCCATTGTTTGCGATGTTCAGCCTGGCGCGTCAAACTGAGCAGAAAATGTTGTTTCCTGAACTTTTTGAATGAGTAATGTCAACTTTAACCAGGTCATCGAGATTGCATTATTTTTCTGCGTTTTTGAGTTTGAAATTCTCATGTTCACAATTTTCAGTGAACGTTCTCCAAATTGTCGGTAACGATTCTCACGCCCACAATGTTGCTAAAGATCCTCATTTCAGGTACCGAGAGAGGCCGATAAAACTCGAGGGAGGATTTCTCCCATCCAAGGGAGCTTTTGGCCACACCTTTGAGAAAGTCAAGGCGGAACCCTAAAGATGGATCATTTCGACGCATCGAGTTGCGGAAAATAAAAAAAATGAGTCCGAGTTGGTTGCCCAATTCGCGGTAGAGATTGAAGCCTTGGACAGGACGAGGAGGATGACGAGCCGCGATTTTGGAAGGAAGTAACATCTCATCTAGTCTTTCATCGATGACCATGACACGGCATGCATAGTTTTGTCGCATCTACACGCACGCATATCTTTGCGCCCGTTCTCCATTCACCTTTTTTATACGCCTTTTTAAATAAAATCTTAGAAAACACCCGCCCCGGTCCTCTTTGTCAAAGTTTTTACGGTCGGCTCTGTCGAGTCGTTCCAGATCTCCAGCATCCAGAATTCCCTTCGAGACATCTTTACTTTCTCGCTCACCGTTATATGATAATTCCCGACCTTGTCAATTAACAAGTACCGTTCCCTACAAGGAGATACCTTCGGTTACTTTTTATATTTTTTTTTAAATTAACCATCCTTATAACAAATATATTTACCAATAACTTAGCCATTATCTTAAATCGATAATATCAAAATTGAATTGCCTGGCCAATTAAATTTGGTTAGTTTTAATCAAGAACAAGATGTTCTGATTTATTGGACATCTTGAATTAAAAACACCGAATTATTTAATTTCGGTTAGTTTTAATCAGGAAATTGTTGGTACCTATATTTGGGTGTTTTTTATTCATGATAGTATAGACTATTAGTTGTCAGAATCTTGAATTAAAGGCCCAAATATTTAATTCGATAATTAAATTTGAGTCATTTTAGTTCACATAATTGTTGACGTTCAATTAATTATTTATTGTACGCAATCAGGAGATCGTTAGCGTACTTACATCGGGTTCGTCTGGTAATGGAGGTTGATAGTCTCATCCAGAGAGTATCCATCACGGAACGGGTACCCATCCATTATCACCATATCCTTCCGCCCATCAATCACGCGTTTATGTCAGCTATCAACTTTTGGCTATAATTTCGTTGGCGCTAGCCATCCAGGTGATTAAGTTTATTAACCAGAGTGAACAGTATTTCCCTGATTATGCCCCCCGTAATTTCGTAACAGTAGGTTAGCGTGCATTGTTCCTTTTCAGAAATAGATTGCATAAAATCTCGGATGATAATACTCACGGTAACAGTAATACATAATATACGCCCAGTGCATATTTATATATTTTTATGCACCTTCGCAAATAAGAAAAAGTTTTAAATACTATGAGAAGCTTCCACCACGAAGTAATAGAAAAATAAGAAAAATGAAAAATTAATAATGCGATAAAAAGATTGGAACTTCAAGAAAATTGAGTTTAACGGGTTTCGATTTATATTGAAAAAGTTTTAAATATTTTCAGAAGTTTCCCCTAGTACTTAAAAGTGTACAACTGAAATTTAGGTGTGAGAAACTACAGGTATGTACTGCGCGTCACACAAATGCATTAATAATAGATAAACCCGAGAAACGAGAAAGCGGATTCTGGTCGTGCTTATCTCGGAGGCCATTTATCTGCTTCTGAAAACGAGGGCTATCACTAGTTACCCGGAATATCCGAATCAAGGTTCCGAGCACTTTTACCGGCTCCCATTTTCGGAGGTCATGCTTTAACACTATTTCTACCAAAGGTGTCAAAAGACACCTTTTAAAATTTTAACTTGAAATTATTTTCAAACTTTAATAATTTTCTCTGAATGAATGTTTTGAGTTTTCATATAATAATTGTTAAATTTATTTAGCGGTATCATTTTCCTCCAGCTCATCAAAACCTTTTGGTCGAAATAGGTATACACAAAATCGTGGTAGAAATAGTGTTAAGGGGCCTCCACAATGCGTGAAATGGCCCCGTTAAATATCTGTGAAATTTTCCTCGAGTTCTTCCGCAATAACAGTTATGTGGACTTTTCAATAGGTTTTTAAGGAATTAAAATACACCCAGACATTGCGAAACGTCACTAAAGTCTCTCTAACGAGGATCCACGTCCAATGATTGCCCAACGAATAGATTCACGCGCGATTTTCTTTTTCGGGGCCCAAACTCACGCCCGCCTGTTTCGTGCCATTAGAATCAATAATACCAATACTAATTTGCATCCTTAAATCCTTCCTTGACGCCTAAATCCCCCTGCGTGAAATATGGAGGAATTAAGCCTGGACGTCACCCGTGCAGAAATGAAAAAAAAAATGAAAATATGTAAAAATTTTAATGGAAAAGGATGAAGAGTCCATTGAGGACACCCATTGACCCATTACGTGCTTCCTGAATTACGGAGGTGAATTTGACTGGAATGGGAGGGATTGGAGTGTGTTAGGTATTAGGTAGTAGGTCGAAACTGAAAAGACATTCATTAGATGCCGAGGAGTCTAGGTAAGGTCGTCAATGGCGTAGAAATCCAGGTTTGGGGAGGTCGCCTTCGTGGCCGTGGAAAGGTAGAGGTCCCGAAGAGTCTCCTACGCTCTTGGCAGGTGTCTTCGCGTATCGAACAAGTCGATGGCACTCGACTTGCCGAAGAGAAACTATAATATCTTGTCCTTCTCGCTCAGGAGCGAGGGCATATAAGGTGGGATGCTGCGGTCCCGGCTTCATCAGTACCAAACACACACGATCCGTCTTCCAAGCCAGCAGGTTTAAGGTCGGCCGAGATGAAGCTCGCCTGGATATACGTGAGTAAACGCTCGTGAAAGTTTTCCCAAAGCCCATTTCCACGTATGAAAAATCCCCGCGAGGTTTATCCTGCCCTCCCGAATTTTAATTTCCAAAAAAAGTCGGAGGAAGGTCGTTAGAATTTCCTTTGCAGGGTATTCAGGCAGGTTCCTTTCTCGATTTCTTGGGGACTCTCTAGACAAAATGTGTTCCCGAGATAGGGAAGAGTCCTTTTCCTCCTACCCGTAAATCGAGGGGGTTAAAAGTGGACCGAATTAAATAATCGAGAGCGTCCCTCAAGAGGACGAGGAAGGAAATCGATGGCGCGAGTCGTGACGTGGAGTTACGTGGGAAATTCCTGAGGTGGAACGATCGCACGATCGGCCGATGTGGATAATTGCGGACACGAGTGCGGCTAATTACAGTTGCACGCCATCGAGCGGCGCGATCTTCGCTCTGCCATTTCATCGCGAAAATCGGGAAAATTATCGAGATTCTTCGCCTGGGGCGGACGTAATCCGCTTATCGAATTATTTTGCGATAACCACCGCGGGAGTAATTGACGTTACGGATACCGAATCCCTGCTCGGGAGGAATTACTCCCGCGGAGTAATTAATTCCACCTCTGGGACCTGCCGGATCGGATATTAAACGGATATGTATTTGACGCGAGACTCGATATCCACGTTCCAGCTCGAGCGTCCCATTAAGTGGGATTTTCGCAACGATCGAGCCATCAAAGTCCACTTGGACTTAATTCGGGATCCTTTTTTCCCCGTCACGGCGAATTAATGCCCCGTCCCGTCGAGTAGGCTTTTCGACAGGACAATCGCTCGGCGGAATCGGCGGCCATTAATCGCGGAGAAAGCGTTTCCGATTTTCCCGCGTGCGTCGCCAGAGACTTCGACGTCCACGGCAGATGCTCCCGGCTCTCGAGTCTCCAGTGAAAGTCTCGCCACGTCCGAGGCCTCTTTTTCGAGCCGATGGTCCCCCAGGAATTTCGATTGGATTAGCTAATCCCGTATTTATCCGCGCGTTTTGCGCGATCAGCTGAGCGCCGCCACGCGCTATTACGTGAACTCGCTCGAGCGGATAAGCAATCCGATCCTATTTCCACGAGGCTTTCTTCGGCCTCCGAAAATCGTTTCCTAGGAGAGCCTCGAGTCAATGGATTCTTTTTTCCCGCCCATAATTTCTCAATTTCCCTCCGGCATTTCTTTTACGCACGCTCGTCCACCCGGAACCCACGAGTCGATCTATCGATCGGAAACGGAAGCCGGGATCGAAACCGCCGGCGATCGGCGCCACTTTCTGGCCCCCTCGTCTGGCTTTGCCGAGGCGTATCTTCTGCGAAAGAAAGTGGTGAAAATGGGACTGCAGAAGAGGAAACCCGGTCCGACCGGATCGGCTGACCTCCGGCTGCTTTTACTCCGATAGAGATACTCGACTTCCTTTTGCCCGATTGTCCTTTTGCTCTCCGAACGATCGCCCCGCGAACAATGGGTCCGACTACGTCATGGCGGCGCGTCATGCTAATGATCTCATTTCCGCGACGACTCTCCTTCGTTATGTCGAACAATGGCCGATTGCCTTCCGAGGGACGTTTCCGAAGGCTTCGTGAAGGTGTTCTTTGAAGTGCACGTCCTCACCAATCCGGGTAATTGGACCCGTCCACTTTCCTGGATGCGTCAAATTGAGACGAACCTCAACTAATACATTTTAGGACTATACAAGACGACTATTACTCATTTTACTAGCTTCTTTTAATATACTTGCTGGCTCATTTTTGTGTATTCGCTAGTTCACTTTGTTACCAATTAATGTATTATTACGTTTCGTGGTTAATTATACTTTCGAATCTGCTACAACAAAAATTGTATTTCGACGATGGGTTTTTTTGAACCTATAAAATTTGTGGGGATATGAGATGTTTTGAAAACCGAAAAAAAAAATGTCTACCGAAGAATCTTTCGTCTCCGGAGAAAGAAATCGAGAGAACTGGAGTTCCCGGGGAGAGGAATCGCGGAGAAAGTGAGGCTGCTACTTTTCCAATGACTGTGCTTCGAGATTTACGACCACGAGGAGAGCCTGATCGGCGCGTGCGCACTTCGTGGTCTGATGCAAAATTTGTTCCGCAGGTCATTTCCGCTCTGCTGATCCTGGCGACCTGCGAGTCGGACGAGGAGAAGCCGAAGGATGCGTCGAGAAGCGAAGACAAGGTCGAAGGCACGAAGGATCCTCCGAAGGTGAACGACACCACCAACACGGACAAGACTGAAGAAATCGACCCCGAGGAAGGACCACTGCCCATCTTGCCTCCAATAATTCTCCTGGACTTTATAAACGGCTCGGACGCCTCAGGGGATGAGAAGTCAAAGAGGACCGTGAACGGCAACGTTGGATATGGGTTCGAGAGGAACAACTTGTTCTCCGGGAAGTACAACTACTATTTCCCAGCAGGGAAGACCGGGACCACGGTCAGTATCGAGGAATCCATCAGTCCATTTCAGCCAAAAACCATCATTGAGTCCGTCAAGCCCATTACCGAAAGACCCCAAGAGGCTACGACCAGCCCCTACGCCGGAACTCTGCGTCAGGATCCTCTTCGAGGTGGCTCCGGATCTTCGAATCAGCCGCAAGCCTTGAAGCTGCAGTACCAAGACAGTCCGCTTGTGTTTGGACAAAGAACCAAGCTTCAAAAGACCACGCCGACCCCATTTGGAGCGTTTCAAGGGGGATTTTCGACCACGAAGCCTGCGTTCCAGAGCTACACCACGCCGAGGACTGTTTTCAAAGGGAACTCTTATTCTTCTGGGTTGGGCCAGGGCGCATACACCACGGCGAGGCCACTCTACGAGGAGTTCCAAAGTTCCAGGCCTAGTTATTCTGGTCCCAGTGCGGGTTCCTATGACTCTGGGATCAATGCGGAAGGATACAGCACTCCTAGGCCCCATTTTGGGGGACCCACCACCCTCAGACCGGAAGTCCTGGGTTCGGCTTACTCTCCAGGGTCGCCGATTCAATCTTTTGGAAACCTTCCAAGGTACACATACGAGAACGGAGTGAAGTACGAGCACAAGATCGTGTGGAAGTATCCTGACGGGAAGATCTCCGATTTGCCGCCCGTCTCGTACTCCAACACCTACTCCCAGTTCCCAGCAGCCACGAAGACGAATCACGCAGGTTATCAGGGTCAGGGCCAGACATCAGGGTTCCAAAATGTCCCGAATTCCCAATATTCTTCCGAGAGCTTGGGGAACATCTATTCCCAGAGGCCGGCTCAGTTTCCCGACGACCAGAACTCAAACCACCAACAGCAGAGTCAATTCGTGTCCTCGGCCTCTTCTGGGGCGTCTTCGGCATCGGCTGTTGATGATTACGACGCCGCCTCCAGGCAGCGTCTTTACGAGATGTACCAGTCGAGGTTCCCTCAGAGGTCCAAGCCATTTAATGCTCACGTTGGATATTCAACACCCTCTTCAGGATACAGGACGTCCGTTCAGCAGGACTCGAAGAACTCGCAATTCGGACTCGGTTATGAAGAGGAAAAGCCCCCCTCTAAGTACGCCGTAGACAGTCCTGATCCTGAATACACTTTCCCTGGAGATGGGTCCATGAAGAGTACCACCTCGAGCTCCGGCTTGTACACACCAAGTGGGCAACTGTCACCAACTGTCCTGTCGAAGTATTCCCCGCAAGTGCAGCGGTATCTGAGTAAAGTGTTCCCCGGAAATGGGAGTTCCTTTAAGCACAGTCAGGACAGTACCGACTCGGCGTCGCTTTCCAACCTTCAGTACTCGAACCTGCTGAACTACAACCCTTCTATTTCTCAGTACATAAGAGACCCGTCGTCGATCCTGAACGCCCAACCCACGTTCATCCAGGCCGGGAACTCGCTGATTCCGGTGATCATCCTCAGGGTCGACGGCGTGGCTCCAGTCCACCAAAAGCCAACACCCAACATCAACCTAAAGGCTCTTCTGCAACAGTACCTCTCTCAGTACGCCAACAACGTGAACGAGTTCTCCCAGGGTACGAACTATGAATTCGGTGACAAGGCTCCTCAGAGTCCTCTTTATGAACTGACCCAGCTGACTCAGGGTCTGAAGCAGTATTCCCGGAACCAGAACTTCGCCAGTAGCTTTGCCCAGAAGTTCGCCCAGAATATCGCTGGGAATTCTCCAGAGTACGAAGATGGCTTCCAGCCGGTTACCTCGAGTTACACTACCATGAAGAAACCCGAAGAGAAGCAATATCAGGGGCTGAAACGCATGAAGATCAAGAGCGTCCAGATCGTGGAAGACCCCAGGTTCACGGGCTTCAAAGGAAGAACCTAAATCCCTTGGTAGACCTTGAGGAACATCTTCTTCGACATCTAACGTCTCCTTAGGAAGGACTCATTCCGACTCTAGATCGAGATGCGATCGCAGTTCTGTTGGAAAAAGGCGTAATCGTGGAACTTTTCCAATCTTCGAGGGAGTCGGAATTCGTAGGGTTAGGTAAAATATGAAGTAGCATGTAAGACTGGGATTGTGCAATACAACGCTGATGATAGTAGTAAGTCCGGCCATTGGCTCATTCCAGCACGAGACCAGCTGAGCTGTCATAATTTTCCAGCTCATCATGTCTATTAGATAATTCCTACAAGCATTAATAGTCGCTTTCGACTGTCGAGTGGGTGTCGAAAATCCCTGATTAGTGTAGATATAAATTTACCTACTTTTGAAATTAGGGTCCCGTGCCTGATTCGTTGCGGGCAGTTACTACTTCGACTACTACTTAGGTGTCGCAAAGAGCCGGCGTGAAAAGTGTACCTTGATAGAGCATAAGACGTACCTTTAGTAAGCGCAGAATTGTACCTGAATCGCTGTCGACTAAAATAAAGGAAAGTGGAAAAAAGTAGACGGGTGGAAAATCCAGAAAATTGTCGCGAATTTCCTTCGGACGTTCTCCGAGGCGACCGATCGACGAGGAACGTGTCCGCCGGCAATTAGGGATAATTGCTCGGTGAATAAAAGTTTAAAAGAGGTGAAGCGAAGTTAATTCCACGTTTTCACGAGGGGAGCATCGAGGCGATATCTCGAAATCTCGTCGAGGCAATTAGGCACGCGATATTCGAGCAAAGCAGTGCTCACGCGCTACAAAGCGGGCTCGGAACGTCCTGAACCACTGTAAGTCGGCGAACACCGATACAAACCTTCCCTCCACAGGTGAGTCTAGCTCGCCAAGGAGCAGCGTGTGCATCGAGCATAATGCGTGCGTTCTAGAGCGCATAAAACCACACCTGGAGAAGTAAAGACCGCTGCATCGCCCCCGTCTCAGAAAATGGACGAACGCAGCAGAACTCCCCTCGAGAAAAATCAAATAAAAATACCACGTATCTCTGTCCTTCAGGTAAATCGATAAAAGCGTAGGTGGACCTTACGATGGATTTCAGGTGATTCGTCGTCATGATGCGCTTGTAGGGATCCCTGAAAAATGGACGAATGCAGCAGAACTCATCCCGAGAAAAATCAAATAAAAATACCCTGACATGTTCTCCATCTACCTCTGCCATTCAGGTAAATCGGTAAAAGCGCAGGTGAACATCATGACGGATTTCAGGTGATTCATCGCCGCCATGCGCCTCCACTTGCAGGAGTTACTCCTAGGAGACGCTCGTAGGAGTCCTATTTAGGAGGGAAAAAAAATCGGAAATCCCGTGCTTGAATTTTTTTCTGCTTCTAAAGAGAATCCTTGGGGTCTTAAGGGGGTGGTCATTTTGTGCCGGTGTTCTTTATTAGTTCTTTTCATTTATCTTTTAAGGTGATGACGCGTTTTCCGCCGATCGCCGTTCACGTAGAGGATGGACAAGACTTTTCCAGGCGCGGTCGCGTGTCTCGAATGAAAGTATCCCCGCCCCCGTGGTCTACGATAATATTTAGAACGATATTTTTCACTTGGTTACCGGAGTGTATAAAGAAAATCGCGTATCTAGTGTGCGGCTCAGTACTCGCATGGAGGCTCATCTCGCAGGACCGCCTGGCAGAGACCCGATAGCCACGAGTTGCGACAAATGTGCACGAGGGATTTACTGACATAAGTTCGAGCCTCAAGGGATGGCCGGGAAGATGATACGTTATCATGTGAGTACTCCGTTCATAGCCAGTGCGGATAAAGAAGTGCCCCAAAAAGATCCCTCAAAATCCGTAAAATTCCGGCCAAGCCAGTGGAATTAATTTTTCGAGGTATTATTTCCAGCGGTCATTTATCATCTGGACCATGATCTCGAAATTGCCCCCGAATCGCTCCCCTCATGCAGTCTGTAGCTGCATAATTTAAAATATTTAAAATGTACGGTGAATTTAATAAAATAAAATTAATTCCAAAACCATTTCACGAGGGTTGATCTCGTGAAGGGATTTATGTGCGCATAGTTAAAGAAATGGAACATGGAGCACCGACTTCGTTCATTGATCGCTGCGCATGAATGGGGAAGAAAAAAATTGCAGTCGGAGTGGAAATGCATTCCCGATCGAGTGCACGCTTCGATAATATCGATACCCGGAGTTTGGCGTGAAAGTTTACGAGGATCTGCTTGCTCGCACATCCAGACCTCGTTTCGCTAAACGTGCGCATTTCGTTACCTTTCTATTCGCCTAATCGCCTTTTCTTATCGAGTTGTCCTTTAACGAAAAAATGACACTTCCTCCCGGAGGAATTTTAAAATACCGCAAGGAATTCTTCTTTCGTTCCCAGCCCTCTCTTCTCGCTGATAGCTTATCTCCTCGCGAAAAGTAAATCCACCCCTCCCGGCGTCGTTTTCTCTTTTAGGTAAACTCATTAGTACGCTCCAGTTCTTCGGCATCCTGAATGATATTCTCCACTTTCTGTTTCGAGGTTGTCCTCCTTCCATCAAGGTTGGCTCCAGGAATGGGCGTCTCCCGTTCTCGGAATTAATTCGCGGTTTCGAATTTTTTCCATCTTCTCCAAGATTGCACCAGGAAATCCCATCTCAGCTTTCCCGCTTTCTGTTTCAAGGTTGTCCTCCTGATCCTGAGCTGGTCTCTTGCGAAGGTTGCCCCTGAAAAGGACCAAAATGCGGACTTCGATCAGCTCGCAACGGCCTCGGAGATCATCTCCACGACGACGAACAAACCTGAAGAGCTACAACGGCCGGATGTTGGGACAAAGCTCGGCAACAAACATCAGCATCCCGGGGTTACTACTGTGCGATACGAGAACTCCAATGGATTCATCCCCATGATCCCCTTGGACACCCAGCCCAACAGAGTTCCCAAAGAAGCAGTTGTAGACCCGAGCAACATCGGTTCTTCAAGAACAAACGGAGAAAAGTCGGGTGTAGAAATCGCGGAGGATCCTGCCTACTCCACCGAGGCGAGGATATTCCTCAGCCTCACCCAACCAGGGCAGAACAGGAGGTCCTTTAACCCCCAGAATGACCAGAGCCAGTTTGAGTTGTTGAAGGTAAACAACGACACCCCAGCAGTAGCCAATTATCGAGAGTTTTATGAAGCTGTTAAGAACCAGAGAAACGGACAGTCGGCTTCTCCAGGGAGGCAATTCGCATCAGAGGAGGATCCAAGAACGAAAGCCTCTTCGGGATCTAAAGCCTTGGATCCCTATACATCTAGTTACAGAGACAGCTTTCATCGCGGTACCGTGGACTCGCACAGTAGGTACCAGAACTATGCGACAACCCTCGGAAGAAACCAGCAAAAAGCTTCGAGTCAACGGGAGAAAGTGCAGCCTGATTACCGTCGAAATGAAAAGAGTAATTATGGGTTCCAGGGGGAGAGCCAATTTCGCCAGGAAGTCGCAGAATCGGTGAGCTCTGATGCGAAGAGTGCAAATAGTGGTCTGGGGATGTATGATGGACGAAACAGGGACTCTTCCCTGGGGAGGACCGAGCAGGTGTTCTCCAACTCAAAGACCATGCCCAACCCCAAGGAGTACAACCTGAACTTCGGTCACTCGACAATGAAGACCTCGACACCGGCAACCTACTCCAGTAGGTACCAAGACACATCCCGGAGTACTACGAAGAGTCCCTTGAAGAGCTCCCACAGCCAGCTGCAGTATCGCTTCAGCAACGACGAGGTCTACGCCGGGGAGGACCCCAACCGTAACTTCGATCGCAGCGAGGAATTCTCTGACGAAGACGACTACTACGAAGTCACCGAGAGACCCCGAAGGACCCAGAAGTCCAGGAGGAAGCCGTACAACTCCAGGAGGCCATCAAAGGAACATCGGAACACCATGGATGAGGGAGCAGATCCAGAAGAGAGCCGAACTCGGCACAGCGTGGTGCGCCCTAAGCTGAATAGACACAGGTCGAAGTCGAATTCTTGGTATGAGGATGATCGCTACCAGATCCGGGATGAAAGTGCCGAAGAACAGCGGGCGTATGAGTCTAGGAACCATGGGGGATCTGATGTGAGACCATCGAAATCTCACGGGGGAAGGTCCCGCAAGCAGAACACGTGGACCCAGCTGACTCCGAATCTGGAAATCTCGCACTCCAGCGGCATCGAGATCAATCCTCGGCAGAAATCTAAGATGGTGGTGCCTGTTAAGGTGAACCTAGTGCCCATGACTCACTTCGACCATACCACGGCCTTGGGGAACAGTCAAGGATTCGACGCGTCCAATGCCATTCTGCAGAATATCGTACCAGGGACTCCTCTGGTCAGCACTCCGAATCCAGTTCTTAGTACGAGTCCGTCGTTGCTGGGCCAGGGTTACGGGATGCAAAATGGTCAGAAGTCCAGCCTCTCAGGCCAAAATTTCGGATTCGTCACTCCAGTGCCTGACGTGATCGTGGGCCAGAACAGTTTTCAAACTCCGGTCCAGACTCTGCTCATGACCCCGACCAGTGATCGCGGCAAAATAGTGGATGGGTTCAGGAACTCGTACATGTCCAGCACGATGACTCCTCTGTTTACCGTGACTTCCAGCATCCCCATGCAAACCCTGCACAGCACCGTCGCACCACAGGCAATGTACCCCACCAGTCAGAGTCTGAATCCTAGTCTGCAGCATCTACGAGTGAACCAGATTCAGCCTAATCATGGACTGGTAATGACTCCGGCGACGCAGACTATCGCCACAAATCTTCAGGTTCCTCTTCAGGGGGAATCCACGTACCATATCCAAGTCAATCCCAATGGCCTGCACGGTCAGAATCCGGTTCAAAACTCGCCAAACATCCAGACTACCCATGGAATTCAGATGGTCCCCTCGACATTTGGGCAAACTGGGTTGAACTTTTTCTCTACTAACCCAAACTACAAGAAGAACGTCCTGCCGGTCCAATTCATTCATACTTTCAGGGAGGTTGCAAGTAAGGTCCAGAATGGTCAGGGTGGGGCGACGACACTGCCCAACATCAGTCCCAACGGGTTCACTGTCCACAATAGAGACCAGAACCAGCAGATCCTGAAAGCTGCCAACGAGATTTTTGAGAATACTCTCAAGCAACTTCAGCAGCTGCACAGGAATCAGGCCAAAGGGAACAAGTACGGGACCCAGACTGTGGGAGTAGTTGACAATACTGGAAGCAATTCCAATATTAACCCGGTGAACACCGTTTCGTACCCGGCAAATGTGATGGGAAAGGCGCAGCTGCCCATAGTTGGGACCAGTCAGGTGGAGATTCTGAACCCTAACATCAAGCCTAGTCCGTTGGACCCTTACATAATGAACAACTTGCCGGTGAGGAATTATCCTGCTGTGGTAACTACTTCGATTCCTATTTTCGGCACCTCCAACTACGCTACGGTCAGACCTATCGTCACCAGCACTGGAGACCCTGTCAATGTCCAGGGCTACGTAGACTCCTTGACGGAGATCGGGTCCAGAGGCAATTCGGTAAAGCTGGAGATCAAGCCTACTGGTCAGAGTCAAGAACGCGTACCATACAACCCCATCGAGTTCGTTCCGAACCTGGACGTGATCAGGACCCAGAAGTTCCTGAACAGTAAGTTACCCCAGAACGAACCAGTCATGCAGGGTCTGAGTCTGGTCCCTGCGATGCCGGGAGGTAGCTTCTTCAAGAGCTCCTCAAGCGTTCAGAACGAAGTCTCGACGAAGCCGAAGCTGAACTCAGACCTGGAGAAGTTTGCCGAAGAGATGTTCAAGGAGTCCCTGAAGACCATCTACAACTCCCACAAGTGGAACAACGATCACAGGCCGATCTCGGACCTGAACGTCTCTGAGACCATGGATCTGCACAGGTTGAAGGACTCGCTGCAGAACTTGAAGGCCGCCTTCCCGGACCTGAAGACCGAGGACATCCTGGAGGCGCATTTTTCCGAAAACAAGCCGAGATCTGCGAAGAAACCGGAATCGACGATCACGCCGACCACTTCGGCGAGTACTGACCTAGGTCATTCCCATCATGGCAGGCCAGTTCACGGTCACTCCCGACCCGCGAATTACGTCTCCATAGCTTACGGCTCTGGTGGAGAGTTCAGGAAAGGGAAGCATCCGAGGGATTTCCTGACACCCCCGAAGTTCCATTCCTTTGTTTCCAAGAGTCCCTTCCACGAGAAGCCGATCAAGAATAGGCCCGGCCATGGTCCTCCGAGGTACAAGTCCCATTCCAGACCTGGTGGCATTGGAAAAATAGGCGGCCCTGAATCAGCGGCAAGCAATACCGAGTTCCACGTAGAAGGCGCGAGATTCGAGGCTCTTCAGGGTGCGCCGCAATTCGAGAGGGACCAATCTTCGGAGTTTAAGAAGAGACCGAGTTTTGGCGAGCCACCGAGCTTCACCACGTCGTTTCCCACATCTAACCCCTTGAAGACTGGTTCCAATGAGAATGGGTCCTCCAAGGAGGGTCTGGACCTCAACCACCCCAGGACCCACAACCTCTTCGGGCTGCTGATGAAGAACAAGCAGCTTCCCCCAGGGAGTTCTCAGAGCCTCTTCCGGGACAGGGATGAAATCGACCAGTTCTTTGAAAACGAGAAGAAGCGACTGGACCAGCAGTTCTACGACGAAACCCTGAGGAACTTCCAGCAGAGAGGCGACTTCCCCTCCACCCCGAAAACTGGTGTCAGGCAGGACCGGAACCTCTCGCGTCCCAGTGCTACCTAGAAGTCAGGGTTAATGTTGGTCGGCAGGAAATCTTGAAACCTCAGAAAATCTCCGTGGATCTCGGAGGTACGTGCTTTCGGGGCCAACGCCCCAGAAAATTCAATCCCCACCGGGAGAGGAGTACTTTGTCTTCATGGTCGACGTCTTTACGTAAGCTTGAGTGTTCCTCCACTGGTGGAGCTTCTCCCCAAGACAACGGCAAGAATATCGTCTGCGAGCAATGATTGCTTAGCTGTAAATAATCGATTCCGCAGGCCAATTATTTTTATGCAAAATCGCCCCTGCGAGAAACCGATGCACCGTCAATTCCTTGAGCTTCCTTGTACAACGAGCGAGCCTTCGGCTTTCTCCGCGGAGATCTTGAGGAGTTCGCCTGGCCTTGAAATGATCTCCTGAAGGCTCAAGGCTACGAGGAAAAGGAGCTGCCAATCCAGGACTTGCGATCGAAGTTACGAGGCATTGCATTATCCAAATAAGAGCGTTACTTTCGACTCACGGAATTCTTGTCAGCACCCGTATCTGTAAATAATGGTATTCTAGAAATATATATTTTTTAATTTATCTCCACAATAATGGAGACGTCCTCCCCCGTGTTTGCCACGGCTCTTCTCCCCTGATTTCGCGTTAACTATTTTTTTTTCCAGCTGAATTAAATTTCGGTCATCGCCGTCCGAATTTTTGTCTTTTGTGAATAGGGTGATTTTTTCTTTTTATCAATCCTTGAATAAAAAGCGAGTCCTTTTCTCCTCGATCCCATTTCTTGTCCCTGGGTCGGCTGTCAGTCCGGCAAAATGCCAAACTGCCAAACATTCGCGTTGTCCAGCTGATACAGGACAACCGCTCCGGGTGAGTCGTTGTGCAAAGTGTGGCAAAGTTAGCGAGCCGATTTTCTCCGTCGGGTGAGTTTTGCAAGAGTCGGGAATTAAAGTGACACTTTTAGTTTAGTCGCTTTGGTGAGCAGAGCTCGCCTGGCGTTTCTCTTTCCCGCGGTGCATGTACCTCGAGGGAGTAAAAAGTGCAATTGCGTAATGCGCCCGAGTCTTCGCCGGGAAGACTAAAGAAGGCACGAGGCAAAGGGAGCTCTGCAACTTTCCACCCGGAGCTATTCAAAATTAGGAGAGTTTTCGGGAAATTTCGACCCCTAAAATAAGGATCTTTGATACATATATATAATTAATCTGAGTGGGATACATCTCTTGGTAGAATTTCAATTTCATTTTTATTTCAAGGAAGCTCTGCAACTTTCCTCCCGGAGCTATTCAAAATTAGAGGAGTTTTCAGAAAATTTCGATCCTTAAAATGAGGATCTCTAAAACATACATATAATTCATCTGAGCATGATGATCTTTTGGTAGAGTTTTAATTTCATTTTTATTTCAAGGAAGCTCTGCAACTTTCCTCCCGGAGCTATTCAAAATTAGAGGAGTTTTCAGAAAATTTCGATCCTTAAAATGAGGATCTCTAAAACATACATATAATTCATCTGAGCATGATGATCTCTTGGTAAAATTTTTATTTCATTTTTATTTCAAGGAAGCTCTGCAACGGAGCTATTCAAAATTAGAGGAGTTTTCAGAAAATTTCGATCCTTAAAATGAGGATCTTCAAAACATGCATATAATTCATTTGGGATGCCTAACATGGTAAAATTTTAATTTCACAATTCTCTCTTCAGTCCTTTGAAGTTCCTTTTTTGGACATTTCCCTTCCTTGAATTGAAAATTCAAATTCAAACAATAGGAATTATTAGGAAGAAAAATCGGCCAGGTACGTTAGAAATGAAACATCTGACTTGAAGATTGTATTTCTTATCCATTGTTATCGTTTCACTGTAAATATGAATAATTAACTGAAAGAATAACTCAGAAAAACTGACGAAAACGTTTAGATAAATTGTATTGATACGAAGCCACCAAGACGAATGTGGCTATTAATTTATTGTGAAAAAGGTATCTTACTATCCTTTTTATAACTTACATACGCTACCATAAGAAGTTGTACTTAAAAAGATACATTAGAAACTATTAGGAAAAAAATGATCTTCATTTGAGCCTCGGATGAAGGAGCGCCGCCATGAGCACTCATCAGGCGTCCATTGATTTCTATCGGGCAAAAACTGAACTCCAAGCAAAGAGAGCTACACCTGTTCCCTCGGCAACTAATAATACTCATTACCGGAATGTCCCTTACCGTCTCCAGCGGAGTGTGAAACCGACGAGGCTCGCTTTAGCGCGATATTTGTCGAGCATTCTGCGCACTCGAGCGCGGAATGTGTTCGCATTTCTTCGAGCGGATTTCCGAGACATGTCGGATCTATTTGTCGAAGGTGAAGGTGAAATCGGGTCCGACGAAGGATTTCCAAGTAAAACGGCGGGCGATCTTCTTGCCGGCGAGATATTTATCAATGATCGAGTCACGATTCACCGATCGGTTCATTCAGCCTCCTTGCTGGACCGAGATTCATCCGCAGCTGCGTGAGAAATGGGAATAAAAATCCGCATTGCGTCTCGGCATAAAGAAGAGCCTCGATGGGGTGAAAGTGCTGATTGGTTAGATTTTACGAGCAACGCTTTTTTCATACACCGTGGCACTCGCCGGAGGACGAGCAATTCTGCTGGAACAACTTCCAGTCGCCGTGCCAGGAGACGCTCAGCACGGCGAGCACCTTGAAAACCGTGCAGAAAGCCGGCTCGGTTCTTCGTTTTTCTGAAAAGGAGCAAAACACCGCCGCAGATCGGACACGGTTTTCACAGGGATCCTCGGAAAGAATCGGTCTATCGGAACCGGGCCCTGAAAGCGAATTTGCGAGGCAGAAAAATTCCCTCTTTCTCTCCCGAAGAAATCCACTTTGGAATTCCTCGGCCACCTCGAGTGGGGGATTATTTCTGAGGAATCGGCTCCCCCCAGGTGGGTCTTTTCCGTGTCTGGGGATGTAGACGCTGATTCTCTACAAAATCACGCCCCGGATTTTTCTCCCACGTCGCAAGAACGGAGAAATTGTTAACAACTTGGAAAAGAAGGTTGTCGTACTCACCTCGAACTCGCACGTCGCACGCCGGGCGTGCAATGCTTCTGTAATTATCGCCGTTTCTTCCAATCGCGATCGAGAAAAATGATTTTGATATGGGGACTGCGTTGCCGATCAGGAAATAGGCCATTGTTCCTCCACTCAGTGTCGCGGGAAAATGTGATCCAGGATTTTTGCCTCGATTTCTTGCAGCATCCGCTGCCGAGGAAAAACGCTGACACCTAAGTGAGGAAGGAGACAAATTTGTAAATTATTTTGCAAGACTAATGCAATTGCAAAGTCTCCGCGGTATTTACGAATTTCATTTAAATTTCCCAACTGCTCCGCTTATTTTGTTTCAAAAATTGTTACTCCACTTTAGCATCACCCTTCCAGGATCCTGACTTACCTAGTCATTCCTAAATCACTCATAGCAACGGAGTAATATTTATTTACCCTCTTCAAGATTTATAATTATTAGTGGGTAGTCTAACACTGAAATATATCTTTCTGCATTTAAAAATATTCCCTAATTAATTTGCAGTATTTATATGTCTTCTGTAATTTCTACTCCAGTTCAGTATTACTCTTCCAGCATCCTAACCTAGCTAGTCACTTCTGAATCACTCATAGAGACGATATAATATTTATTTACCCTCTTCAGGATTTATAATTATTACTGGGTAGTCTAACACTGAAATGATATCTTTCCGGAATTGAAAATATTACGGGACATTAAATCATCGAGGGAGTTTATGGACCCTAGTGCCATTATCCGGTGCATCCATGGGTGGAGGATCCAAGGAGGGAGCTGGATCGCGATCGATCGAGATTTCCGCCGGACTCCGATCGAGCATTGTGTCAGCGGAACAAAATCCCGAGTTTGAAATAAAATACCAGCGTTACATAGGTATTACTAGGTCGATTGGAACGTCTCGGTTGGACTCTCTCGGCTCGTGCATCTAGCAGCTCCTTCTTCACGGCTGAACGAGTCGTCCTCAGGGCGGAGTAAGAAGGCAGGCATTTGACGTGCCGACCAGCCATCGGCGAGAGGCGAAGAGATTTAACTCGGTTTTTCTCCTGGCCGAGTCTTTTTGCCGCTTTTAGAAAAGTGTGATCCGTTCCGTTGTCCCGCATCAGTTGCCTCGGAATATAAAGGACCGCGGAATATCCGCGGCAGGCAGTCAAGAGCGATCTTTGGTGTCTTTCTGGCGGACCGGATTGGTACCATGTTGGTACGTTCAAGGAAGGAAAGGTCCTTCGACCCCCTGTAATGAGACCGACCTCGAGACGCGTCTCCTACGAGGGCTTCCGTGGTCCTAGTGCGGCTCCGATAACCTTATCACCGAGGAAGTTACCTTGCGGGTCTCATCGGTTATCGTGGATCTTCCGGTCTTCCGAGGATCTGGGGCGAGTTCCCTCGAGCAGGATCCTCCGTGGCTGAAACGTCGATTGCGTGACAAATTGCAGTGATTACGGTCGCGGAGGGGGCAGAATTGCCGGTTGATGGATCCGACCGGCAGCTAATGTGAAAATCATTCGTGATCGGCTGACTGGACCTGAAGTGCCCACAAAACTGCCCTAATTCTTTCTAGATCGCCGACATAGTGCCGGTTTTCGAAAATTTATTATACGTTCTTTTTAAATCAGGATATCAGAGAAGGATTAACGTTGTTGGCTAGGGCTCGAGTCTCGGAGGAGGGGGATTTTTATTTCTTTCTCTTTGTTCTTTACAGAACTTTGTACTTCATGTAAAATACCAAGATAGGGGATAGGAAAGTGTAAAGTTCTGTCAGAGAAAAAAAAATAGTAGCGGGTCTGTCGGGCTATGCAGGATTATTTTAATACTTAATCTGGTGTATTGCAGATTCGCTGCCTCTGTCTAACACTCGCGACATCGACGCTGGGCTTCTCATCGTTTCCAGGGGCGCCGACGACGTACTCACCATTGAGGCCATCCCTGGACAAGACCAAACGCGGTGTCATTGAAATTGGTCCAAGGACCAGTTCCTGGGCCAGTTATGGGTCGTCTCCAAAATCCGGTCCGGAGTATTCGTCCTCTCTAGCCCAGGACGCGCCATCATCGTCGCTCTCCGCGTCTTCGAGTTCGGCTTCCGAATACCCCAATGTCAAGAACTCCAATCTTGGAAGTCCTTACTACGAACGAGTGCAAGCTTTCCACGGAGTCAGCCAACAGCCAGTTTCTAGTTATGGGTCTAGCCAACAATTAGCTAATTACGGATCCAGTCAACAACCTGCTTCTAGCTACGGATCTAGCCAACAACCAACATCCAACTACGGATCTAGCCAACAACCTACATCCAACTACGGAGCTAGCCAACAACCAACATTCAACTACGGATCCAACCAACAGGGGTCCAATCGAGGGGACTATTATGCGGTACCGAGTAGAGGCTCCGGATCTCAGGGGGGTCCAGGAACCAGCAGCTACCAAGCTCCAACCTCCCAGGGTGGACCGGGTCTCAGCGGCTACCAAACCTCCCCCAAGCACCTGGTGAAACAGGTCCACGGGACTACTGGTTTGGGCAATTCGCACCTGAGCACCCCACACTACGACACCTACGTCAATTCCCCGACTACGTTGAAGGTCGCCGCTGATGGAGCCCATCATTCACCTCAGGTGAACTCCCTGCTCATGAAAAGATGTCTGAATCTGAAATTGTTTGGGAATTAATGGAAGGGTCTGATATAAAGTTTAATGAGTTATGAGAACGGTGATCCTCTTTTCTAGGAGAAGGCATCCAGCGATGGCCCTTCGCCCAGCTACGGGAGTCCCTCGTTCTCCAGCTTCTCCAGCCACCCTTCAGGGGCCTACTCTTTTGGGGGTAGCCCTCTTTACACCTCAGCCACGCATCTACATCACGCAGGTCCAGCCCCGATCTACAAGTACGCCTACCCCAGGAACTCTGAGCTCTCGCACACGTACGCTCCTCGTCATCAGAACGCCGCCAACTTCGCGGCCACCAATCTGAACTCTCATTACTCGGGGCTGCCGACCGTGGAGTTCAATGGAAAGAAGATCTCCCTGCCGATCCTGCAGCTGCAGAGCTCCCAGAGCATGCCGTCCTTTGTCCAGGCGATCGAGGCCCAGCCCGTGATCCTGGGCTCTGGTCTGGACTTCCAGCCCGACCTGGCCTTCGACTACAACTTCAAGCATAGCTCACCACCTCAAACCAGGTCTGCGCCCGTTATCAGGGCTGATAGCACCTTCAATCGGGCTCAGGTGCTACCTGTGCATACCGCCAGGAGCACACCTGAGTTCCCGCAGTACCAAGGCGCCAGAGTAGGCGCTTTCCCGTCTTTCGGCTACGATCGACCCATAGGCCAGTATCAGGCTCTGACTTCGCAGCCACAACTGCACTTTACCAACGCCAATCAACCTGCTGCCACTCACCAGGTCATCAACGCGAACCCCAACGCGGAGATTAGAGAGGACGTGGAGATCATCAAGAAGAAGAAGCCCCATTCGCCACCTCGACACGACGAGGAGGAGGATCAGAGGAATGATGGTGAGGTCCTGTTTCAGAATGATTCTTCCCAGGTCGCAGGTTCATCTCATTATGAAATAGATGGCGCCAGAAATTGGGATGTTCATAGATTCTCGAGTTAAGATGATGTACCGACGAACCTAACCGGCACTCTATATGTCGTTTTGGTAGAATGATTATAGAGACATCGAAGTCAAACTCGAGAAATTCCTTGGGCACTTCATTTTAAATACTTCAATCGTTCCATGACATCTATTTCATTTAATGGAAAGTATATTTTTGCCCCAAGAAAACTTACGATGATTTTCGGGGCTATGGGTAATTTTCGATTACTGTCCTGATTTAAATTGTAGGGAATAGTTCCTGCCCCTCTCAATTGTTACTCTGGGGTCTTCTATGAGTGAATAACGGCAAAATATGTGATCAGGACCCCAGTCTAAGTTAAACACAATTCTCTTAATGCAGTTTTTTAGTATCAGCGCCTTTGTAATTGTGTAGTCAAATTTCAGACAAATCGATTGGCGTACCTATAAAAAAGAAGTGTAGCCGTGAAATTTGGTCATCACCGATCAGCGAAAATTACCTTTGACGTCACTTTAAAGATGCATTCTGTACACGCGTGATTTTTTCAGGATACTCCCCAGCTAATAAGGACTACGGTCGCCAGGAGGAATCCTCCCGTCCCAGCAAGTTCCCGAAGACGGAGTACAAATCTCCCAAGTCTTTCCCTTTCAAGTCCTACGACGAGAAGTTCGGCAAGTTCTCGAAGGCTGCCTTCGAGGGTAGCTTTCCCAGCAGGCAGTTTTCCAAGTTCCGTCGCATGCACACATCCGGAGAAGAGGAGAACGACCACGACGGGAGACCCTCTAAGTACCATTCGGACTATGCGCACCCGAAGTCACAACAGGCGAAGAAGACGTCGGAGGAGCATCCCGAAACCGAAGAGGAGGACGACGACGAAGAGTACGAGGGAGAGTCTCAGAGGCACGAGCAGGAAGATGACGCGGAAGAAGAGGAAGAGGAGTCGGCACCCAAGTCCAAGGCCTACAGGGACTATGGAAGAGAGTTCGAGAAGGAGTTCGAGGAGTCCTACAGGAGGGAACTTCCGAGGAACAGTACGTAGATGTCCCCACAAATGCAGAACAAATTCTTGAGGGTTATCTAGGGACAAACAATATACATTTACATAGTAAACCGTGCACAGATTTGTATTTTTATACACACATACCAAGAATATTCTTAAGAACACGTCCGGAAGGTTATGGGGTCATTGTAGTCGACTAAGCAGATTTGGCTGAGACAAATGTATCATGTCTTACAGGCGAGGCTATACTTTGTATTTGATATGAGCCAATCCGATCTGATTCGATAAGGGCAAAATGTGTCCACGTCTATGAGAATATGATTTTTTCTCCGTCGGATCTGGTCATAACCATAACGCATATCTAAAAGCGATACTTCTTGCAGAGTACGAGCACGTGAAAGAAGTGCCGGACATTGACGAATCGTCGTACACCTCCAATAAGAAGACATCCGGTACTCAGGACTCGCCCAGGTCGTCGAGGAGTAGCTCCGACGACAGATCGGACAGCTCGGAGGAGTCCGAGGAGCAACATGGAACCAAGCACTCGCCGAAGAAAATCAAATCGCCGAAGTACCCCTCCTACGAGGACTACGTAGGTCACGGGACCAGCGAGAACTCGAAGAAGTCGCCTAAGATCGTCCACGAAGACTCCTACGGGTACCAGAAGCCGGAGGAGAAGAGCTACACGAAATACGTGAAGGACGACGACGGCAATGAGAAGTACTCCAATGTGCAGAAGGGCCCCAAGGGCGATTCCTACCGCCATTCGACCAAGTCGTCCTTCAAGTCGGCATCCCCGAAGAAGGGCGACAACGGGTCCTACGAATCCGGCGATTCCTATTCCTTCTCGTCAGGAAACAGCTGGGAGTCCAACAAGAAACCCACCCAGAAGTCCGACTCCTCCGGAAACGCGAGCAGCACCGTCAGCTCCAGCGTACCTACACACCCTGAAGGGGAAAGCTCGTCAGCGTCAGCGGAAAGTCGAACCAACCCACGATACATACCCACCGAGATCGTCCTCCGGGATCTCATAGGGATCTAGACAAAGTTCCCGGGAAAACTGGGCCGTCGTTCCGGTTCATTTTGTAGGGTAAATGTATTTCGTAGCTTTGCGTCGTTGCTGAAGAAGGTAATGGCCGGATGAAGTCCCTGCTGGTACCTTGACGTGGCGAAACGGAAGCGAGGTGGAGAACCTACTTGGGACTTCTTCGAGGATTAGTCATGTTTCTTCGAGTTCGGCAACTCCAGAGTTCCAAGTCTTTTCGGGATTGGCGCCTAATCGCCGCTCGGTGGGTCCTGGAGGATAAATTTGGGATTTAAAAGACGGAGATGAGAGGAATTTCCTGTCTTTCTGGCGCGCTGCGGTCCGCACGAATAGTTGTAATTAAGTTATAAGCATTAAGTTTGAATTGTGGATTTTCATAATGTAACGAAGAATCTTCAGGCAACCGTTGCCCTTGGAACGCTTCCTTCCTTATCGTCCTCCACATTTTCCATAAATTAAATTGTTACAGTTAATAAAATAACATTATTTCTGCGTTTTTGCCACCTTTCTTGATCATCTTGAAAATTCCTGCAAGTATCTCATAGTAATCCTGAATTTATAGGCAAGAGTTTTTCTCTTATCAGGACGAAATAGCGGCGGCTTTTATTTTTAATTTAAACGGAAATCCACTCTGAAAGGTTCCAGTCGGAATTAATCTAACTTTCATGAACAATTCTACTCAATTTAAAAGTGGAATAAAAAGTCCCTTGATTTATCACCCAAATACCACGCCAGAAAGAATAAAAAACAGTGTCAGAGAATTCATATAACATCTATTTGAAAATGTCCACTGCACCGATATTCTGTTTTATTTCGTACCCTCACCTGTTGCACCTGTCAGAACGTCTAGCCAAGACTGCGCCTGTTGCGGAACTTTTTCAAACCAATTAGAATGCTCCCACGTACTATCCAGGGCCAAATTTTCCGGGAGCAACGACCGATTTCCAATCAATTCCTGAAGAATCGATTCCATTCAGCGGTGGAGTCGCACCGAATCCAGAAAGCCGGAAGTACGTGACGGGAGCCGCCCTCGCGAGATGATTTCCTGAAATTCTGCAGAGATAACAGGAGAGATAGCGTCCGGTTTAGGACTGAAATTGCGCTTCCAGAAATGGCCGTCGCCATAATTGAACGTCGCCCAATCGTCATTACGAGACCCCAAGACCCGCAATCAATGTCCTACGTGCGCTCACTTTTTCCCGCAGTCTTAATGGTCCTTATTAATTCGCCGATTATGTTTTCCTCTCCATGTCGCAACCTGTATATATACCGACCTGCAGGAGTCCCTAGAGCATCAGTACCATCGACGAGAATTCAACAAGATGAAGATCGCATGTGTGGTAATTTTCGGATGCAACGAAGCCCCAACATTCAAACTTGAGCGGTTTACTTGCAACGTCGTCTTCTAGGTGGCTTTGACTTGCGCCCTGGCTGCTGTTGGCGCAGACCAGGAGCTGATGCCCAAGCAAAAGAGAGGAGTGGCGCTTTTCGGGCAACATGGATTCGACGCTTTCGGTGCTGGTCCAAGTTTTGGGTCCTCAGGATGGGCACCGAACAACTTCGCACCTCTGGGATGGGGACCATCACCTTCTTCCGACCTCGCTCTAGGACAGATCCAGCTTCAAGCTACGCATAACGTCGCCGTCCAGGTACCTATATGTTTACATTTAGTCCTTTGGATACCTTCGTCTAGGATTTCCTACAAATCCATACGTGCCTTCGTGGTCCAGGCGCTGAAGGACTCCTCACCCATCACTCCTGGGATCGCCTATCCCCCGGAAGTCGTCAGAGCCGTCCAGCAGGCCAAGGAAGCCAACCACAACGTTCTGGTAGCTCAGCATCGCGTCGGCGAAGCGAAACAAGCTGCACTTCTTCAGCAAAAAATCGCCCTGGCCAAGGAGGCAGCGGCTCGCGAAGCTACTCAAAGGTATCTCAACGACGACGCCGGTTTTTCTGTCTGCAACGCACGCAGAAAGATTTCCACTGAAAATGGTCTCGATCTCCGGCAGTTTGCACATAAAGTATACGTACAACAAGCACGCAACATTTACTCAACCACGCAAGGCACTTGAAACAAATGCCTGATCTATGCGCGTAGATATACGCAAGTACTTAACTTCATTTCATGCTTCTTGAAGTATTTTCTGAGAGCTGAGTGCATGCGTCTGGTGTGCACCCTGCCATGCAGAAAACATATCGTAGTACTTATTTTTCAATGTGAAGCACTTAATGCAAATGTACAATAATCACGCACACCGGGCTTGCACCATATTTGTTGCCGAGATGTTCTTTGAGAAAGGCGATCTCTTCATGTGGCAATTAATCCGAGATAATAATAAAATACGTTAATGGACTCATCCTTGTGATGTTGATCACACAAGTGTTGGCAATTTTAAGCTCGCTGAGGAATTACTAAATGTCCACACGTTTTCTTCTTGTTCTACAGAGTCTCAGAGTACTTTCAGATTGTTTGGGTAAACGAAGTTCAACGAAGGCAAAGCGCACACTACAAGGACTCCGTTTTTCCTGAATAAACTCTATATTGTCCTTCGTTTGTAATGATGAACGCCGAATTTCGAGTAAACGGTGAACACATTAAGTTCTGCTAACTTGCAATGAGCATTGTCTAGTGGTGAATTGCATCGCTCCGCAAGTGCTTGCAATTTGCGCAAATATACGGTACATGCGCTTGAAGCATGCAATACTCCTACATATTTGTGTACATCTACGTACACAGGACAGATACTTGTTTCACCCAGTGCTGTGTATGGGGAAGCAAATTTGACGTGCTTGCTTTGGTATGAGACTTGACTTAATTTGAAATTTCCATGAGGAATGCTAATGTAGGGTTACCTTCATGATGAATGAGGAATAATAATATGGGGTTAACTTCCATTCTGTCAAATTTCCAGGAGAAATGTTAATATAGGGTTACTTGCATGATGAATGAGGAATATTAATATGGGCTTAACTTCCATTCTATCGAATTTTCGGGAGAAATGTTCATATAAGATTACCTTCATGATGAATGATAAATGAGGAATTAATATGGGGTTAACTTCCATTCCATCGAATTTCCGGGATAAATGTTAATATAGAGGTAACTTCTATTTACCCGCTGACTACTCTTCTAGGTCTGAAGAGATCTCGGCGCATGCGCAGGCTGATGCTCGCGCCAGTGCTCAGCAGTTGGTGGCTCTTCAGCAAAAGCTGGCCACCCTGAAGGAAGCCGTTGCAGCTGCACAGAGGGTTGCCGCGGCAAGGGAGGCAGCTGCAGCTGCAGCTATCCAGAGAAATGCTGCAGACACGGCTGCAGAATTACGAAAGCAGGACGTCGACAAGCAGATCACTCGCAGCGAGGAGGAAGCCAAGGTTCGTCGCTTCCCGGAGCAGCTCGACCAACCCGACTAACCTGAATCACCTGGAATCTGGTCCTGCTTCTGTTTCAGGAGAAGGACATTATCGCCGCAAAGCAGAACGCCATTGCGAACGCATTACAGAATGCTGCGTCGGAGAAATCATCCTACCATCCCTGGGGGTAGGAAAGTTACATCAAGTCCCAGCCCTCCAGCTGGTGGAGTGAATTACACGGTGTCCGCCGTCTTCAGGAACGAACTTGGCTCCGTCTTGCTGAAATTGCTGGTTCTCCAAGGGACTAATTCCCCTACGGCTGATTTGGCTACCAACAACAGGAGAGTGTCGGCCCCACTCAGTAATTCCCACTCCATGAGTTACTCTATTTAGGTTTTAGTTTATGGGATGTATTTTGTACTCACTAACATTCTGATATGTTTTAATGTCATGTTATCCTCTCTTGTAAGCTCCTTGTTACGAATAAACCACGTTTCGCACACGACTATATCCTGTTCCTTTATTTCTTGGACGAGGTAGAAGGTTCATATGTTGTTTCGGTAAGTCCAACCGCGAAAGAGGAATTGTTTCAACCTTTAAAAATTTAAGTTTATACTCTTAGATTTCAGTGTCTTCTTGTCATATCTTGTCGTGGAAGCTCTTTGTTGGGAATAAACCAGGTTCCTTTGAGAGCTGATGAAGTAAAGCTCTGCCAAACTATTTCAGTAGCTCTGGACGCGTAAGAGGGACCGGAAGGAGGCAACGCCATTATCTGAGCATTATTTCTTTCTTTGCTCTTTATTCCGAACAAATCACGTTTCTTTGTTCACTCGATGATGTGGATCTCTTCTAATTTCGTTTGTTAGATCTGGACGCGTAAGAGGAACCGGAAGGAGATGACATTGTCCTAGAATGAAAGTAATAGGTAGTGAAAGTATCGAGATCGCTGAGACTCGTTCCCAGCAAGACGGAGAGCAACCCAGGAAGAAGTAAGGTCAGTGTCCAGTTACGTGCAACACGAAGCCCACCTCGCAGGCTACATCCGGTGCAGCGACTGGACGTTGCCGAAGAGGTAGCTTCCTGCCCCCCGGTCTTTTTTCGAGGACCCTTTCACTTGGTCTCTGGTGTCCGTCTCTCTCTTTGACCAGGCCAATTTTTAGAAACGCGAAAAGTCAAGGAAACGATCGATTTGCGGTCGTCCTTAGCCCGAACGTAAGCGGAATCAGGGTCCGGGAGAAAACGTCGAATCAATGACTCGAAGATGGCTGGGTTACACCCTTTGATTCCCGAGAGAAGTAGACAGCGTTTCTTGCAGCCACTTGTTCGATAAAATTCCTGTAATAAAATTGCTGGACGTCCTCCGCTCAATTTCCGGCTCCGGACCCTGTTACATTTTTTCCCCCAGAGATTTTTCTCCCCTGAACGAAAGCGACTCTGCTCCATGTTTCCCCGACGGGATTTACGAGGTACCCAGAAAGTGGGCATTCTTCGAAAAATGCAGAACAAACTGCAGGGGTAAAAAGGGATAAAGAAAGGCGGGCCATTTGAATCTATACGACTTCGCTTCCGGGAAGCGGATGGCACTTTGGAAAGCAGCAGATCACCGATACCTCTTCTTCTTATATCTTCCCTTTCCGTAAAGGGGAAAATCGCTCGCTTCGATTGAATCGACGAGCCTCGAATGACATTTATTTTTTAACCGGGCTATTAATGGCGAAATTCCCCGGGGAATAAATTAAAGACGGGGGGAGGAGGGAATCCGCTGACCTGCGGATAATTCGTAAATCTAGAAACCTGAATCGATCTCGAGGAAAAGAAAGTCCCGGCAAAAATTAGAGAGCCATGTCTCGAACGTGGCGTCGCCATTGGTCCCCATGTGTCGCGGATCCTTTCAACTTTATTTAAACGAAGGAGCTTTCTCGGAGAATTCAATTTCGCCGAGCTCAAAGCATCGGCGACGGGACTCTGGAAGACCTTCGAAATAGATTCTCGATAAACGCATCGCTCGAGTGATGCGGTCGTTACATTAAATGAGCACTCCACCTTTCACACTGTACCGGATGGTACTTTCATTCCGTGGTCTTTTTGGCTCGGTTTGCTCCTTTTACCTTCTCTTTCGCTACCTTTATTTACTCTACTTTCTTCCTGCGATCTTCCCCACTCTCCCTGATCATCCTGGAGCTGGGTAGATTCCGCCATCGCTGCACTTGGCTGCTCAAAAATCTCCACGTCGATTCCGGCCTGGATTATCGACTGCGACCTTGACACTTATGCAACGACAAGCATTACTGAATATTCCGGTATTGCGCTGAATGTAAAATGATTCAATAAACCAGTGCAACCACAATTTTATAGTCTTTCTCCCGTTTATTGATTAAACCGCCGATACAATGCCGGTTAAAAATGTACATTGTCTCTTTTTAACACTTCTTTTAACATTGAGTATACCATGTTGAAGGCTGCAAGTTGAACTTCTTCCTTGTTCGAGTTTAAGAGTCAAGCTTGCTACGCTTTTTCGAGAAACGAGGGCACTTACGTCCAAGAGGAGCATAAACCAGGTTTATTGTGTACAAATCCCCATTTTCAGGCTTCCAAGTACTCTCCGTGAACCTAAACATTTAAATTGAATTTACGGAAGAGGAATAGATAATATCTTTACAAAAAGCTCCTTTGGCGTAGAAAGAAAATGACGATTCAATGCCAATACGACCTTCGTCTGAAAAATTACAAAAAATTCAGAAAGAATTGTATTTAGGGCTCTTCAGGGTCATCGACGGCGAAGAGAGGACTCGCCACTGTCCAGCTGGTTTTTCATCTCAAATGGACTCCATCTATGAAGAAAAGCTTCGTCGGAAGAGGAAAGCGCGTCCAGGGGCAAAGCGACTTCTCCGTGCACTCCATGACGAACGTTGAGAACGTTCTCCAAGTTCCTCTTCAAGAATTCCCTGAAGTTCCTCTTCAGGGTCCCTAGGGCCTCTAGAGTGGATGAAAGCCGACCGATCCGTTCCTTCCGTGAGCTTTTCATCCCAAGAATCGAGACCGAAAGTTAGAGACAGAGTCGAGTCTCATTGGGTCATGGATCGTCCGATTTTTCTCGCGGGTTGGATCCATGTTGGTATTTTCTTCCCTGCAACGTCTCGTTTCCTTCGTCTTCAGTCCTGGGATTCCTTCTTCTTTGGTCAATCTGATTGCCCAGCCCAAATGGAGGGTATCCCCATTCACGAAGGAAAGGGGGAAGAACTTTCATCGACACGCCAGGAGCGGACCGACTTCTCCGTGCACTCCACTGTGAACGTTCACCGCGTTCTTCGAGTCCCCCTTCAAGAATCCCCTGAAGTTCCTCTTTAGGGTCCCTAGGGCCTCTAGAGTGGATGAAAGCCGGCCGATCCGTTCCTTCCGCGAGCTTTTCATCCCAGTAATCGAGACCTACGGTCGGATGCAGTGTCGAATCTCTCTGGGTCTCGGATCTCCCGATTCGTCTCGCGAATCGGATCCATGTTGGCGTCGTGCCGTCCACGCCGGTCCGGTTTCCGAGAGGCGCCGATCACCAGACCAGGAGAGGGAGAAAGTGATACACCTATAAAAACGAGCGATCCATTGCCCGAGACCCGTAGTGTCCCATTGGCTGTCCAAGCACTTAAATTAATAACATTGTCGCCCAGAACGAGCAAAACATGCTCCTGCCGGTGAGTACGGGGGAGATTTTCCCCGGGCCGGAAGGAAGTGCCGGCTTTGTAGGCGCACAATGGCGAAAGCCGATCGAGATACCAACAGTCCTCGATCCGATCGGACGAGAGGAGCACTCGGGGAAGGACCGTTCACGTGGAGTCGGTTAGAAAGGACCTGCGTGATCGCGATCGACAGATTTTTCCCGGTTTTACGGGTGATTTTTATCGACCGTCGCGTCGGCCGGAACGTGAAATTAGAACCGGGGAACCTCGGAGGATCCCGACCACTGATAAGGACACCCACCAAAGAAACGTCTCGTTCTTGCCCCGACTTTTTTTCTTCCTCGTGTTACGCCTTCTTCAGGGAAAGTGGACCCAACCATTAAGGCCGAGATAATTTAGATAATTACCCCGTCACTGTGACTCCATTTTTTATGTCCCTAGCCTCTTTAACGACCGTATCTGAATTTTTAGATCGTGGTTGCCTGCTTTGTGGGAACTACTCTGGCCTCTGACGAGTACGGCAGTGCTGGAGGATGGGAGGGGTGAGTTTATCAAACCTGAAAATATTAATACTAATGGTTATAATATCAGTAATATTATTAATATCGTATACTTACGAAATACCCGTTCTCCAGGCTGGGTGATTCCGGCTACCATGGTGGAGGCCACGGTCTAGGAAATGGCCTCGATCATGGTCTTGGCCATGGTCTTGGTGGCGGTCACGTCCAGCACCAGTACGCCCATGCGGTGCAGATCGGCCAACACATTGAAGTGACGAAACCAGTACCGGTGCCGGTCTACAAAGACATCGGTGAGCATCCATCATCCCCTTTTCTCTGATTACCTTCCACGGTCAAAGACCGATTTCTAAGGTCCAAGGGAGTTTCATGAAAAATTTGACCATTTTTTCCAGGGGTCCCCGTAGCTCAGCCGGTGGCCATTCCGGTTCCGCATCCGGTCGCCATCGGCGTGCCACAGCCGTATCCGGTCCATGTTCCGGTGGCCCAACCGGTCGCAATTCCGGTCGTCAAAACGATCGCGGTTCCGGTCGAAAAGAGGGTGCCCTACCCTGTCGAGAAGATCATCCCTGTTCCTGTGGAAAAACACATCCCGATTCCCGTGGAAAAGCATATCCCCGTTCCCGTGGAAAAGCCTTATCCGATCCACGTGCCGATTTACAAGCACATCTTCCACAGGGTCAAGAGTCATGGCCATGGGTGGTCGCATTAGTTGGTAGTTAACTGCTCAATCAAATTCGATCTCCTCGGCGGAGGATCGATAGACTGATTTTTAATTCATGGTTTTCAGTTTTAGAATTTTCTTCATTTTTCTCTCTCCGAGTTTTGTCTCGCGAACGATGCTGGAGATGTTAAAGTTAACTTTGAGGTCTTGAGTTTGAGTTTTCCAGTCGACTTTTGTCATGTTTCTTGATTTTCTACGAGCTGTATCCGCCGTGCCATTATGAGGAGGGAGCTAGTGATTCGCATTAGTCTTCGTAAACTCCTTGTTAAGTTTTCTTCACTTTGCGTTAAGAGATGTGTATATATAGAAATGTTATGTTTCCTCCGTGAAATAAAACCACTAAGTCAACGAGACGAACTTTTCCTTTCATTTGAGACCAGCTCCTAATCTTCCTGGAGACGGCGATAAAGTCCGGCGATAGGTTTCGACGAGTACCGCTCCCTGCAAATCTGCATAATAAACCATGCACAGGCGATGAATAATAAATTCACAGGCGGTAGAGGCTTTTTGTCGGAACACCCGAGAGCTCCACTTTTCCTTTCCTTCAATTCTAGGTTTAATTGCACCTTGATAAGCCCGAGACCGATAGTTAAATCATTACATCCACGATATGGAGATCTCCATTTTTCCTATTATTCGATCCAGGATTGAATAATTAATTTTCTTCTCGCGTTATTAATTACCGTAATAAGGAACCCCAGTTATTAGACTGATACCTTATGCCTCTGCTTCGTAAAGCTTCCTTCTTCGGGCTCTAAAGTGTTAATAGTCAGTTTTTACCGTACGTACTTTCTACACGGAATGAACGCGTATGTCGGTGCAATGATCCCAGATCTACTTGCAGCTTCGAGAGAATTCACGTTTACATAATCCCGCGGTCAAGTTCCTGAAAAGTTTATCCGGTCGCTCTTTTAATAACAAGTCTTTAGGCAGTTAATTGCAGCGACAAGACTGGAGGAAGAATCCCTTTGCGTGAAGAACTTGGAAATAAGGTCGCGATTGTTCGCCTTCTTATTTCCCTTGGCATTATAAGAGAGCCTGGTGATGTTGAACGCCTCGTAATCGTTACGAAGTTTATGTACAGTTGATGATGCAGATTTATAGGAAGAAGTTGTGGGTGGCTTTCCACCGGGGTATTCACCTGGGATATTACGACCATGAATCATGCCAACGTAGATGCTGCTCTCCTTTCTTAGCAGCCCCCTTTATATGCATGATGAACTTCGTACTCGGCTTTAAATTACCGCTCCCCGAGGATCGAAGGATTCCTTATTTATTCAAATTGTCCGAAGCGCGGGAATATCTCTTCCGAAGTGACAATGAATTCACGGGCGTAATAAATGGTAACCGAGGAGAGAAGTTCGCGTTAAAATAAGTCGAGCAAAGCCCCCCGCGATGGAGATATTAAAATGAAATTAAGGACGACCGCTTTTGAGGGGATGTCGTGGCGCCTCGATTGTTATTAACTTATGGAAATATCCCGAGGAAGTGGACCGCTTTTTTACAGAGGTACGTATCCAGGCGAACTCGACCCTGAATGGGGACGACTCCTTTCCTCTCTGCATCTTCTCTTCAAGATCGCTTTGAGATGGACCCTCGGACTCGGTTCCAAGGACCGCTTCCTGGGGTCGAAAGTTCCTCCGAATGCGATTTTGAGAGGGAAATGCACTTTTCATAACTGCGAAGGAAAGTCCGTCGGCTCGCCTATGGAGATCCCCTCTCAGGGGGGATCGTTTCTTCTTAATTGCCGCAATCTTGCGATTGCTAATTAGATGGTAAGTGCTGCCTACGGAACGTGGTCTTGAGAGCACACTCGTTATGCTCTCTCCACATGGATTGGAACATGTCTTCTGAAAAACGACCGATATAAGACCGTCTGATTTGCGAGTGGATTCATCCTTCCTGCCAGTTTATGATTTAATATGAACAGGAAAAATTCATACGCGAAGGAAATGCCACTTCTTCCAGAAATTCCGGAAAATCAGGCCGCTAGGAGTAGACTTTTGATTTTTGACAAAGCAGGGTATTACTTTTTTTTTAAATGAAAATTGTTATGGCACGGTAGGACGTGAAAATTCGCATGTTATGCGAAATATACCTGCGAAATGACCGATGTGTGGCCGTCTAATTCGCAAGTGTATTAGTCCTTTCGGTCGATGTATGAATTAACATGACTGGGAAAAATTCATACGCAAAGAAAATGCCACGACTTCAGTAAATTCAGAAAAATCAGGCTGCTAGGAGTTGATTCGTGAGTTTTGACAAAGCAGGGTATTAGTCCTTTTCGAAATGAAAATTCTTATGGAACGGTAGGACATGAAAATTCGCATGTTACGCGAAATATACCTGAGAAATGACCGATGTGTGGCCGTCTAATTCGCTAGTGTATTCGTCCTTTCGGTCGATGTATGAATTATCATGAACAGGATAAATTCGCACGCGAAGAAAATCGCATCTTCCAGAAATTCCGGAAAATCAGGCCGCTAAGAGTAGACTTTTGATTTTTGACAAAGCAGGGTATTACTTTTTTTTTTAATGAAAATTCTTATGGCACGGTAGGATGTGAAAATTCGCATGTTATGCGAAATATACCTGCGGAATGACCGATGTATGGCTGTCTAATTCGCAAGTGTATTCGTCCTTTCGGTCGATGTATGAATTATCATGAGCAGGATAAATTCATACGCGAAGAAACATCTTCCAGAAATTCCGGAAAATCAGGCCGCTAGGAGTAGACTTTTGATTTTTGACAAAGCAGGGTAATAGTCCTTTTCGAAATGAAAGAAGAATTTAGCGAAGTTGACATCGAAACCCCCGGCTATAAAGATTGGTATTTATCAGTACAAGTATTATATTATAGAAACAATAAATAAATATTTCCCTTAGCGTTAGTGGGTTATTCTGTCAGAATAATTAAGAATAACCAATAATATCGGATAATTCCCTGAAAATTAGAAGTTTCTCTTAGATGCGCACGGCGACCAGGCACCGATTCTTTGTCTTCATTTTTCCTTGGAAATTCGCGTCCGATTGAAAACGGGCCATGGTGCCTCGGGAACTTCTCCTGGCAGCTTCTTCTGGGCGAGGTGATCTCCTCTAAGTGGAATCTTCAAGGTAACTCGGTCCAAGTCACGCGATCGCGACCGGCAAGAAAGCCGAGGGAGGAGCCTCGGTCAAGGGAAAGAAGCACGTCATGCAAGGGGAAGTAATAGGACCGAGTTACAGAAGAAAAGAGCCGAATCACCGAATCGGAGTTACCGAATCGAGACCGGCAAAAGTCAAGAACGGTAAAAGCCGAGGAGCAAACGGTTACCGGTGAATGCACATATCCATACAGAACCGAAGAAACGTGCGAATTCAATGTCGAGGCGAAGGGAAACAGTTGTCAAGTATCGGAGCATTCGAAATTCCGTGGAGGAAAGACATGACTTTGCCTAGCCCCGGTACGCTCACTCTGACCTGAAAAAGAATTGACCTTCGTGGTCCCACCCCCACACGTATGAGATATGGACAATAATTTTTATGGGACTGGCCTCGCGGCCCGGGAAAAGTGTTGGCTGGCTCGCGGTCGGATTCCCGGGGGAAAATCCGGACAAAACGAATTCGGCGACAGTGAAAGGCTGCTCGGTATATTAAGACGAGAAATGGGCGAAGATGTATCAGTTCTAGGAGAGACCTTCTTTCACCAGCAGCTGCACGGTGCACATATTCAATCCCACGTGGCTTGCCATGTACAGAATCGTGAGTAACGGGGGATTTCGAATTACGGCGAATCTTTTGCCGAAAAATGTATGGGGAGGTACTTACCGGACGATTTTCAGGCCCTTCTTTCCCTGGTGTCCCTGAGCACGGCTTACCCCATAGTGGTGCACGATCATGGCGGCCAGTTCCTCCTGTCCAGCGGCTTCGGCTTGGGGATGCAGATCGACAGATCGGACCACGAAAGTATAGGCAGCTCCGGCGGCGAGGGCTATGGCAGCTATGGCGGCTATGGCGACTATGGAGGCCATGGGGGATATGAGAGCTCAGGAGGTGACGAGTCCCAGTCATCGGGTTTCGGAGCTGGAGGCCACCAGGGTTCCTATGGGGGCTCCTACGGGGGTTCCTATGGGAATTCCTATGGGTCCTTCGACAGCTACGGCGGAGGCCACGGCGAAAACGAGATCGGCCATGGTGGAGGAGGGATCAACCTCGATGGAGGCCAGAGCTACATCCACAGTGTTCCAGTATCCGAACACGTCGAAGTCACCAAGCCCGTGGCGGTGCCGGTGTACAAAGAGATAGGTAAGTGCCCGGGCCTCTTCTTAGATCAGGTGCTCAGGTGGACCCTGACGAGCTCTTCCGATCACCTGAAATCGGTGCCAGGTCTTCATCGATGATCTCGTTCCAGGGGTACCTGTTCCTCATCCAGTGAAGATCAACGTGCCTCATCCCGTCGCGGTTGGCGTTCCTCAACCATACCCAGTGGCGGTTCCAGTTCCTCATCCGGTGCCCATCCAGGTGGTGAAGACAGTAGCGGTCCCGGTGGAGAAGAAGGTTCCCTACGCGGTGGAGAAACACATCCCCGTGCCCGTTGAGAAACCAGTACCCATCCACATCGAAAAACACATCCCCGTTCCCGTGGTCAAGCCCTACCCCATCCGCATCCCTGTCTACAAGACCATCTACCACCACGCGAAGAGTCACCACCAGCACCACTAGGGTAGGAGCCGGAGATGTTCCCCGACCAGGAAACAGGAGGAACCCGGTCATCGTCTTCAGGGAACCCGAAGAATAGAAACATCGCGACGTACACCTTGAGGAACGGAGGGACCCCGGATACCTCGGCTTGCCTTGACACCGGAGAAAGTCCTCGAAAAACGGCGCAGCGGCTCCACTCTCGTTCCCGTTGTTATTGTTTTGTGTATATATCTATATATATCTCGTTCTACCGTAGATTCGCTGCGACTCCTTTTTTATACATGTTGTGTTTTCTAAATAAAACCAAAAAGTTCGTTGAGACGAGTCGTTCATCTCTCGGAGAAAGTCCAGGCAGGGCGGAGCTTCACGAAGGAGCCGAGGACGCTGTTGAAAAATCCTATGCCGATGGAACTGGAACGGCTTTTCCGGAGCTGATCGAGGGTAATGGACCGTGGACGATGGGCACTATCGGGTGTGTCCGATGTAGATGTCCAGATTCGCCTCCGTTTATTCCTGCTCCCCTCAGGGTGGGATTTGTTCCTCCAGTCGCACCTTCGGGTGGTCTGCGAAGTGCATCGCACTTTCATTACCTGACATGAACAAACGAGAAGAAAGTACACGAGATATCGATTGCAAATTCGCGTCCTGGTTTTTCTCTCGTTTTTCTCTTGTTTCTCCACACCCATGGTAAAATGGGAAAAAAGGCACCTTGTGTGTTTTTTTGGTGCGTGGCTTTTTTCTCGGAGATTTGAAAGGAGCTAGGCTTTTGTTAATCCGTGTTTTTTTAATATTCCGCGGCGATGAGCAAATCTCGAGGGGAGGCTTACATGCGTTACGAAAAATTTGACGTTTTTTCGCCAGGAGATGACCGCTCGAGAAAAGGCGAGCCGGTTTAATCGCCGAATCGAAAGAAGGAAATGAAAGTGAAAATTGCTCTTCGGGTGCTGTTTGTGCGTGGCTTTCTATCTACTTCCTTTTTCACTTTTTCCACACCCTTTCACGCCGTGCAGGTGGGGATCATGCGAGGGTGGAAAAACGCCGTAGGAAGTACAGGCGGTAGGAAACCAGTCAGACGTGGGCTGTCATTGTTTTGCGAACCGCAATTGATATTTATAGTGCCCCCAGTCGGACATTAATTACCGGACGTCTTTCTCTCCGCCCCGTTCATACTCCGAGAGAGGCAAGTCGACCAATCCTCCCACAGGAGACTGAAACGATTTTCGAAAAGGAAACGCACCTTCTTTTACGTCCTCATTGTCGGACTTTACATCGCGTTTAACCATCCCATTCCTTGTGCCACTCAAACTTCCCAGAATGCAAATGAAGTTTAATCCACTGCCGACGCGTGATTACTTCTAACGTGATGTACATGCCATGATTTTCCTTATTAGGGAAATACCCCATATTCGAGGAATTTCGTGTGATTTGACGGGTAATTACCAATCCGGCGGTTTCCTCGGCGGGAAAATTACCTCGCAGAACTTTGCAATGCTTCCTTATGAAGGAAAATTCACTTCCTACATGCGTACACTCAAATTGCATTTTCCATGCTGACGGAAGAAACTTCTGTGGCCATTTTTATGTTTCAGAATTGAAAGTATGTTTTGTTTATTTAACATGCATCGCTCGGCATGATGTTGAAGAGAAACGTAGGAGAGAAACATTTGAATCCATGTGTCAAGAATGATCATTTTTGGATGAGAATCCTCCTCCACGTAAGGTGCAAAAATCGGACAGCAAAGAATTTCATCGATTAAGAAAATTCTATAGTAAACTTTCATAATTTCGATTTGAAAATACGTTTTTCATTTATTAAGGGTGCATCAATCATCATGTAGATTGTGACAGAAGAGAAATGTAGGAAAGGAAAATTTGCATCCGCAATGTGGGAAAAGAATGTTCTTGGGTGAGAGTATTCCTCCATGTAAGGTACCAAAATCGGGCAGCAAAGAATTTCATCAACTAAGGAAAGGCGGAAGTCGAGTGAAGCAGCTAGGTGTGATTGCACAAGAGTAGCACCACCACCGTGGTGACAAACGGAATAAAGTGGCGGGCCCGGTGAAGGTGTAGGATTGTACTTTACAGGTAAGTGGGGTTGGTGTTCTTTAACATGAAGAGTAGGGTATATAAGTGACCGGATCAGGTTTCGATGCCCGAGTTATCCACCGTAGAGTTCCCGAGGGACATTTGGGCACCAGGTGCGAGGACCATGAGGACATTCGTACGTAAAAGAAGGATAAGAAGGACCTAAGGCGGTGATAACGAAATCGACCCAGCAGGGAAACAGGTTACGAAAGAAACGCGCCAAGACCACGGTGGCCAAATTCGGTTTCCGTTTTTCCGTAGCCATTTTTCACCCCGCGTGTCATGACAGATAGAAGGCTTAGGTCGGTCGAAAGGATTAGAAGAAAATATCAGAGTCTGTCAATGTGTTCAAGGTCCTCGTTTTGTGCCTCGTCGGACACTGCTATGCCTCGTTCTGGAGTTTCGATGGTCACGGGGGTGGATTGACTTTGGGGGAGATCTCCCTGGACCATCATCACGACCTGCCTGCCATTTCTCTAGGAGAGCATGGTTCGATTATTCTAAATATATTTCTCCAAGAAGGATCAGAATTATCTGACACTCAATGGGCTTAACTTCGTCCCCGCCAATTTTGGTCGCCATCAACCCCTCTAAGTGCTCGTTCCTTCGACATAGCTATAATCGATGACGATTGATTTGACATCGATTTTCCAAATCCAGGACACGAGCTCACCCCGTTGGAGTCCGTGGACCATGGGTGGCATGGGTGGCAAGGAGGGTGGGATGAGCAGATCAGCATCGGCCATGCTGGCCATGGGATCAAAGTCATCCCCGTGGTGAAACATATTGGTGAGGAACTGGACCTCAAAGTTCTCCTCCAATTTTTTGATTTTTTATCCCCGCTGGTTTACCTGTACGAATGATCAAGGAATTCAGACAGACTCTACGATTTATTTCTTCATTATTTCTTAATTAACCTGAATACCTGAATAATTCAGGTTAACGCGAGATGGTAACGTGTCACGAAGAAACGTAATGAATTCCCCCAGGTATTCCAGTGGTGAAGGAAGTCGAGATCAAGATTCCGCATCCAGTGGTGCAAACCGTACCACAACCGTATCCGGTCGCCGTTCCGGTTCCGCAGCCCGTTCCTTACGAGGTAAATTTGTCAATGTGCTCCATTCTTGTCCAAGTCTCAAAAAACGTCCGCAACAAAGTCTCTGCGAGGAATTTAATTGAGAGTGTTTCTTCTCCTTCGATCCAGGTAATTAAACCGGTGTTCACCAAGGTGGAGAAGAAGGTACCGACACCTGTGGAGAAGATTATCCCTGTCAAAGTGGAGAAGCCAGTACCTTTCAAGGTGTACAAACACATCCCGGTACCTGTCGAAAAGCCTGTACCAATCAAGATACCTGTGTACAAAACGGTCTACCACAAGAGCGGATGGCACTGATCGCATTTCCGAAATACCCAAACATTATTCTACTCAACACGGAGAAAAAGAAATTGGCTTATTGAACGACTTCCTTTGATCGACTACATCCGGTTAATCTCAAAAAAACGCTCTTATTAAGTGAACCGAAATTTTTTTCACTTTCTCGAATTCATTCGCTTCGATTTAACCGTTTCCGTTAAATCGCTTTGCTAATTGTCGAATATATTTCAGTCAATCAAGCCCAAATGTTTCGGTTAAAAGTACCAAAGTACTACAACATTTCATGTGATCTATTACGATATCGAACGTAATTAACCAAACGTTACGAACCAAAGAATTTTGTCATACCAGTCGAATACTTATCCACGTGATAATTGTATTCAGTGGTTAAACAAAAATTGTATCTATTCAACCAAGTATTTTTCTCTGTGAATTATCTCTGATTAACGTCTCTTGTAAATTGTTTCACCTTAATTGTAGGTACGGCAGTCTGTTCTTATAGAGATGTGAATTAGATGTCAATTATTTATCGCGCACCGTTCCAATGGAAGGGGTCTTTGTCGAGTTAGCCGAAATAATCGATGTTATTTAACAATGTCATGTAAATACAAGGCGTTACGTAGCCCCGGTAAGAGTAAGGTTGGGCTATTGTGCGATTAAATTATTTTATCACCTGTTAAGCCGCAGCTTTATTTCCTCATACCTGCGATCGGGCCGTGAAAGTTTGAACCTGCGGAAGCCGGAACAAGAGTCGGGGAATATTTTATTACGCGTCAATTATTCCTCTCCGCAAAAATGTACTTTACGCCCTGGAAGAAAGACAAGTGCCTCTTACCATCTCGAAACATCTGCGAACGCCAACGGGACCGCTTTACAAACGGCTTCAGACGAGCGTTTGCATCACTTCTGCGAAAGCAACAATGGCCGACCGAGTGTATTATTACTCCTGAAAAAGCCAATGATACCGCCACGTATCTGCATTTCACCGACGGCGTAAAAAACGCGGATTCCAGAAGTGAAACGTGGTGGCAAATGATTGCGAATGATTGCGCGCCTTCCTTCTTTTATCCGCTTTATCTGACAATAGACTCTGCTGCTCGGTTTATGACCAGCGCAATGTCACGTGACGGGATCGACGATCGTTTTTTGGGAAGCCGAAAGAAAGGGAGAAATTTCCATTCCCCCACTTCGGCGAAATATATTTCGTTCCTGCACATTCGAAATGATTTATAAATCGTATCGAATGTGCAGGAATGATTTATAAATTATTTCGAATGTGCAGGAATGATTTATAAATCATTTCGAATGTGCAGGAATGATTTATAAATTCGAATGTGCAGGAATGATTTATAAATTATTTCGAATGTGCAGGAATGATTTATACATTATTTCGAATGTGCAGGAATTATTTATAAATTATTTCGAATATGCAGGAATGATTTATAAATCATTTTGAATGTACAGGAATAATTTATAAATCGTTTTGAATGTGGAAGAATGATTTATAAATCGTTTCGAATGTGCAGGAATGATTTATAAATCATTTCGAATGTGCAGCAATGATTTATAAATCATTTCGAATGTGCAGGAATGATTTATAAATCATTTCGAATGTGCAGGAATGATTTATAAATCGTTTCGAATGTGCAGGAATGATTTATAAATTATTTCGAATGTGCAGAAATGATTTATAAATCATTTCGAATGTGCAGGAATGAATGATCGCAATTTAAAGTTTATTGTCTAATTTTCTTTTTCGGTGAAATTAGAAGTGCAGATCGATTAATTACTCGGAAATTCACTCTAAGGGAGGTGCAATGGACGTGTTAAATTATTTGCAACTAACAGTGGCTGATTACTGAATCGATCACGCACGTCGTTATCAATACGTACCCTCGCACGCGATGATTACGTGTAACGCGGAATATGTAATCAAACGAGCCATTAATGCAATTATCACCTTTGCGACCGATGTATTCCGCGACAGTCATACTTTTCATAACGATTCAATTAAATCGACTATAGCCTTTATTGGTGCTGTCATTACTCGACACACTGTGCAGTAAAAATCATTCGAAGCATAATACCACTCATGCTCGTTACTCGAGCCAATAAAATTACACCCGGTCGTTACCATTACGTATGACGCGTAACTACTTCTCAGTTTCGGATGTACGCGCACTGTTAAATATGTTTGTAAATTTCGTACAGTCTAAGTATGTTAGATACTTACACATTTTTTACGATAAATATAAATTTTGCACGAGAATTTAAAGCATTACGCTCGAATTTGCATTTTATCGAAAACCTTTTAAGCTGGTTTGTAAAATTAAAAGGCATGTGCATGAAATACATTCACGAGTGAATTGAAAAATTTGGTATACTGTCTGTAAATAGAATTTCTCATACATGATTCATGAGTCTATTACCCTTTTTTAATGGTTCACTTCCCTTGAATATGAGTTTTGACAAAGTTTCAACTCCCATTGAATTTATGTTAATAATGTATCGTCACAAAAACACCGTCGACGTAAAAAAAATTGTGCCAAATACATCCAATTAGAAAAGTATATTTTGCAAAGTTATATCCATATAGTGGCGATTAATCGTACAAAGACAATGAAATCAATTACTTTTGCCGAATACGTACATTGGGTGTTATATGCAAAACAAGAAAACAAAAAATCACTCTTGCTGAACACATATAGTATATTACATTTAAAACAAAATATATCTTAAAAATAAAAATAATATTCGGCGAGGCTCAATAATTCGTTTTGCACATTTAAGCAATCATCTTGAATTCAAGATTTTTGAGAGTGTAAATATTATTCTGGGGCTAAAAACGATGAAGAACATGTCAAGTGAGCGAAACGTGACCTTGAATATTTTCAGATTGGTATAACGTATAGTGGATGGCTCTAAAAAATCTGAAAAAATTACAGCCGCTACAGAACGGAACGTACTTTCATTATGTCAAACATGGGTCCATGATAAGTTCTCATATTTGAGAAATAAATATTTGTCGAATTGAACTTCGGTGTGGTTCATGCACGTTTTTAAATGTATTTGGTGCGAAACTCTACCAAGATTCCTGACATATGAATATGGTTCCTTAACGCAGGGGAAAGTGTTTCATTAAAAAGAAAGGGTATAAGACGTAAAAGTCCACGCACTATTCCATAGGAATTGAAAAATAGTCTAAACTTCTATCAGGAAAATTGTTCCTGGTAATTCCGGTTCTCTTGTGGAGTAATGGATCGACTTTGGCAATCATGCTCAATTTCAAGGTGAGATCCGCCATCTCGGGAGCAAGTGTTCCAACGTCGTCACGTGCGCAAATTGCAGGGGGTAAATTGAAATGCGTGATTGAAGTTCACCGCCTATAAGGTCCGTCGAAAAGATGTGCAAAGAACTCCGCGTTAAAGCCTCCAGAAATATCTTGTGTAAGCATAAAGGCAAGCATGACAATAAGAGCCAATCAGGTTATAGAAAATATCACACGGCGTCGATATTTGGCAATTTGTCTGCCTAATTCTTACTGTAATACATACGGTCACTGTCATGCGAGGTATCTATGAAAGTATTTATGTTGATACGACGTTATCGTAACGGCACATAAGCAGAGAAGTCGTGAACAGTGATGAAAAACAGACTAAAAGCGAAACTCGGAAACATTAATATGACGCCTATATTCCGGAATTTGATTAAACAACTTTTACTCAGTTGCTTATCATGCCTGCCACGAGGACTTTTACTTTAATACGGCATTATCAGTATGGCTTGTTAATAGAGAAGTCGTGAACAATGATGAAAAACAGGCTCAAAGCGAAACTCAGAAACATTAATATGACGCCTATATTCCGGAATTTTATTAAACAATTTTTACTCAATTGTTTATCATGCCTGCCACAAAGACCTTTACGTTAATACGGCATTATCATTACGGGTCGTAAGTACAAAAGTCGTGAACAACGATGAAAAACAGACTAAAAGCGAAACTCAGAAACATTAATATGACGCCAATATTCCGGAATTTGATTAAACAATTTTTACTCAGTTGCTTATCATGCCTGCCACGAAGACTTTTACTTTAATACGGCATTATCATTACGGCTCGTAAGTGAAGAAATTGTGAACAGTGATGCAAAACAAACTCGAGGCGAAAGACAGAAACTTTATCACTGCGTCTGTAATCAACAATTTGACTGAGCAATTCTTATTTTCGTGCTTATCACGCTGTCCAGGAAGGCCTTTGCAATGATACGACGTTACTTTTCCGGCTCGTAGGTAGAGAAGTCTTGGACGGCGATGAAAAAGAGGCTCGAGGCGAAAGTGGAGACCCGTCGATTTGCTCTCGCTCCAATCTCTGACTCCAAAACGAAAATCGCAGAGTGGCTTTTATCGGAGTATTCCGCATTATTCAGGGAACTCCTCGATTTTTATCTACCCCGAGAACGTGACGCGGCATTCGCGGGGTTGTCGTCGCTTTCCTTCGGCATTTGACCAACGAGGAAATAATCGTTCAGCGTCTCCTCCCATCTTCTTGTCCTCCACTGTCATGGCGGCGGCGGCGGCGCAAATAGAAGCGCCACGGCCAGGGGAGAGCAGAAACTCCGAAGAAACTTTTACGAAGACGTTTTTCCTCCTTTCCTCGGCGGTGACAAAAGAAAACGTATGGGTGGGATTTTTAGCCGAACGGGCTCGAAAGAACTCGGCGATTTTGCGAAAGATCCCGCTTTCTGTTCCACGGCTGGCGTCGATATTTATTTCTATTTTTTTTTGTTCTCATGGAGCTTTCAAAAAGCGAGGTAGTGGATTTAAGCAGACGCTGTGGCACGCAAGAAGCGGCAATAATTCCACAAGTGGTCGATCAAGACTCTCAATTGGAGATAATTAATATAATGCCGGAGTGATTAGCATGCCCCGCGGTAAGTCTTTCCGCGGTCGTAAAGTAATTTGATTTTCAATAGCGGTATCTTTGCATTCAGTATAGAAAGAAGCAAGAACCTTGTTCCTGGAGACTTTCTATGACGGAAAGTACCAAGACCAACGCCCACGACTTTAATTACCGGGAATATTTGCTCCGAGGAATTGCCGTCATCCTTAACAAAAATGCTAAAAAGCGACTTTACGAGCTATACTCATTTAATGAGCACTTAGCTAATGAACGCGATTATCCGCGAGTAGACGAATGGAGGTACTCCACGTTAAACCGGAAGCTTCCGCAAATCGAGATAAACGTATCGGAAGCGAGATAACTGCCTCGAAAAATCCACTCCCTGATGAACCAACGAGCGAAAAGGAAGACGAGAAAATTTGCAAAAGCTCAAAACGATTTATTACATCTTAGCCGAGTGATTAGAGAAAGCTAAAACGGCGTGAAACGCCTCGAGCAATTATAATCGTCACCCGCGTAACTCGAATATGTCAAACGATGGAAGAAGGATAAAGGAGTGTCAATGTCGCGGTCAGCACAGCTAAATCATCGCAAGTCATGAGGAACCGTTGATACCCGGTCGATCGATCGCTTATCAGACTTTCTATGCGAGAATTCTCGGGGTTTTTGTACAAATCGACCGAGAGAGAGATCGTCTCTTTCGCTTCATGCAAACCGCCGAAGCGTCGCACTTCCGGGAGGCCGTTCTTCCGGGCAGCGCTCCAAGAGACGGAAACAAGTGTAGGAAATGGAGTAGATCTTTCTCTCGTGTGTTTATCGGGCCAGAGAAACGTGCAATCCCTGGACGTCGCGCAATGCACCTCGTAAAACGCGCAATAAACGGACGCAATGACGAACGTAATGACGAACGACTGGAAGTAGCGACCGGAGAGGAATCGATCTCGATTTCGGGGGACTTTATTTCTGGAAGGAGCCTTCCCACTCGCGAATCCTTTCTCGAGATTAGATCAGTTCCCGAGGAAATTTCCTGCGAAACGATATTCCCGCGGGAAAGGAAACCAATCGCGGTCTCTCGAGGCGTTCACTTCCGGCCGGCGTAAGAGTTACGCGTCCGGTCGTGGCCTAAGGCGCCTTTGCAAAACTATCCTCAAGTGAGCGGGAACTCGAGTGTTCTCCACCTCCTCGTCCACCACTTTTACCCTCTCCGTATCCCATTGTAAATCCATCCTCCGCGAATCGGTCAACGCGAAGCGTTTCCGGCCTCTTGGCGCGAGATGAAAAGCCCACTTCCGGGTCCAGAGCCCCTCCGCCATTTCCCTTTTCTCCAAACTTCGGTCCCGGAGAAGTCGACGCGTCTTTCTGCAATTTATTTGGGTCGCTTAGACGTGGCCTTACCCGAAGGAAAAAAAAAAATCAAGTGGCTCTCGGTTCTCCACGTCCTGCTCTCGGGCCATCTCTTGTACGTCTCCAAGTTCCTGGGACTGCGGATCAAAGCGGAAGCTGCGCTTTTGAGAACTTTCCCCCGGCAGGTTCGGAAAGTTCCCTGGAAGCCGACGTGATAGGAATTTCCGAGGAGTTCGGCATTCTTAGCCTTCGCGATTCCCATCTCGTATCTGGACGCGCGTTCGATCCTAATCCGATTCTGCCTGGGAATTTCAGGGCCGATTTGGCTGGAGATCGTTTGAGCCATGTAGGAAGTCCTCCGGAGGTCTTGCTTCCGGTACATCGTACCGATTAGCGTATCGGATCACGCGAAAATCGAAAGAGCGGTCTCGCGGTTGGGTCCCGATCCTTTCATATCATGGCCGACGGAGGACGCGGCTAGACTCCTGAAATTGATGTCCTCCCGCGGATGATGCGCGTCATAATGGCGCGGCTAAAGGAGAGTATAGTTCAGGATTACAGTGAAAGGTGGTGGAATCCATGTAACTATATAAGCTGCCGGGCTGAATACCCCCAAGACATTCGTAACTCGAATCCTTGCCACGAAACCACGACTTACACCAGTCGACATGAAGACCATCGTAAGGATTATCTCGGAGATGACCCTCGACGAGAACATCGTTCCACTCTCCGCCATCTGACCCCCGTCTTGTGATAGTTGTTTAATTTCTTTTTTTTTTTTAATAACAATCCCACGCCGTCGTTACTTTGACTATCCACTCGCCGTGGAAACTGGAAGGCTTTTCGACAACCTCCACCCTGACCTTTCTCGATGCCCCTGCATAATTTAATAATTTTTTTAACATATCCACCCGTTTCCAATAAATCGTCCCGAGGTTAAATGTTGGGTGTTAAAGGTTAAATTTAAATTCTAGATTTTCATGTTGAGTTGCACGGTGCTCGCATCCACGGTGTCGGCCAGCGGGTACGGAGCAACGGGCCATGGAGATGAGGACCATGGGAGTTCCACATACGAGGAAAAGACCAAGACCGTACACATACCAATTTACAAGAAGTATGGTGAGGACTGCCTTTTGAAATTACCGCTTTCACGAAATGTTCACAAGCCCTCCGGTGGACATTTTCATTTTTTTTTTTCCCTACAATCCCTCAATTATCGCCCAACACCTGAGGGCATGGCTTCTAAAGGCTACGTTTTACCTGTAATCACAGCGATTCCGATACCGCATCCCGTGCCAGTGGAGGTGCCTCAAGAGATCAAGATCCCAATTCCTCAGCCATACCACGTGCAGGTGAAAATTCCGCATCCGTATCCAGTTGAAGTTGTCAAGCACGTCGAAGTGCCAGTCGAGAAGCCCGAGCCTTACGTCGTCGAGAAACACGTAAGTCCAGCCTCCAGATCTCTATTTCCAGGCCTGGAAAAAATTAGAAATCCGTGATGAAGGATTTTGAATACCTAGAAAGAGTCCCGAGAGAGAATGACGAGGTACGAAAATCCTGGAATTTTCTGCGCAGGTCCCCTTCATCGTGGAGAAGCCTTACCCCGTCTACGTGGAGAAGAAGTTTCCGGTTCCCGTGGCAAAGCCGTACCCCGTACACGTCCCCGTCTACAAACATGTCCTCATCACATCAGGTGGCAAAGGCAAAGGTTGGCATTAAGCCTGTCAACGTGGATTCGACAAATATTGCCGCTGGACCGAACGGCCGAGCTCCATTCGGGTACCAAAATGGCGGACCCACGCCACGCCGCTGAAGAAGAGGAAGACTTCTCTGTACATAGACCAAATACTTCTCGTTACCTCTTCCACTATTTTTGTTACGTCGTTTACCCCCCCGTTAATTGTTACTCCCTCTGTTCCCCGCTCCCGCGAATTGTTTTTTAATAAAAGCCTCCAAGAAAGCCGAGTCTTGCGACAAAACTCCCGAGGGAAAGGCCTCTTGTTCCCCAATTGGCTGATGGTGGACGGCGTTTTCTCATTGGTTCTGAAGGAAATGGCGGTGCTAAATAGAGGTGTCCGATTGGGTCTTATCAGCCTAGGAAAGCATATGTTGATACCGTTTCGTTTCCTTAATGGCTAGCCTCGGTTACGATCGGCTCCATGCCTAGACTCGGCGAGTCGGGAATTCAACTCGATCTCGATTCGCCATAATGAGTAGAAACATTCGCCTTCCTACGTGGACGTGTGAAACCACTTTTACTCGAGATGCACTTTCACTGTTCCGCTCGTAGATGCGAATGGGAGGGTCGATATTAATCTATCAGCCTCTTCGCTCCCGATCGATCCCGGGCTACCGGAAACGTGGGGCGTTTAATTCATATTCCCAATTACAAGTAATTACAACTAATCATTAAAAATGGAACGAAGCGATATTTGATTCGATGAAATTCACAGGGGAACGATTCTTGAAGAAATCCAGGATTTTTCTAGAGAAATTTGGTGTCCGTGCAACGATTGTCACTTGCGTGGCCTAATACGGTGCTTGATGAACTGGAATGCACTCGGGTAAAGTAATTGACACTAATTATCGAAGCTATTTACCGGGTACTATTATTCAATCGAGTCTCATTGCAAAAGAAAGCTGCCGGGAAACTGAGGATGGTCTAATCGCTGCTGGTAATGTCTGTAGGAAAAAATCGAGAAGAATCAGCGAACCTCGGAGGAAAGTTCCTCTCGTTTCATTCCCCAGTGAAGTTAATAATTAATGAGCACATAATTTTTGTCGGAATTCTGCGTTTCCGGTCTCGAAATTCTAGAAGTCCCCGTCGGATTCGATACGCTTGTAGCTGATCTTATCGAGCCAACGAGGACACGCTCTCCACTAATTGTTCAAACCAAGTCATTAATTTAAAAAATGGCCGATTCTTCGGTCAGATTGTCATGAATTATGCTAAATTAAGACTCGCGACAAATTCCTACTTGCGGGTTCTTAGCCAAAGAAACAGACCGCGACATAACTGTTATTCCCCGCAATGTTCTTTCGTCACAGGAACTCTTTTGTCCTGTTAATTTCCATATCTTCCCCAGCCAGTTTCCTGGAAATTCTAACCGGATCAAAGGATCGAGAAACTTGATTCCCTGTATCCCGATTTTTTAGAAAATCCCTGGGAAATCGAAACCGCGAGAGTAGGTAGAAATCCGCGTGAGACGCGAGGAATTTCATAAATCCCCTGAAATCCTTCCGTCACTTCTTAACCCTTCCATCGACCTTGTATAATTTATGACATTCACTGGCAGCTCGTTGGCATGAAATTGATTAAACTTTCACGGGGTTTTAATGATGATATCGCAAAGGTCATCCTCGAGGAGACCGCGCCGACGCCTTTCTATCTCAGATTTATGGGCGCACTCCTCGAGTCTTGGGATCGATAAAATATCGTGCAGAAGGAAAATCCACCGAGTAAAAGGAGGATCCCATATTCTGGGGTGAAAAGTGATTTTCCGAGGGGGGAAAATTCGATCGAGTTCCACGGAATATCGTAAATGAAAATGGCGGCCGTGCTCGAGGCAATGACAGTGAACGTGGCGACGCAGATCCGCTCTTAAACCGTAGATTACACCGGAGCACGGACGCACCGTCGTTCTGCACGTGTAGATACGTTACACAGAGAATGGCAAGAGTTCTTCGTGTAATGAAGAGAAGGGAGAAAGTGCCAGTGGTATATAAACACTTGGCCGTGACTTTGAAAGCGTCAAAGAGGCTGCGCTTCGAATCGAATCGGCGGACTCAGTTCCACCGAAGAACATTTCTGCAACCTAAGGACAGTCCCCAAAGTCATGAGGATTCTTGTAAGTACTTTCATCACATTCGGCAAGAGAAACCGATTACTGTGACAGGTCCTGAAAGTGTCAAGAGTGTTATGACAGCTTCCTTGACTCTGGCCTCTCGCAATCGGTCAGATGATCGCCATAATTCTACAAATGAAAATCGGATTAATCGTTTTTAAGGGAGTTGGCAGGTTGCGAGATGCCTTTCAATTAAACTGTGACGAGAAGAGAGTGAAAATGTGTACAGGAAATGTTTACTTACAGGGCTGTTTTTATTGGAGGTTTTACGGAAAATTTAAGATGTTTTAAAATCATTCAACATTTTTCAAAATGGCGGACTTGTGGAGGCGGGATGTTTATGATTTTCTTGTTTTTCTATGGTGGATCTGATTCCAGAAGATCGGTAAGTTTGTAACGAAAAGTTGAGGCGGTTTTAGAAACTCGGAAAGATTCTTGAAGAACGGTTTTCTAGATGAAAACCGATGATACTTTTTAAAGAAACATTTTAATCAAAGATTCGATTAATCTTTTGTTTTTGACTAATAAGTCACCATGACTCATGTACGCCGTTAAAAAGAAAAAAGAAATTTACAGCCTCCACAAGTCAACCATTTTGAAATATATGAAAACTTATTTAACCTTAAATTCTTCATAAAATCTCAAATAAAACAGTTTGGGAGAAAACATGATGAGTGATAATGATGAGTATACCTGTCAGGTAAAATAATAAAATACCTTTCGACATTAGAATATGCAATACATGTAATAGATGTGTTCGACGAGTACATTCTTTATAGCCTGATTTTAATTTTAAGCAGCTACATTTTGAAATAAAAATTCCTCCATCAAAGGATTCAGTGAAGCGTCTAGAACTAGTTCTTAATAAATTAATAAATTAATGAATTATTAAACCGTCGGCGAATTTTTATCTTCAGATCCTGACGACAATGCTGGCCAGTGTTTGGGCCAGCTACGAGGAGGAACATGGCCACGGGACAACCTATCACGAGACTGCCAAGCATGTAGAAATCCCGATCTACAAAAAGTACGCGATTCCGATTCCACATCCGGTACCGGTGGCAGTACCTCAACACATCAAGGTGCCAATCCCTCAGCCGTATCAGGTTCAGGTGCCGGTGCCACATCCCGTTCCGGTGGAGGTGATCAAACACGTGGAGATACCTGTAGAAAAGCCCGAGCCCTACTACGTCGAGAAGAAGGTACGACCACTTTCCTGCACCTAGAACTAATGAAAAAAATTCAAAGGAATCCTTGATTGCGGCGCAATGATCTTTTTCATACTCATTTTTGGTCATTTTAGGTACCCTATGTCGTGGAAAAGCCGTATCCAGTGACGGTGGAAAAGCATTTCCCCGTGCCAATTCCGAAACCGTATCCGGTCCACGTCCCCGTTTATAAACACGTGTTCCATCATCAAAGCAAAGGCCATCATGGTTGGAAGCACTGATTCCATTGCCCCGACGATCAACGGTGTACCTCGTTGCCAAAAACCTCATTGCGCCAGGCGTCCACACAGTAGTATTAATATTTACGCGAATTGTACATAGTCCCTCGTCGCTCTGTTATCTCGTGTTTTACCACTAGCCGTATTTGTTACACCGTATTGTTATGTTTGGTTAATAAACAAGTTTATACGTACGCATTTGAAGACTCGAATATCCAACAGTGACCCAAATCCTGGATTTATCCAACCATCGGGGTTGATTAAAAGGAAATTTTTTGCTCTTTCTGCGAAAAAATTGGTTTTCGAAATTCAGAGCTCGAAGGGATCTCAGATCTTTCGAAGAGAGGGAAGAATTTGTTACCCTGTGTTGTTATGTTCGATTAATAATTAAATTTATACGTACGCTGTGAAAGATTCGAATTTCCTGTAGTGCTTCAAATCCTAGCTGTATCGATGGTTGGATAAATCGAAAGGAAATCTTTTGCTCTTTCTGTAAAAAAAAAAATTGGATTTTGAAATTCAGGGCTCGAAGGGATCTCAGATCTCTTGGAGAGAGGGAAGAATTTGTTACCCTGTGCTGTTATGTTCGATTAATAATTAAATTTATACGTACACTGTGGCAGACTCGAATTTCCAGTAGTGCTAAAAAATCCTCGCGGTATCGAAGGTTGGATAAATCGAGAGAAAATCTTTCGCTCTTCCTGTGAAAAAAATTTGATTTTGAAATTCACAGCTCGAAGGGATCTCGAATCTCTCGGAGAGAGGGAAGGATTTCGTTTTTCTGCCAGCTTGACAAGGTTGGTCGAAGAGGACATGTCGACGTTTCTAAAGGGTTTTGCAACCGTCCGATACGTTCCCGCGATCGAACGATCGATCGATCATGGACATGGAAGACTTTCCTGGCCGAGATTGCAACTCGATCTAGGAGGTGGCTTCTTGACGACAATCTCGCCTTCGCAACGCAATCGCGCGCACTTACGACCCAGAATTTCATCAGGAAATACCATTGCGCCACTTTGGCGAGCCGCTTTTTGCGCCGCTTAAGGGAAATTCATTTGGATCCATTTTGTGGCCGAAGGCGAACGCGTTCCTTCTAAGTGGAGCAAAAGTTTATAAAAGCCCGGGCCGCACCCGCTTCGCTCTTAGTCTGGTCGTCGGTCCATGAGATCCGCGATTCTTGATGGTCCCAAAAAGGTCCTGGAAGCAGCCTGAGACATGTTCGCGCGACTGGTAAGTAGAGCTCTAAACAACTACGAAACGGCATTAATAACATTAATAAACATATTCCTCGTCCATTAACTAGTTAATTTGCTCACCAGATCCTACATCTGCTATGGCTGGCGATTGTGCGGTGCGAGATGAGCATGGAGATGCCCATGCCCATGGAGATGTCAGCGGTGGAGATGAAGATGGGGATGTCGATGGACTCGACGACCCCGAAGTCGAAGAGGGACTCCATCCACGGACACTCGCCATGTCCGCCATTTTACCCTAATTTCGGCACCTACCTCCCGCCTGTGAGCTTCTCCAAGCCGTATGGACCTCCGACCTACCCCAAGAAGCAGATCATCGAGCTGCCCGTCCACTCGCCCGCCAAGATCCAGTTCATCCACAGACCCCCAGCAGTAGCGGCACCAGCGGTCATCCAAAAACAGACGGTTTCGTACATAAAGCCGGAAGTATCTCACGCTTATCAAACCGTGGTGAAACCGATGGCGCATCCGGTGCAGCCACTCTATGCAACGGTCAAGCAGCCAGTTTGGCAGGAACCTTGGCAGGCTCCTCAACCCTGGCAGGCACCAGAACCTTGGCAGGCTCCACAACCCTGGCAGGCCCCACAACCCTGGCAGGCCCCACAACCCTGGCAGGCCCCACAACCCTGGCAGGCTCCACAACCTTGGCCAGCACCGGAACCAAAAGTGGTCCACGCAAAGCCGATCACATCTTATGGATCCATTTACTCCAAACCTCTCATCCAGCCGGTATACGCGAAAGCTATTGTCAAACCAATTGCCTACCCCACGGTGCATGTCAAGAAAGTCGAGGTATCACCACCCCCCGTGCTCTACCACAAGCCTCAGGTATCCTGCGACCCCCCTGCACCTGTCCACCCAGTTCATCCCGTCTATCCCGTTCACCAATCGATCTCTTACGCACCTGCTTATCACCCCGTGCCAGAAAGTAAGATAGTGCACATCCAGGAGCCGATTTCCTACGTCAAGGCTGCGCCGATTTCCCATTCTGTTTATCCGATCCACACCTCCATCAGCACCACCATTGCACCTGCAAGCAAATGGTCAGGTGTCGTCAAGTGCACGGATTAATTGTCGGGAATTCTCCTCGCGGAAGGAAATGTATGGAAGGGAGGGAGGCTCTTCTTTGTGAATAAACCGAACGCCGAAGAGAATCGCGTTTAGGAGGGGTACTGATCACTCTCACGTTGCCGAGATAATTGGCCCGTAAGTTGGCAATAAAATTTCGAAATCTGCTCCATTTTCCCTTTCCCGGTTTAATTAATGCCTCCGTAACCTGTACTTCATCATAGATTCCACATTGTCAGTCGACCAGGCTCTCGTTAAGGTTTCGGTCACTCTTAGCTCGGTACTCGCAGGTGTATTGTCTATGACGTCACGGACAATGTGCAATTGCAACAGAGGGTCTCATCTAGGCGAGGCTGTCTTTTCTCAAGGTGTTAATTCGTCCGATCGCTATCGAACGCACCTGGAAATTCATCATCGAAGAGTCTTTATAGCGGGCAATAAATGTTTGTATATGTGTAATCGAAGAAAAGTTTTCAATTTATAAAGGAATTTACTTTGGATGTGTGTTTTTATTCCCGGTGACCATTTCCCGGCCGAGTTAACGAGGTTCTCGATGGCGCGAAACTTTTTCCCCTTGTGAAATTGCATAATTGATGCTGTGGTAATGTTCCTTCCCACACCCACCATTATGATAGCGCTGCGTTTACGTGCGTGCGATTGCGGGCTCCTGCGTGTACATTGAGTGGATTCTCAAGAAATTTTGAAAGAGGCCCGCAGACATGACTATAAAAGCAAACACCGTGGGAACATCTTCCCTAGTGGAAGGCGACGAGTTCGATGAGAATCCATCGGCCTCACCATGAAAATTTTCGTGAGTGTTTCCTGAGGTCTTTCGCTCCAAATCGGGATTATACGTATTTTGATAAGGCACTTTGCGATACGGAATAAAATATATCGATTACGCGTAATGTGATTGGTGGCTGTTATCTCCGAGATACGTGTAGGATTGATCTTTCGAACGATGGTTTCAGTCGTGTCTTATAGCGGTGACTTATTGCCAAGCTGGAACGATACCAAAGGATGAAGATTATCACCATGAGCTCCCAAATTTGAGTACCGTTTATCACGGGCATGGTGCCACCAGTTATCAGTACGGCCACATAAAAGACCATCAAAGTACCACTACAGATCATCACGCGAAACATAATCAGTACGAGTTAGCCGATTATTTGGAACTCGATGGTAGGTTAAGTTAAATATGAAATTACCATTACTTCTTAGAAATTCATAGAAACGTTGCGTAAAATGGTGTATGAAAATGTAGATTGATTTCCTTACTTCCAGACCATCCTGTGATCTCATATCAGCACGCGGTGTCGATAAAGAAGCCACACGTCTTGCCCCGGATTATTCTTGTCTCTACCATAGGTAAGGCCTACGAGAGGAGAAGATTAATAGCGAACACATGTAGGCAAGAATGTTCAGTACGTTTGTTATTTCAGCTCCCTACAAGGACGAGAAAGTGGAGCATGAAAAACTGGACGCTGACGTAGCCACGGTCTACTACGACCAGTACGATCATGATTTTGTCGAGGATTACGAGTATCATTAGCACAATCGACTCGCAATGAAACATTTCTGTCGATTAAAAGAGAGTTACCGAGAGCCAAAGGAAAATGTCCGGTTCCAAAATTAAATCCGGAGCTGTCCCGATCTCGACCTAAAAGTCTCCATTTACTACTCTCGGGGACTCTTGGCGACTTCTGGTAAATTTCTTTATTTAATTTTTTATCCAATATACAGGTTAAAATAATAATTTATATGTATAACATTATCCAGCGAAGACAACAATGTTGAATCGTAACTCTAGACCGGCGTTACCTTCATTTAAGTTACGTACACTGCTCCTGGCAAATGACTGACCTAGAACCCATTTACGTGGCGAAACTGACGGAGTTGTCTAGACTTTCTGTCCCCCCCCAGTTCGATAGGAAAAATATATAAATCATGTAAAAACGACAACAATCAGGAACGTAACCCACAGCCGCCATCTTGCGAGGCTCTTTCCTCGACGACTCCTCGGCAAGGACAAACGATTACGTCGAAGAACTTGGTCAACTGATGTGATTTAATGTCCTCGATGGGCCAACGAAAACGATCTTCTTGAGGTCGAGGTGCGTCTACACCGAAACCGGAAGGAGCTCTCTCCAGCATCTCCGATTTGGTCCAGCGACCGACCGGAAGAGACGCCATCGCGCGTCCCCAGGAAAAGTACATCCTCGTTACGTTACGATTAGGAGATTACACGTCTAATAGAACTCTTAGTATGCCGTAACAATCGAAAAATATCGACGAGACAAAAGGGAACTTGTTCCACGCGATTCCTCCTCCGAGTTACCTAAGAATTTGACTAGATCACGTTATTGACTACTTAATGCTACGAGGCTCTTCGGATAGCACGCACGCTTACTCTTCCTCTTTCAATCTCCCTTTCTCACCGTTTCATCCTCTTCGGGGATTGACTCATTCAACGACTTCGCGGTTACTATTACGAGGCTGTTATAAAAAATATCGAGGATGCGGTATGAAGAGGTACGACAAGTTACGAGAGGAATTTGACAAGAGCGAAGGGGAGATGCGATGTGCAGGACCGGTGAAGCTCAACTTTACGAGATATGGAATAACTCTCAACAATGGATCGAGAATTTCCAGGCAATTCCATACCTGTTCGAATATTTCTCTATCAAGGCTACAAGAATTGCACGGCCGCGTAACCACACGATCATCGTCAACAATTTGTACCGCTGTAATTTATCCTGTGGATTTTTACCGCGTTCTCTTAACGAAATGGGTGTATGAAAAATGTAGGAAAAATCAGGAAAGTGATCCTTCCATATCTCTTAGAGTGCTTCGTCCGCCTGCAACGATATGAGACGCTATTTTGGGCACATACGACGTCTAGACCACGACGACCCTCCGGTGAGTCGACACTAACTCGAAGAGCAGTACGCTAAAGAGAGGCTTGATCCCGATTCCAATAATCGCTAGAATTAATCCTTGCGAGATAACGACTCTAAGATCGGTGAAGCGACGTCCGCGTTATCAGACGTAGAACTCGGTCTTGGGACCCAGCTCGTACTCGATCTCCTCGTTCTTATACATTTCCAAAATCTGAAAAAGTCGAAGCAGTCACAAGTTAGAGTTAACCGGATGCAAAAGAGGGATTCAGAAGACGATAGCGGACGTCATGCACACGCTACAACGGGTCGGGGCTCTCCAGGTAGCGTCAGGACTACACAACTCGGTCATGCAGCGGACAACGTTCGGCAGCATCGCTGCGAAACTACTTTGGCGTGGGCGAAATGGTATCGTTCTCTCTGCGATGGAGTCTGGGACGTGCAAGGAGAGTCAGAAACGAGCAGGAAGGCAGGTCTTCTACTTTGGCGAGATGGACGTGGCCGCTCTCTTCCAGGTCGCGAGACCAGCGTTCACGAACTAACCCCGTTCATGTCCTTCTGCAGCTCTTCCAGCTGCTTCTCGTGCGTGATCTTCAGGTTCTCCTTCTCCCGGCCTTGGACCATCTGGGCGACCCTCCTCTCCTCCACGAATTTCTTCGTGTTGTTCTGCTGCTTCTCCCTGAGAACGCCCTCCTTGATGCCGCGCGTCTTCAGGGTCTTGTCGTTCATCACCTCCCTCGTGCTCTCCACGGAATGTCTCGCTTGCCTCGCCTTCATCTCCTTTATCTCTCGCTCGTGTCTCGAGGTCAGTTGCTTGACTTGCATCAACTGGGCCGTTAGGCACAATTTCTTCAACAACGTCCGCCGTTCCTCGAGGTGGGCCCGGATGAGGTCTCGCTCTTCCCGCCTTTGTCTGTCGGCTAGGCGGGACCATTGGGCGGTTTGCTCTGAAACGGCCTTTCGTACCGTGGGGTCCCTGGACAACTCAGCTTTCCTGAAAGGCATTGACGGGGTAAATCCTAATACTCGAGAGTTAGAAGAGGTTACTTCAGAAGGGATCTCACTTTTTCCCCTTGATGATCTTCTCTATGGCCGTGCATTGTTGCTTCTGGACGGCCAGTTTCTCTTTCTGGTGTCTCTTCCTCAAGGACTCCAGCTCCTTTTGCTGCCGTCTGGTGGTTTTCTGGTACCCCTTCTCCTGGCGCAGAGTCTCCACGGTGATGGGCTCAAATTCCATTTTTTCTGGAAGTTTAGCCATTAGAGATTCCATTTTCTTGAGTAGGGGAGACCGAGGTCAATTGTAACAAACGTTATAAATTATTTATTCAAACTTGAAAAAGCGAGGTGAAGCAGTGGAAGCTTTCCGTAGATACTATGAATAACTAGTAACATTTTTATGAGCTAAATATTATATCAAAAATATTAAATCCGAAGTGGATAAAACTGATTTAATCATTCCAGAGTATTGCGCCTACATCTGTTCATTGTATGTTTAATGCATTTGAAATTAGAATGGCTCTAAGTTGTCGTAATTATAGAAATCATTTGATAAGTTGTTGTGTTCATCCGTAGTTACCAAAACATAGTTATTAACTATAGTTATTTGAGTATTCTTGTACTAATCAGTAGCGTTGCAGCCGTACCCTGCAACGGTTGCAAACGCAACAAATACATTTAGTAAAGAAAATAAGAATTGCTGATTTTTATAGGATCTTGAAGCATCCAAATGTAGGCTGTCTAGGAGAAGGTTCACTTAACACGTGGACCAAGTTCCGATCATAAAGAGCTGTTCCAATTAATCGTAGAATTGAAAATGTAAAAATTCTTACAATTGATTTCGGTCTCTCTTGATCTTGAATCATTTCCAGACTTACCTTTAGGCTTGGCGATTTCGTGGTGGGACTGACCAGACTCCGAGGCATTTTTATCGCTCTCTTCGATGCCTAGGCCCTTCATCTTCGACTGGGACAGTGCTTCCGTCTTCCGAACCGCTCTAGGTGCCGTCAGGGCGTCCATGAACTCTGCAGAAGGCAACAAAGTGGCGGTCGAAGGTCCAAGAGGGGATAAAAAAATCGGGGCTTACCTTGGAACCCATCCGGCACGTAGATCTTGATGTCAATGTTGCAGAACAACATCGGCAGCGACATTGGGAAATTGGCCTCGGTTCTCAAAGCGATGTGACGGTATCCAGCTTGAAGACCATCTAGAGGAACGATTCGCTGTCCCAGGAGTTTCCCGCTGGACTCGTCATAAACTGCAAATCTTAAAGCTGCTAAGTCTGGCAGTACAACCTTCCTGAAGAGGAAAGGCTCTTCGTTGTAGACCGGATTGAGGCCATTTGCGGGTACCACGCGAGTACGGAATTCTTTTCGGATCGTGTCTGTTGGCAGACCGTACATCTCGACTTCGACGTACGTTCCTACTTTCTTGTCCGAGAGAAACTGACCCGCGATCACCTGTCGTCAAATGATACAATCGATTATTCTACATCTGAAGAGATAACACTTCCCTATATATATTTTTTTCCAAGCGAAACTTCTTGAGGCACGTCTCAGTACCTACATTATAAATGGGATCCCTTTCATAAAGTGAAATTATTTACATTCTTCATTGCGTGTCAGTATTCCCACAATTTGCATACATTTTTATTTACGGTTCATTACTAGCTGTATATCTGCGCGTTAGTGTTGAGACAACATGAGTAAACGTTTCCGTAAGCGTTGAGGTGTAATTCTCTCAGGTAATTATTCCCATTTTGCGGTAAATCAAAATAATATAAATAGGAATTGAAAATAATTACCCCCGTCAACCAGTACCGAACGCGTAAGGGCACTTCGTAAAGAAATAATAGAAAGTAATTAAGAACAATTAATAATATCCGATCATTCTCTTCGACTTAGAAGTTTCGCTCGTTGGCGTGTTATTCTCTCAGGTAATTATTGCCGTATTACAGTTAATTAAAATACTATAAATAAGAATTAAAAGTAATTACATCCGTCAACCAGTACCGAACACGTAAGGGCACTTCGTAAAGAAATAATAAAAAGTAATTAAGAACAATTAATAATATCCGATAATTCTCTTCGACTTACAACTAGAAGTTTCGCTTCGTAAGGGCATGTTAGCCATGCGCTAACTTTTTTTTTTACATAACATAAATCTAATCACCTGAACGCTACATTGCGTAGCGATGACTCCGTCGACAGGACTCTCCGCAAAAGGATCGAAATTTCTGTCGGCCCTCCTCATGAAGTCCGGCTTCAGAAGGTACCCTGAAGAGCCGTTGTACTCGAATTTCCCTTGATTCAGTTGCATGGGTAGGTCAGCAGTTTGAAAGTTTAACGAAACCATTTGGCACCCGGCATTCCAAAAGACCTGAGCCACGTGTGACGGAGAACATCATTTTTTAAGAACTATTCCCCGAGAGTGATAAGGGATATCATCGAGTCACCTGCGGCATATAATTCGAAGAGTCCGCTCGCGTGCCCTTCGGGTAAATCCTACTCATCTGCCTCTTATTGTAATTTACGAATTCTATGGCGGAGGTCTTCAAGTAGTTCAGTCCTGCGGTCTCGGCGAAGGAAGACATGTTGTAGTGGATATTTTTCTCTGGGGAATAGAATCAGAGATTAGGTTAATTATCCCCTAGGTGGGTGTAAGGAAATTTATCGGAAAAAGTGAGATAATTATCAACTCACGCTCGGCTACGTCGAATCCTTGGAATTTTATCGGCTGGGCGTAATTCACCATTGACGATAACCAAGGGTGGACGTTGGTGGTGCTTCCTGTGTAAGGTGGGACCACTGCGAGCTCCAAACTCTCTCCAAGGTTCACAGGACCACCTCCTTGTTGGGCAGGAGGTTGCTGACCAACCACGACAGCAACTACTGCCTCTCCTGTTACGACCACTTCCTGCAAACGATACACTTCGGAATCAGTTCCCAATACTTTAAATTACGCTGTCCAGATTGTTATTGCGGATTTTGCTGTCTAAGATGATATGAAAGGCGCTGAGAAATTTAATCGAGGTCCATCAAGTTAAATTCATCCATATCCTTTTTGGTGGGAACGTCATTTTGAATACTCAGTCACTTTCACATCCCCTTAAGAGTTGAAGCTTGGTTTTCAAATGAAGTCGTTTCCCCTCTACACCCATGTTATATGCCGTTTTAAAGCGTAGATTTCACTCCATGTTTTGATAATAATTCCGGTCTAAATATTAATTTCTGTTTTATTTATGCTATTTAATTAAAGATGGGAAGAAATTCAGACGATTTTTTGTACCAGTTCGAAATGAACAAAAGGTAACTTTTGTGGCTCATAATATCAACGATGAATGCATCGTTTGTTAGCAATTCCTGGGCCAAATGTGGTCCACGAACTGCTAACGAACGCATAATGTAATTTCATGGTCAAATGGTGATTTCAAAAATCGATGAGAATCTTGAAGATCAAAAGTGTTCGAAACGATCTGCGTCCATAGACGCAATGAAGAGAAAAAAATACTTGGAGAACAATTATTGTTATCGAAATGTAGAGCTAATTCTTCACTTTAAAATTGTGTACATGGACAGAAAGGAGAAACATTTTTGTTTGGAAACTAGGCGACAAATCTGATAGAGCGAAAACGGCAATGAGCTCCTGGACAACCTAATATCTCTGAAACGCAGGAACGTGCAGGGGACCAGAAGGGGTAAATTAAGGTTACCTTTACCGGTTGCTCAACGACAGCTGCGACACCTGGTGGAGCACTGGCGTCTTCCTTAACTTCGTCTTCGATGACGAACTGGCCCTGTTTGAAGAGTTCCAGCTCCTGCTTCTCCACTTCCGGCTTCAGCCTCTTGTTCTTGATGAGGATCTTGCGTTTCAGCAAACTAGGTGGTGGCAAAGGTACCCCGGGCTCCAGCTACACGACCGTTTATCAATCCGTTAAGCGATCCAATCGATACACCCGACATTAAGGAGGTGCTCCACGATGGGTTTGACAAATTGAGTCTGACAGTTTGACTTAATTCCAAAATAAGAACAGCTCTTTAGTCACCAGCTCATATCGAAAGAAAGGCAGACAAATTATTTGCATGCTCCTTTAAACTCATATAACAAAGACCGATCGATAAATAATGCGGTTAGGCTTTTCCTTCGGTCTAAAAAAATTGCAGGGAGTCACAATGCCAGACTTCCATCGTGGGGTAGCCCCTTAAGGAAGACCTTAAGGTTTGACAAATTGAGCCTGACAGTTTGACTTAATTCCAAAATAAGAACAGCTCCTTAATCACCAGTTCATAGCGAAAGAAAGGCAGACAAATTATTTGCATGCTCCTTTAAACTCATATAACAAAGACCGATCGATAAATAATGCGGTTAGGTTTTTCCTTCGGTCTAAAAAAATTGCAGGGAGTCACAATGCCAGACTCTCATCGTGGGGTAGCCCCTTAAGTTACAGGGTACTCCTTCAGGGACTCCTTCAACAGCAGGTCTCCAAGAATCTCGTCGCAGTACTTGGCCAGCTTGTACTGCTGCTTCTTGCTGCAATGATTCTCAAAGCTTAGGATGACCGGGTACTCGGAGGTGACGAAGGCGGTGTCTCTGACGGCATAAATGACGTCCTTGAAGAGAATGTCGGTACACATGGCTTTGCCGTGGGTGATGATGGGCTCCTCGTCCTCGCCCTTTCCGTCCCAGCAGTCCAACTCGACGCACCTGTGGAAACGAGGTCGAGGGCCTCGTCAAACACACGAAACACACGTGCCCTCGAGTGCCGGATTCAAAGAGGCTCGTCATACACCCGACCACCTACCGGCAACCTGCCAGCAGGACCTGGCGGTACATTTCCACGCTGCTTTTCCCTCCGAACTGCCTGCCGCTCAAATAGGTGTTGTGGCTGGAGTTGATGTAATAATGAGACAAGGGCTGGTCCATGTCCATGTACACGTCCAGCCTGTCCAGGAACACGGGGGCGTTCTCGTCCGAGATCAAGTACCTGATGAAGCCGTCCTTCGACATGGTCTCTGAAACGTCAGGATTTGACTTTGAACCTTCATTTGGGAAACGGATCACGGCTTCCGCATCCGTACCCCGCGGATGTCTTAAGAGAAAAGACGGGTGGAATTGGTTGCGCAACTTTTTAAGAGCAATCCCAAACCTGTTCGGAACTGGCACTTACTCTGACTGCGAATGGTCTCATTTTGCTCGTAATCGTTGATGATCTCCAGAGCCCTCTTCTCGTCGTAAAGTGGATACAGGATTTCGTTCAGGGTTGGGTCGCGCTGCTTCTCGTTCAGGAAGCTGATCAGCTGTTCCAGATTGATGGTGTCTGCTTTTCCCTGGGTGCTATCACGATAGGGATGATTTTCCCTCCTCAAGAGGATCCATTCCTTGCATTAGTAAGGCTACTCACATGGACTGGAACAGCTCCTCGATGTCGTTCCTGGGGCAGATCTTGTGGTACAGCGCGTAGAACGCATCGAAGGTGAAGTCATCGGGCTCTATCACGTCGTTCTGTGAAGGGGTTTTTCGGATGATCTCGGCAGGTCGATGATTTTACAAATTAGTCTAATCTTGATCCTTACCTTTCCGCTAGGGAGTCCTAAATCGGACAGGCACTGGTATACTAGTTTCTCCGTCTTCCCCGAGGCAAAAGTTCGGGCCACCACTTTTACCGGAACTTTCCCGTTGGGGTCGACCAACATTCTCAGCCTCATCCAACTGAAACGCAATTACACCGGTCTGCGACGAGGAACAATTAATTAATAACGCGGGAGGGCGGGGGGAGTGAATATTGGAAGCGAGGAAATAAATTCCCCCTGATAAATTGAAGGTTAGGAAGCTCTCAGGGCACGGGGTAAGCGGTAATAAGTGTGGCACGAAACGCCGGGGCAATTACAGGCCCAACCTCAATGGAGTCGTTATTAGAACTCGATGGACTTACTGTTTCTTGAGACACGTCAGTGGGCAGACATTATTGGCTTTCACGTTATGAGTAATGGACCTTACTCCGTCGAGCCATACCTGCAATTACAAGAGCTCGTAAGAAATACGCAACGGTTGTAATCAGCTCGCGGTCTGGTCAAACTGGCCGATAATTGAACGCCCGCCGACAATTGCGCCACCGGTAAAATTGCTCAGGTAATTGACAATGCTCGAGGCTTCCTTTCTACGCGGACGTTTCTCCTTGACGTCGACTATCGGAGATAAAAGGCGAACTTCCGAAATAGAGACGGATCGGGTTATCGGAACCGATAGGGATCGATGAGGCTCCTATCGAGCATCTCGAAGGGGAACTCTTGCCGACAGTTCAGCGACATCGTTTTTCCGAGTCGAATTGCTCGTCCTGGGATTTCCTCCTCGAGGGGACGCACACCTCGGGGGGAATCTCCGGCTAATCGTGAGATAATCGATTACGACGTCCCAAGAATCGACGAGGGATCCCTCCGCACCCGAACACGCTCGGTGATGAGATGTTCGAGATCTATCCTCGCCTGGCAATTTCCCGAGGTGCATAGTCGATGTGTCGATCTGACCTAAAACCTCTAATAATAGCGCCAATAGCAAACGCGTCTCGGGGATAAAATTCCGATTTTAACGCCTCTCGATTTAGTGACCGTTTCGTAAACGCGAACCGCGAGCCGCAAAGATAAATCCCTCTCGCGAATTTTCTCGACACGCCTCAAGCGACTCCGTTGCGAAGGTCAGTGACGCTAAGTTGCATTAACCCTTTCGCTGCCACGGTGGTCCCATGGGACCGGCGCTTGCCCTTTCATTTGGGCCATGGTGGTCACAGGTGACCACCATGAATTTCTAAAATCATTCACTTTCAGGCAAATGCTCTCGAATAAAAATTAATGAATTATGCAAACATGTTTATAACCTTATAAATTAAAAAGTGCGCTACTCAATAACAACAAATGTTTATTTAATATATAAAATATTTAATCTTCTTTTTTAGCCAAAACAAAGTAATGTTCTTAATAATACAGATTCTTTTTATGTACGTACTTTCAGTAACTTAAATATTTTCACAAATTATTTTACGAATCGATATAGTTCGTGTATAGTTCATTTATGAAATTTGTTGGAAAGATAATCTGCGTCACGGGGCCACGGTGGTCACGAGTGACCTACACTAAGAAAAATATGCTATTGGCAAGATTGTACAGTAATTTTAATATATTTCGCAGTTCTTAGCCATTATACAATTTTTAATATGAAATTTTGTATTGTGGCCCCCTGGTGCAAGTTCAAAAATTCGCGTGGCAGCGAAAGGGTTAACGAGAGTGCCTGCAAGGAAACCGATAACGAAATCCATCGTCCCCCGCCTTTTTATCGTCTTTTCTTCCCTGGCTATTTTGCATTAATTGCAGGGTCCCCCAAAATTTGGAAAATTTCGCAAACATGGCAAACCTGAAGATTTCATTCGAAGGGTCACGTTATGTTCAATGTCTGAAAATTATTCTGACTTTTTGCAATTTGTTTGGATTATAAGATTATCTGTAATTTCTTAAGGTGATAGGAGAGTCGCATCAATCGTTTATAAATCTTTTCTCTGAATCGGATACACCGAATAGTTACAATTTTTGTTATTTTACCCCGTTAGCATGAAATTGTTAAGGAACGTGTTATGAACGCCCTAAAGAATATCCTGACTCCCATAAAATTATATTTTGCGCAAAAAGTGGATAAAATGTTTATGAATGATTTAAAAAAAAAAAATTTGTAGATGTCAAGACCTTTCGCAGATCTTCCATATTTATATCGTTAACTTTCAAACGATTCGGTACATCCAGTTCTAAAAAAAGTTTCATAAACCAGACCCCCTAGGTCACTACATTCACATCGCCTTAAGGTGATACGAAAGGCTCCTTCTAAATATACCAAAACGTCAAAATATTTATACAAATTTTCTCCAAACTGGGTGCACCAACTTATCTGAAACTTTAAAACGTGATTACGGAGGCTCTAAATAAGAACGCGCTGCCCGTGAAATTTCATTTTTCGAAAAAAAATATCTTTTTTTGTTTCTTGTCCGAGATAAGTACAACAAAAGAAATTTCACGAGCAGCGCGTTATTCCTTAGGGCCTCCATAACCACGTGTTAAAGTGTCAGATAATTCGGTGAACCCAGTTTGGAGAAAAGTTTTATAAATATTTTCACCTTCTGTCATGTATCTATCACACTTTCATATCCTCTTAAAGATGTACGCTCACTTATTATTGGGGCTAAATACCAAACTTTTCGTTTGAAAACTGAAATTCCTCGAGTTACAAGACTTTCATTAGGACCTCCGTAATCCCGTGTTAATGTTTCAAATGATTCGGTGCACCCAGTTAAGAGAAAAGTGAAATAGTTTGACCTATTGGTACGTGTATGTCACTTTCATAACGCCTTAATGAGTCCCATCATGGGGTTTGTTGGGACGCAGCGAGGAGATCGGGGTTGAACGCCTTCTTTCACTAAATACCAAACTTTTCGTTTGAAAATTAAAATTCCTCGAGTTTCAAGACTTTCATTAGGACCTCCGTAATCCCGTGTTAATGTTTCAAATGATTCGCTGCACCCAGTTAAGAGAAAAGTGAAATAGTTTGACCTATTGGTACGTGTATGTCACTTTCATAACGCCTTAATGAGTCCCATCATGGGGTTTGTTGGGACGCAGCGAGGAGATCGGGGTTGAACGCCTTCTTTCTTGCCCTGATAAGGACTTATCGGAGCAAAGGTCAGGGTCGCTTCGTTACCTTGGCAGTTGTCGGGTCGGGACAGACGACGTGTTGATAATTGATATTGGTATAGTCAACGCCGGAGCAGATGGTCAGGCTCTTCTCGTCCAACTGTTCGCCATGCTTGGTGCAGAGCTTGTCGAGGAGCTTCGGGTCCTGCGGAGCGAGGATGCATCTACCTTCACCTTTATTCTCTCTCGGCAAGGAGGGGCAAGATAAAAAGGAGCGCCCGATACCGAGCTTGTCTCTTTACCTTCGGAACACCTCCGGCCCGGATGTCGCTCACTTGACACAGCTCGATGACGTCGCCGTCCTGCAAAAACCGACGGTGACGTGCCGATCGATCGTCGCCGAGCTTTCCCGGCCTTCCTGGCCTTCCCGGCCCTCCCGAGGGACCCGGGGAGCGAGGAATCACCCTGGGAAACTGGGACCATTCCGTGCGGCCTCGCGCGCTGCAATGGGAATGCTCCCTCTCGGAATTGCATGCATTTTTTAAGTGAAACTCCTTATGGGGCACTGCTAAATTCCCACCTTACGAAAAGGCCGGTTTATCAAAGTAGAACGCTTCCTTTTTACACTTAAGGGGATATGAAAGTTTGATATATACATGACAAGAAATAAAAATATTGATGAATTTTTCCTCAAAACTGGGTCCACCGAATTATCAGAAACTTTAACACGTGATTACGGAGGCCCTGAGGAATAACGCGTGGATCGTGCAATTTCTTTTTTCTAACAGAAATTTTCTACTTATCTCCGAGAAGAACCAAAAAAGATATTTCTTTTTCGAAATATGAGATTTTATGGGCAGCGCGTTCTTTCTTAGAGCCTCCATAATCACGTATTAAAGTTTCAGATAATTCAGTGCACCCAATTTGGAGAAAAGTTTTACAAATATTCTGACTTTTTGGTACGTATATATTACACTTCCGTATCACCTTAAGGGGATGTGAAAGTGGCATCTGAGAGGTGATGAGAGAACATTTGTTTCAGTCAACTGATCTTTTTTCTCAGGATATATCTCGCGAAAGAATAACTAATTGTAAGGGCGATCGGCGATATCTGAAGATTCTCTTCTAGTTCCACTTCTCCGAGTGCTCATCGCTCTTCGTCACTTTTTTCTCGACAATCGGAAGTAAACCCGAGAGGGAACTCTTCCATCCCCACTTTGGTCCCAGTTTCGATTCCAGCTTAATTAGTTTCCCTCCGGTCAGAAGACCTCTCCCCATCGAGTGCTCTCTTCAGGGTCGAGTCGGCCGGGAAACCGCGCAAAGAGGCTTCGTACCTTTCCCTCGCTCTGCCAGTAGATGAAGAAACCATACTCGTCGACCTTGAACATGCAGTTGAGCTCGATCTCGGTATTGTCCTTCTCCTCGGTCCACCTGTCGAAGGTGCATCCCAGCCTCAGAGGCTCCGGGACCTCGGTCTGCCAGTTGAACTCGAACCTCTTCGTCATCCTGACCTCGAAGACTCTTCCGCTCCTCGTCTGCTCGAAAAGAAAATCCGACTTACCGAGGTCCCCGCTACTTCCGGATGAGCTACCCTCGCGAGGTCTGCCTACGACTTCCGGTGCACCGGACGAGACTCGCCGAGGCCTCGCAAAGTGCATCTCGAGGTGCAATCGTAACCGCGAGGAGCCAATTTGCCGAGCGTCGTTATTATATTTATGCGCAGTAAATAACGACTTTTTCGCGGACCGACTCAAGGTCCTTCGAGTGCCTAATAGCATCCTTTTCAGACGTCTAAGTGAATCCAAGAGTTTACGATCCTAGCCGTCACGGTGACCCTAGGAAAGTCAAGCGACTCCACGCTGGACATCCTACGCTGAGAAAAAAATTGTTGTAATAAAAAGAATATATATGTGATTTTGTTCGACACTCATTTGGATCTAACAATAGGACCTTGGTAGAAAGAACATGTAATTACCTCAAAGGATTATTTATTTTCCATTCAAAGAAATGATAATATCCTGCGAATTTCATCAAAACTGTACCACGTTTAATTGCAACAAACGATGATGGAATATTTTATTCGGCCTGTTCAAAGAAATGGTTTCTTAGGCATGGAAACATAATTCATTCCATTGAATTGAAGAAAAAGCTACCTGAATAAAAGAGATCCTTTTTTTTTCAAGGTGATTATTCCTTTGAGTGGAGTTATAGAAATGAAACGTATAGTTTTGATTTCCTATTTTATTATTTTAAGATATGAGGCATTAGATCGATGCAACGCATCGGTTTATTCCTTATTCCTTTGAATAGAGTTATAGAAATGAAACGTACATTTTTGATTTCCAATTTTAATATTTTAAGATGTGAAATATTAAATCAATGGAACGCATCGGTTTCTTCCTTATGCCTTTGAATAGAGTTATATAAATAAAACGTACACTTTGGATTTCCTATTTTACTGTTTTAAGATATAAGGCATTAGATCGATGCGACACATCGGAGTTAAACATTCGGCATTTCTGCGCAAGGACAATAGATCTTTGGCTGTACGCTACAGTTTAATTAACTCCGTTGGAGGAAATAATTTATTTGAAAGAAGAAACGTTTTGTCTCGGTGTAGGAGACGCGTAGGTAATGAGAATAAGAGGCGTAATAATTAACAGTGCATCCAGGATCTATAGCCACCGTGCAGGCCGGCGGCCATTGTATGGAGATCGAGGAACTAATTGCATTTGCGGGTGCATCTGGATGTGGAATTCGATACTCGAGTGCCCAGCTGGAGAGCCACGGGGTTATTGCATTCAGCCGAGCTTGGATATGTCCAGAAAATAATTAATAAAACAATTCAGATTACCCGTCCATTAAAATTGCAAAATGCTCAATCCGCGGCGTTCTCTCTCATTCCTATCCAGATGATAAACCCGGTTTGAAATCGAGAGATCCGAATGCAAATCCTGCTCCGATTCCACAGAGACGTCGGAAACGCTCGGTTAAGGTGAAGTAAAACACTTCGATCAACTCGATCGACGTCGGTAAAAAAGGTTTTTCTAAACACCTGCGTTGCCGGCGTTCGCATTTATATTGACAGTTGTGTCGAATTATATTGAGTATTGTACTAAACTGCATACTCTATCTGTCGTTTTCGTACAATAATTATAAAGAAATCGAAATAAAACTCCAGAAATCCCATGAATTCATGGTTCCTGAGGCCCTAATTGACTGCAGAGGGACGCCGGGCGCCATCTGTGATTTCCGTGTCAACTAAATTTTCACTCCGAGACCTCACATTACCATCGTTTTAGCATAGAAGCGCATAAGACTCTTTGCCTTCACCTTGTTCAAATGGGAGTTTATCGGTTAACAGTGTTCTAAATTGTCGTATAATTGTCCTGACACTTTCGTTTCTCATATTAGAGCCTCAATAATTGGATATCGATCGAAATATGAGAGCTCGACGCCATGTTGGCTTTGGTCTGGACTGAATTAAGAAATTTTGTTAAAAAATCAAAATTTTCAGTGCCAGGATAATTCCTAGGTGCTCCCGGTCACGTGTCAATGTTTCGGACGGTTCGATGGAATACCCTTAAAAAAAAGTGTCTCTCGAATAGACTGATTTGAGGGGGGTTTCACTTCGCCTTAATTTGCCCGTTTGCGAAGCACTATGGCGATGCATATCGACCTGCAATCGGGTGGCTTCCGCGAGCCGTCTCTTAATCTCGTTACATTATTCCCACTGTAATCGGTCGTTAACCTCGGCTGGCGAAATGTAAAATCGGAAATTTCGCGTGGCCTCGTTGAATCGAGATCACGTAGTGGAGGGGCGGCGGCCTTGATCGCGATGCATCGACATTATCTGCGCCGCTCTCGTGCGCTATCGATTTCTCGCATCACTCGGGATAGAAAATGCCTCCCGATGAGGGAATCCGATCAACGAGGATACCTTCCCCCGAGGGGACACGCTGGAAAGAATTCCTTGGAATTATCCCGAGCCATGTTGGGTGCTGGGAATACTGGAACGCCATTTTTTGCCTGCATAAGATTGCACAAGGAAGAGGCTCCGGACGTGATGTCTGCCGTCGCGTGGTCGAGGTCGAAACGACGAGTCACCACGCGACCCGAATGTTAAGGCGAAGTGAAACCCACCTCGAATCGGTCTATTCGAACAAGACATTTTTTGAAGGGCAGTCCACAGAATCGTCGAAAATTTTAGGACACGTGGGCACCAGAAATGTCCTCACATTTTAAGATTTGGATTTAAATATCTGCGTTCGACGCTATCGAGGCCGGATTCAAAGTGACAATGAATTTTGATCAATATAAAAAGGCTTATGACTTAGCTCCGATGTGGGAAACGAAAGCGTCGGGACTGTCCCACGACAGTTTAAAACACTTTAGTAGTAAAGAAACGTGCACTTGAACGTGATAAAGGGGAAAAAAGTGTCTTGGGAATTTCTGGTCTTAAGATGGAGGTAACACGTGTAGTGCACTTTTTCGAAGACTATTTCGTTAAATTGACTGAAATTCTAATATATGGCGTGTAGGCACCGAAGGAATGTCCTCGATTTCAAGATTTGGATTTTGAAATAACCTTTGGTCGATGTTTTATGGACCAGGTAAAAAATAGCGTCGTTATCTCGTATTTCGATTAATATACCATTCTTAAAGGCTTTCACGTGGAAAACGGAAGTGTCGGGACTGTCGCATGGTAGATTAACTTCTTCACTTACAATATCGTGTGAGAGACGTGGTATATCAATCAGGCCAAACGTGAACAAAACGTGTAAGAGACGTGGTATATCAATCAGGCCAAACGTGAACAAAACGTGTGAGAGACGTGGTATATCAATCAGGCCAAACGTGTACAAAACGTGTGAGAGACGTGGTATATCAATCAGGCCAAACGTGAACAAAACGTGTGAGAGGCATGTGAGACTTTGAACATTCAGCCAAACCGTGAAATGACCCGATGTATGACAGACATTTTTGTTGTTTATGGCACGCGCTATTGGAATTTAAATCGTAAGGCAAGGGGTTAAAACACTCTAGTAATCGAGAAATGTGCATTTAAATGCGATAAAAGGGGAAAATGTCTTGGGAACTTCTGTATTAAGATGGAGGTAACGCATATAGGGCATTAGGTCTTGGAGAGGAAATTGAGTTGGCATTGAACGCAACAGATGGCCCTGCAGTTGATTAGAATATCCTAAATTATTAATCCAGGGGATTTTTTCAGTTTTACTTCGATCTCTTTGTAACCAATCTACTGAAACGATATTTGGAGGGTGCCATTTCGAATAATTCTCAATGTAGTAATTATTAATTTAAATATAAATGTCGGTAACGGGATGTGTTACTTCATATGGCGTGTCAGAAAAAAATTGTTTTGTGCTGAGAACAATTGTTTCTCGATGAATTTCATTTCACCTTAAGGCGACATCGAACGATATTTCGACTTGAAGTTCATCGAATTGTCCCGAAAATCCGACATTTCCTCAGGGTTTTCCTCTTCCCAACCATCAACGTCGATGGGTTTCTGCACCCAAGGACTCTCTATCGTCAGGTTGACATGAAAGTCCTCCTTCAATGGCGAACATTTTTGCGGAGCGAATTCGACGATCTACCAAAAATTCGGAAAACGATATCAACCCGCCTCGAAATTATCGGTCTCGGTTGAATCTCTAAATCCTCTACTTATTCCTTAGATAGTTTAATTTGCCGGCAGAGATTTCAGTCTCATTTAATTCACTAAGAACCTCGGGGTTAATTTCTCTCATTAGAACCTCCAAGTCCTCGGAAGGTTTAAATTGAATTGGAACTTCCAGAAATCCCAGAATAGAATGGTTACTCTATTTTGTGCGAGTTAAACCTGAAAATTTGTCCTCTGGTCTCGTAGAATGACGGAGAAAATGAAAATCGACAAGGTATGGTCTTTATTTTTCTATGAACATTTAAAACCTGCCAAACAAATGACGCATTAGGGCATTACATTCAACAAAAGGAAAACCTTGAATATGTCGAATTTAATGGGACAATTTATGTACATTAGAAACTAAAGTCTTCAAGGTTTAACCTAACCTCGATTTAATATTCTTTTGGACCTCAACCCTATATATAGCCGTTCATATATGTATATCCGAGGTCTAAATGAGACCGACATCATTAACATCATCCCATCTGAAATTCTCGAATTATTCTCAAAATTTTCACGTTAATCAAGATTTACGTGAGGTAAAAATGTTCGATCCTGGAATGCACAATGCACTTTCTTCGGGTATTGACGATAACGTTGTTTTCCGTTAGATAACAAGTGACCGGATCAGCTGAATCTCACGAAAGCTTTCATGCAATGATCGCGCGGTATCTGTTCGGCGTATAAAAATTGACATCGCGATTCCGTTGCATAAGTGCGTCGTATTAACTGTTTGTCGGAAATTGAAAGTTTATCTAATGGGCATTCGAGGCTCGCGAAATCGGTCCAAATATTCAATCAATATTTACTTATTAAAATACGTCGTATTAAAAATTGACATCGCGATTCCGATGCATAAGTGCATCGTATTAACAGTTTGTCGGAACTTGAAAGTTTATCTAATGGGCAATCGAGGCTCGGGAAATTGATCCAAATATTCAATCAATATTTACATATTAAAATACGGCATATCAAAATTGACATCGCAATTCCGTAGCATAAGTGCCAAATATTCAACCGATATTTACGCATTTGCTCGATCAAGGCCGTGCCGTTTCGCTTCATTAGTGCTTTCCGATGAATGATTTTCGCCCTCGATTTCTCGATAGGATCGTTTAATCCAAAACTGCTCAAACAATTCGCGCGACGCCATTTCCGCGCGACTTGCGAAATTATCACGTTTCGGGGCAAAATCGGTCGATTTTCGACGGATTAAATCGCGAGACGAAACCCGCTCGCTCGCGACACATGCACGAACACAGAAAAAAATTGGTTCATTGAACAAAGTCTGTTTATTGACCGCATTTGGTTCATTTCACAGAACGTTTCGGTTGAGTACAACGAATTTTAGTTCACTTGGTTGGACTCGTTTGCTTGGACTAATTAATGTGTATCGGTTAAATCGTTTAGTTAATTCCAGAAAATAATTCAGACCGTAAAATGTTTCGACGTTTAAAGACACCAAATTATGTTAATACTTGTGGTGACCAACAAGAATATTTTATGGAATCAGTAAAATATTATGGTATAACATAAAATAAAAATATTCCCGCGGTTGCACCGAGATGCTCGTAATTGTTGCAAATACAGAGAGAACATTTAATGTAATCAAATTATTAACCAAAGAATTTTGTTGCGTCGACCAAATATTTAGTAGTCCATGTAATACCCATATTTTTCGATTGAACAAAAAAAATTGTACCGAATAAGCCAAATATTATTCTACACTCGAGTATGCCCTCGCGGTTGCATCGAAATGCTGGCCGTTGGTGCAATTACCGAGAGAACATTTAATGCAATCAATCTGAAGTTATTAACCAAATAATTTGGTCACGTAAACCAAATATTTAGTTGTCCGTGTAATACCCATATTTTTCGATTGAACAAAAAAAAAAATTGTATCGATTCAGCGAAATATTTTTCTGCACGCGAGTATGCACTCGCGGTTGCACCGAGGTATTGGTCGTAGATGTAATTACAGAGAGAAAATTTAATGTAATGAATCAGAAGTTATTAATCAAAGAATTTTATCACGTCAACCAAATATTTAGTTGTCCGTGTAATAATCATATTCTTCGACTGAACAAAAAAAAAAATTGTATCGATTCAGCGAAATATTTTTCTGCACGCGAGTATGCACTCGCAGTTGCACCGAGGTATTGGTCATAGATGTAATTACAGAGCGAACATTTAACATAACGAATCAAAAGTTATTAACCAAAGAATTTTATTTCGTCAACCAAATTTTTTTCTATATGCGAATATGCCCTCTCGGTTGCACCGAGATATTAGCTGTTGATGTAATTACAGAGAGATCATTCACCGCCCTGTGCTCCATTTCCTCTGCTCGGCAAAGGGGATCATCTCGGCAGAAGTCTAGAAGCGCGATACGATTTCATCTCTCGGCGGTAAATATTTGAACCGAGGATATCCCTCTCATTGAAATCGCGTTTTGGCAGAGTCGCGCGCCAAGTGCACGCGCGCTGGCGCGCCGAGTCTCTTTCCGTAAAGTCGGGGCAAATATTGACATCTCGACTTCGAGGGCGCATCAACGGACCCACGTACGGGAGAATTAAAGCGCGGCATTCGAGGGAATTAAATCGGTCATAAGGGGCCAATTAAACCGGCGGATTATATAAAGGAGGTTAGTCGGGGTTCTTGCCGTGAGTATTCACGGCCGAGGCAATTACGGCCAGACTTCTCCGCACTTCGGTGTACTTCGCCGGGCAAATGGGATCGGGTTACTCAACCGGAAGTCTTCCAATATCCCGTTGCGAGGCCGGAAGTGGGATGAACTTCGCGGGGCACCGGAAGTCCACCAGGCAGGGAGGAAGGAGAGAGACACTTACGTAGTTAATGCACCGTCCCTCGGATCGTATTGTTCATTTTAGAGTCGCCCGCTGCACCTGCACATCAAACATTAAGTCACTCTTAATGCAGTTCGCATGAGCGCGAAGAGTCAAGGCCTTTTCCTAGTTATATATAACCGGCGATGCCCGCGGAGCTGCAATAAACGATGCAGCTGATCGCGCCTCCGGAGAGCCCGAGATCGATCGATCTGCCTCCTGGGTAAACGAAATTTACGGTTTCCCAATTTATCCGGAAATTTTTATTATCCTACCTCGAACAGGAATCCCTTTCCAGCTAACCTGGAAGCTCGGGGGAGGAATGAATAAATGAAGAAGCGTTTTCAAGGCGCGTCGAAATCCTGAACACGTGTCGCCTCATATTTAATTTCCGGAGAATCTTGTCTGCATAAGTAAAGAGTACTCCGAGCGCACTCGCACGTGGACTCTGGGATGACTGAATTGCGGCAATCTCGAGGTGAAATTCTAACCTAAAAGTACCTTGAACCTGTCCAAGCAAGACCTCTTTTGGCCCTGCTTCGCTCCATGTTCTATGTTCAGCCTTGTACCTCCTGTACTTAGTACGAAGTTACAAACTTAATACGAGTTAAATTAAGAACTTTAGGCCTAAAAGTACAGGCAGAAAAAATTCATTTGGTTCTTTGAACAAAATCGTTAGCTTTTGTTCAATGAATTTTAATTCCAATTCGTTAGGGTGAGGGTCAGGATCTTCCTTATGGTCTTCATATTCACATTGTAAAGTATGAAACGACTTAGTACGCCTTGTTCAAAGAAAAGTTTCATGAATGATTGACTCCTCGGATGCCCCTTTAACATCGCCTTAAAGTCCATAATTACTGTTTCCGAGTAGGATCAAAATTTAAATTCATAATCTCCCAAATTTGACAGCGTTGCGGTAAATCGAATTTTATCGAAAGTTTTAACAATGCCTATAAATAAATTTAAGAAAAATACAAATTTTATGGGGGTCAGCATCTTCCTTCTGACCTCCATATTCACATTGTAAAGTATGAAAAGACTCGATACACCTTGTTCAGAGAAAAGTTTAATGAATTAATGACTCCTCGGATGCTCCTCTGACATCACCTTAAGGTTCATAAATACTGATTTTAAGTAGAGTCAGAATTTCAACTCGGTATCACGAATTTGACAGTGTTGCGGCAAATCGTGTCGCCTTGGCTCGACGCTCGATTTAATCCGCAATCTTGCTTGCCAAGAGGAATCATCTCTGCATCTCTCCGTGCACTTCTGATCCCCCGAGTGCACCTCTGTACACACCGAATGACAACATTCTCGTTGGCCCCGGAATTGGACAACAAACAGTATAACGAAGCAGATACGTAGATCACTCACGAGAGCACAAATCGCATCTTCGTCATTTTCGAGGGATATTCGAAACTGTCTCGAGACAATCTAACTCCATACTATAAAGAATCAGACCAGACCATATCAGATTCGACTGAAAGGATCATTACTTTTTTCAGAAGTAATTACACTCCGTCATCCGTCGGATAAGATTAGATCAGATATAGAAAAAAAAAAAAAAAAAACATTTGCACTGTTGGTAAAGGACAGCATTGCTGATAAAATCTTGCTGTGGGAGTAATCGCACCAACAGTAAACATGTTTGCGGTTATACCAAGCGTAGATGTAACTGTTGGCAAGCTTTCTTTAGAAAAATGCATTCTGAATCGGCAAATAAATTCGTAGTAATGGCCATAAAAAATATTATCGTGACTGGTCGAACGGATGAGCGATATACAATTTCTTGTTGCTAAAATGCGAACATGAATAGAAATTGCGTTGCCCCAGTGAAGTAATTGTTTCTTTGTTATCAATGTAGCACAATTCCGCTGGACTATTTGCAAGTATTCACATTTCTTGAAGCAAATAAAATTTTATTACGATTGTTTATTTTTTTTCCTGGTGTTGTCTGGTCTGGTCTGAACGGATCTGACCGGCTATAGTGAATAATATAAAATGATATAACTATAGCCTTAGGAGTCTTGATAGTTGCAACTTCGGTATATCTTGACTGCATTGATAAAAATGCAAATGTAAATTTACATACCCAATTATTGGTTATTTTGATGTCACGATAAATTACAATAAAATTACATTGTCTCCGTAATATCACATTCAGCATCTGAGTTAAATTATTCAAAATTATAATGTAATGTTACATTAAATTCAAGTAAAAATGCCCGAATATGGTAAATATACAATGTTAGGTGTATTTATACATTTTCTAGTTTGAAATTCTTCCATTTTACGTTTTTCTACGTGAAACTTAAGTTATGAAGTGTGTACAAATGTACATAAATTTCCGTCGATTTTTATCGGTATGCTGCAACTTCGCTGCAACTTCCGGGTTAAATTTAAATAACAACTGAGTTAAATTATAGAAAATTATAATGTAATGATACATTAAATTCAGGTAAAAATGCCTCAATACGATAAATATACAATGTTAGGTGCATTTACACATTTTCCAATTTATAATTCTTTCATTTTACGTTTTTCTATATGAAACTTAAGTTTGAAGCGTGTAAAAACGTGTATAAATTTTCATCGATTTTTATCAGGGTGCTGGAACTTCGGTGCATCTCGACTGTTGCAACTTCGGTGCATCTTGCACCCTACCTACACGCGTCCACATCGTGCGCCCATAAATAATGAATGGATCGACGAAGAAGCCGACGACGGGAAGCCACGCCGTTAAACGCGGTGCAAATTGTGAGACGTGTTAATTGCCCGGCCCGCAATTACTCGGAGGTGCCTCTCGCGCAGCATCGGCGGTAATTCCGAAGGCATTTTTCGCGGTGACAATGGAAAACGTTCAGCAATAACGGCAATGGAGGCGTTAATGGCCTCTTTACCGGCGGATCGAAGGCCGTACTCGTAATGGAAAGAGGAAGAAATATCAGAATAGGAATTACCGCTCGCGGAAGCGACTCGAGATATCCGAGGACCGAAATCGAAATAATTAGGAAAATTTGTCGTCCAACTCGGTTCCAATATTATGCGTCGACATTACGCGCATTCGGAGCCATCGCTTGGTCCCCTAAATTTCTGAAACGGTCTTTTCGTTATCCGCGACATTTACCGGGCAACAAATTATGTCGGCCCCGCGAAGGAACCTTGAAAAGTCGAGCCGTCTGTCGGCCAAGAATTAAATTCGTCCAGCGGCCCCTCGATTTGAATTGCGACTCGGCATTATGAAACTCCAATTTCCGAGTGGAATACTAAATACCGAGGGGAGAAATTAATTAAATGGTTCGATGCATTAAGGTAACAAGCTGCATTAGCTGATCAACCAGGAGTGGAGACAAACGTAACGCGATCCGCCAGGGGCGCGACGATTCCGATTAAATGACATTTTCCGGAATTTACTGTCATTTTAAGGTGACACCAAAGGGTCATTCTATATATATATAAAGCATCAAAATATTGATAAAACTTTTCTCCAAACTGGATGCACCGGATTGTTGGAAACTTTAACAGGTAATTATGGAGGCCCTAAGGAAGAACGCGATGCTCATGAAATTTCATTTTTCGAACAAACATATGTGTCCATGGGTTTAGTCCGAGATACGTAGGAAATTTTTCTTTGAAAAATGAAATTTCATGAGCGTTCTTCCTTAGGGCCTCCTTAATCACGTGCCGAAATGGTGCGACCTGTTTGGAGAAAAGTTTTATCAACCTTTTTCACGTCTTGGTATATACATATATGACACTTTCATATCTCTTAATGGAACGGTTATGACATCCTTTTGGCAATTCGGCACTTCTCCCGCGGTTCCATCGTGACATTAATCCTCTCCTTGCGCTTTTAAATCCTCTGGGTGCTAACAATACGCGAATTGATGCGCGGGCTCTTACGTATATGTGCCAATGGCCGACATTCGCCTCTGGGAACTCTTTTCATTTGCTCGATTGCCTCGAAACGAGATGTTCCTTTCGGTTTATGTTACTCCCCTCGTGGCCGAGGAAATCGCCTCGATCGTTTTCCTTCGAGATCCGCCACGAGTCGATCTAAAAATACCGAATCTTTGAGGCGTATCCTTATCACGCATTGGAATATTTTCGGACACTGATCGCATAGGTAAACGATAATCCATTATTTCCGAGGCTCCCCTTCATCTTGTATTTCTTTTTCGGTTCCTTTTCTTAAGACGGTGATCCTTTCAATTTCTGGGTTAATGTCTTGGAAATTGCAGAAAAGTAGCTGCCTCGATCTGATTCATTCAAGTTGATGTAAAACCGTCGGGTCTCGAAGCGGATCCTTGTGATCTCTTGCAACTTGTCGAGTTGAAATCGCAGAACATTTTCGCAACAACAATTTAAGGCCTCTTTTCTTCTTTTTTTTTAACTGGTGACCTTTTTAATCCCCAAATTAATATCCCGAAATAGCGAGGGAGGATCATTTTTCTTCAAGATCTGTCCCGAGTCAATCTTCAAATATCGAATCCCGAAGCATATTCTTATCACTCATATATTTTCGCATTTTCGCAAGAACAATTTAAGACCTCTTTTCTTCTTTTTTTTTTTAAACTGGTGACCCTTTTAATCCCTAAATTGATATCCTGAAATAGCGGGGGAGGATCATTCTTCTTCAAGATCTGTCCCGAGTCAAATATCGAATCCCGAAGCATATTCTTATCACTCATTCATATATTTTCGCATTTTCGCAACAACAATTTAAGACCTCTTTTCTTCTTTTTTTTTTTAAACTGGTGACCCTTTTAATCCCTAAATTGATATCCTGAAATAGCGGGGGAGGATCATTCTTCTTCAAGATCTGTCCCGAGTCAATCTTCAAATATCGAATCCCGAAGCATATTCTTATCACTCATTCATATATTTTCGCAATTTCGCAACAACAATTTAAGGCCTCTTTTCTTCTTTTTTTTTTTAAACTGGTGACCCTTTTAATCCCTAAATTGATATCCTGAAATAGCGAGGGAGGATCATTTTTCTTCAAGATCTGTCCCGATTCAATCTTCAAATATCGACTCCCGAAGCATATTCTTATTATTCATTCATATATTTTCGAGCGCAGATCTCAAATGGATTTTTTCGTGACGAAAATCTATTTTTTCGAGTTAATTTTTTTATTTCAAATCGATCCTTTTCATCTTGATGTTCTTTTCTGGTGCATGGCCTTAATCGATTTTCTTTTTTTCTTTACCCTTCTTTCCTACGCCTTTAGCTACTTAAATATCAATTATAAATAAATATCCGATAGTACCATTATCATCATCGTTTATTACCTATGGGAATAAACGATATAAAAGATGAGGAAGGCATAATCCCCGGCAAATATCTCGGAAATGTCAGGAATTCCTTCAAGACCTACCTCAAGTCGCCCCAAAAATATCGAATCCCAAGACCACAACCTTATCACTGAATAAACATATTCCCATGCTCAAATCGTTTAAATACGTTCCCGTAACATAAAGTCCATATTTCCTCGGTTCCTCTTTTTTCAATATCGGTGATCCTTTTAATCCCCGGCTAATATCCCGGAAGTGGCGGGGAGCGATCACCTCTCGACGATAAATTGGATTCGAGGGGAGAAAATCCTTCAAAGTGGATTTTTCCCGCCACCACAAACAAGCCCGCCAAGACATTCCCCGCCTCCGGATTATCCCCCGGAGAAAATTGATATAAATAATACGCAAAAGTAAACCACCCTACAAAGTGTACGCCCTTTCTACCGGCGTCTCTTGACATTTATTTCCCTCGATAGCATCTTTAATCGGTGTACCGTAATTCCAGTTTATATCCTCGGGTTAAAACGCTCTAAGGACCCTACAGAATCCGCGGCCAGATTTCCGCTCTGTTTCCCCCCTTCGTGGGATAACAGAAACTGGTGCGGAAATTAAAATCGAGCCGGAATAATATCCCACTGCACCTCCGCTGCACGGTGCAGCAGGTGCGCCGCATAGCGCAGTAATTCTCGGTTATGAATATGAAAATTCTCGAGTGATATCACACCCAACGCCCGTCGATATCGCCCGTTTAAACAGTCACTTTGTGCAAACGTCTTCCAATTAATAAACAGAATTTATTACCCTCGGCTCCCTACGTCACGTCGAAAATTCTACACGGCGTCCCTCGCGGCGTGTTTTATTAACAACTATGCAAATAATTCCCCCCTTGCTCCAATTTCCCATCCTTCACCCGTGTTTCCCTCCAGCAAACAGCATTAAAATTCGTCATTCCGCGTGCCCTCGGAAAAAGCTACAACAATTGAGTGCTACGAGCAGCGTCTAAGGGCACACGTAACGTCGAGTGCCGTACGTGCGATACGTAGAATTAATCGAGTAAATGAATAAATTTGCAATCGGCCAAGTACAGTGGCGTCCATTAACCGCGCCGGAAGTCGAATCTCGCAACGTCTAGAGTACACCTCCACCATCCAGAGCAAACGCGAAGAGGAATACACCAGTCGGTAAATCAGCCTCTCTATCCTCACCTGGCCCAGCAACGTGAAAAAGCAACAGAAATATAAATATATCCACACAGATAAACAATAGAAAAAAAAACCAATGTCTCCTTTTTATCGTTTCTTTTTTCCCCGATTTTCGATTTTTCATGACCCGAGGCTGGGGAACTAGCAACAGGAGCTGAAGGGAGCGATTAAACGCGTATAATGGGAACGCACGTTGCTGGATTTCCTGCCGATAAAGGCCGGTGATAGCGCCGGAGTGACGGCTCCATTTCCCCTGGAACTTCCGCCAGCCAGTGGACGGACCGGGTCCAGGGGAAAGAGCCAGTGAGGGGTCGGCCGCGTAGGCGGTGCGTCTTACCTCGAGCGGCGCGTCGGAGCTCGCGGCGTCGCGGCGCTCGCGTGACCGGGCGTCGGGCCCGCTCGCGGGGTCGGTCGGCGCCGCGGCGTCTGGTCGACGCGCTTCCCAGGGAGAGCTCGCCTCGCCGACGTCGTTCGCGGCGCACTGTGCGAGGACGTGGCGTCGCGACGCGTGCACCGCCGCGAAAGCCAGCTGCCGGGTCCGGCTCGATACTGGCCGCTCCGATCGACGCATGCCCCGCCGAGCCTCGCCGCCGCGCGAGCGCCGCGACGCCCCGCGTCGGTACTGAGGGGGTCGACCTCACCGACCGAGCCAGAGTGACTCTGCTTCGCCGACATTCGTTCCACTCCGGAGGAAGTTTCATGGATATCGAGGGCGCTTCTCCGTCGAGAATGCGTCTTTATCGCGCTTAGCATGGTCGCGAACCTTGTTGCGAGACAGATTTTGATGTTACCGACCTAGTGGAGGTGCATAGCTGGTGAAGTAGCCAAATTCAGAATTTCTATGGCAATCGATGCTTTGGAAGCGACAGGAGGGAAGTGGATAACTCATTGTTGATGCTTTGTCTAATAAGGACTTTCTGGTGAGAACAAGGGGAGTTCATGACTCGAAATGAGAAGATTCTTTCACGCGGGAAATTTAGGGATGTAATAATTGCTGGAATGTCGGGTCGAATGTATCCGGCTATGTTGGAACCGTTCGATGTGTTTTAAAAAATGGATCGGGGGTGGAATTGATTTTTCTTCCGGAGATTTAGGACGCGTGAGTCCTGGAGAAACGTAAAGCACATCGTGAGACTGAACACGAATAAATAGCAGATATGAGTTGGGAAATTGCTCCCGAACAGGGTCGCGCGATCGCGTCCTGTGCTGCCTCCCGGTGGAGGGTGTGGACGGCTAACGCCCTTGCCACCTGATACCCCCCAATTCAGGGATCCTCCTCATTTCTGCTCCCAACTCATCTCTATGATAACAAACATCGTTTAACATCTATTAATATCTCTTACCAACAAGTCCAGCAAGATCTGCGGCAATCAACTACCCATGATGACTTGAAAACAAAAAATGGATCCTGTTGTGATCCACCTAAACCTGAAAGGGGGCACACAAGAACAAGTAAAGCGGAACATTAAAAAAGAAATTTCATTTTCCATAACCATCCGTCGATTCCTGCTAGTCTCCGTCTCTAGACTACCGTCGTCAAGATACAATGTGTTAACAGCTACTGATAAGCAGCGAACCGCCATTACCAACGTCTGCTGATGAAGGTCTCCATTGTCGGCTGGTATCCGAAAATTCGTCCAACAGTTTCTGATATCAACCACGAGTGCAACGCCCAATCCTTGATATCGCCTCGTGTCCCTTATCATATGTTCTCTATGTACAAATTATCAGATACACCATCTTGGAGGGGAAAAACCGGAATAATGATTTTTTATTAGATGATTCGGTACGTTCTGGCGAATGCAGAGAATAAGGGATGATGCTCGTCATTCCAGGTGGATCCTTCAACAATGGCCCCAAGACCAAGAGAGCCCTCGTCCGTCTGTTATCAGCGATATCTCCTCTCGGGCAGAGTCGAGCTCGTTTTCCGACGTTTTCCGGAGACAGCTCCTCTTCCGGGCGATTTCGTCCAAGACAACAATGACCAGCGGCCAGAAAAGACGGCGACCGCTTCCAGCTCGAAGAGCTGCAATCGTGTGCACAACCCGAGAGCAACCCACAGGGTACCAACCCCTGGAATTTAGTGTCGGCGATGCAACTCGTGCAGACGAGACGTTGGGAAATATCGAAAAAGGAATGACCAAGAAATATACGTTTATAGGCACTTAGCAAAGGACGGCATCGCTGGTAAAGTTCTGCCCTTACTGCAGGAATAATTGCACCAACAGCAGAAATATTCCCATGGTCAAACGGAGATGTAATCAACCCCTTTAGAGAAAAAAAAATGCTCGCTAAATCAATAAATAAATTTGTAGCGACTGCCACAAACTATTGTTACAGTCAGACACGAAGATATGCAGTTTGTCATCGGCAAAAAATATCGTTATCATGCGTGTTGCCCAAAGATCTCAACAAACTTTGGCTCGTTTTCGAGGGTTCAGATATGCGAGTGCGGGTAAAATCTTTAATTATTTCTAAATTACTTTTCCGCATGCAAGTGTTTTTTATGCAGGAGGTGGTGGCCTTTCTAGGGAAATTTAATTCCGTTCGTTTCCGCGGCATTTACGGATACGGTATTCACCCTTGCTCGGTCTTGATGAAGTACGAGAACGTCATCCCCGAGTACCAGCAAGAAGATTCCAGGGTGGTCCTGGGGGAGACCCCGTGGTCGTCATCTTTTGCACGAGTAACTCGGTTTCCGGTTTTCCACCCCTGACGACTCGTTACCTCGTGATTTTCTTTCGCGGATTTACGGTCAGGGGGTGCGACGCAAAAAGGAGGAGCTCGATCATCCCTGGGAGACGCGCCCTGCGATAAGGCTCCGTCGCAGTTTTCGATGGGAAAGCGAGCTAGGGTGAAGACACGAGGGAAATAGGGAAATAGAGAGGAATATGGGGGAAGGGAAGAACACGTCATTTGGGGTGCTTCCGTCTTGCGGATCATTTTCCTTGAATTTTTCACAGGGGCTGTTCCAGTCAAGGAAAAGGGTGACGCCGGTTAGGGCGATGTCAATCCGTTTTCCGAGCAGAAGCCACCCCATGATCGGCACGTCATGGAGTTCCCTCTTCAACGGCACTGGAAATCGACTCGGGGACTCGGGGGAAAATTCGTTTACCCCAAAGAAAGGACTCTTGCAAATCATTCACCCGTGCCGCTTAGCGGGAGGTGAAAAGGGGGTGGCCGTGTTTCTTTTTTTTTCCGACCATGAGCGCGCCGCGTAAAAGCGTAAACCTTGTATTGAATATGTATGGGGGTTCCTTTTCGACGGCGCTCTTCCAAATCCTCCTGTCGGGGGAAGAATTAACCCCCGTCACGAGGCTCCTTTGATGTCGCCGACGGGGACTGGCGCCACCACCATGACCCTCGGACACCCCGACTCGGCTTCTGCACCGTGATTAATCTCCGGGTCTGGACCGAAAGATAAAAAGTAATTTTCCAGGGAGGCTCTTATCGCTACTAGGCTTTCAAAGGGTTGCCAGCCCCCAGAGGCCCGAAACGAGCAGCCACCCCATCGAGATTGGAGATTCTCACGGTTCTGGGAGACGTCTCGCCAATTCCTCCGACACCAAACCGCAACACTTGATACCCTTGCTACTTGCTGTTTGACAAAGCCTCGGTCGTTATTGCCACGATACCTCCACCCTTAGCCAGGATAAGGAAAATGGCAGACGAAAACAAGAGACCACTTAGTGTTTAAATTTACATCGTGAGATGGGAAATTTCACGGGGCATATGGCGCCTTTTACGCTTTTTAAGTTAATGAGAATTATTAGATGGTAATTATTCTGTATTATCCCCATTATTTTTATCACCGTTACTACTTGCTGTTTGACGAAGCTTCGGTCGTTATTGCCGCGATACCTCCACCCTTAGCCAGGATAAGGAAAATGGCAGACGAAAACAAGAGACCACTTAATGTTTAAATTTACAACGTGAGATGGGAAGTTTCACGGGGCATATGGCGCCTTTTACGCTTTTTAAGTTAATGAGAATTATTAGATGGTAATTATTCTGTATTATCCCCATTATTTTTGTCACTGTTGCTACTTGCTGTTTGACAAAGCCTCGGTCGTTATTGCCGCGATACCTCCACCCTTAGCCAGGATAAGGAAAATGGCAGACGAAAACAAGAGACCACTTAATGTTTAAATTTACATCGTGAGATGGGAAATTTCACGGGGCATATGGCGCCTTTTACGCTTTTTAAGTTAATGAGAATTATTAGATGGTAATAATTCTTTATTATCCCCATTATTTTTATCACCGTAAATGTCGGTAGGTTGACTGAAAGAGTGACGCACCAACGCTGTCGAAAACGTTCATGCTAATTGCCTTAAGACTGATACACAAATATGTATGTAACTAGGAATGATCTATAAAAAAAAATTCACAGAAATTGGGTCAGTGCAGAAACATCATGATGATGATTGGAAATAGTTAATTACCGTAGGAAATGCGTTTCGCTGTCGGAAACTGGCCCTTTCATAGCATACAAACTTACACGTCTTGCTGTAAGAAGTTTCACTTTAAAATGAACTACCCTTGCGACCAGGGTAAACCTGAGTCTATATTATCGATGTCAATTGAATCTTAAACCCTGCATTCGATTTTTACCCTCTGTCAGAAGTTGTCTTGCCGCTAGAAAATTTTATTATTCTTTAGTTTACTAAGTACATGAGAATTTAAGTGCTTGAAAATTGAAGTTTCTAGGGATTAACCGATTGCCCGATCTGATCATCTTGTCTTCGACCCTTGGAAACTGAGAGAAGTGTATAATTCGACGTTCAGGAGTTCGTGGATTTCATTAACACCTCTCTATCCTAAATTCTCGAACAATACTCCAAAATCCTGCCGCAAGTCGGCGTGATTGATTTGCGGAAACGAGGAAAAATTACAGAAAATTCGTCAGTGGATTATGAACTTCCTCGGTTTGCCAATTTCCGTCGTCTCGACATTTTCTAAACTTTATTCCGATTTCCGAGGTGAAGTCGATACTGTATTCCATTGCACACTCAGATTTCCGCCGGAAAGTTTCAGGTTCTTTTAATTCATTAAGTACATGAGAATTGAAGGGCTTGATAATTTAAGTTTCAAAGGTTTAACCGGTACCCGATCTGATCATCTTGCCCTCGACCCTTGAAAATTGAGAGAAGTGTATAATTCGAGGTTCAAGAGTTCACCGACTTCATTAACACCTCTCTACCTTAAATTCCCAAATAATCCTAAAAAATCCTCCCGCGCGTCGGCGAGATTAAAATGCGAAAAGGAGGAAAAATAATGACAGAAAAATTGCTGATGAACCATGAATTCCCAGGGTCTGCCAGTTTCCGTCGTCTCGACGTTTTCTAAACTTTATTCCGATTTTCGCGATGAAGTCGAGATTCTCGAGGGACGTTTCCGCCCCTTTCATCTTTCCGCTTGAACGCGGGGGCTTCGTCACCGTGCGCGCGTTAAATCGGCGGCATTCGCGACTCTTCGGGCAGCATACTTAATTCCTCCGCAATTTCAAAAGCTGAA